TGGTTTATGATACAGAAAAAGGCTTCTAGTAATTAGCATTCTGGAATATAGTTGGTTAGTGAGTAGGTTAGATTTAAAAAATATCTCTAAAAGAATAGGTCTTAAGATCAAGAATTCATATTTATGAGCTGCTATTTGGGGAACCTCTGGCTAGGGGGGTTACTTGTTTGAAATGTCCAATATGGAGCACTCAACCAAGTTTTCCCTCTTCTAATACACAAGAATTTCATTCATATCCATAACTGACTCACTATGATTGGCCAGTGCAAGGTTGACTGGATAAGAGGATTGCATTTCATCCCTTTCCACAAACCTCTGCACTACAAACAAGAAATCTTGTTTGGTTCTCTAAGCAGAGCTAATGACTGTTGTTGTTATATATTTATTATTATTATTATTATTATTATTATTATTATTATTTACCTGCTCCTCATCCTAAGGTCTCTGGACAGGTTACCACACTAAAACAGAATATTAAAAACTGTTTAAAACAACTTACTATCACAAAAAGAAGGTGGGTCCTAAAAATATACACCTCAGGGATCAAAAGCCAGGGTAAAGAGGTACATGTTTAGTATTCACCAGAAGCTAAACAATGAAGGTGTCAGCTGCACATCAGTGGGGAGGGAGTTCCACAACTTAGGGGCCACCGCAGAGAATGCCTTCTCCCATGCTGTGACCTCCTGAGTCCATAGAGGAACTACTTAAGGGGCATGCTCTGCCAATCTCAGCACCAGAGGGGGGCTGTAGGGAAGGAGGCCACCCGAGCCCAGTGAGAGTGCTGAAGCCAGGAGCACCTCCACTGTGAACCTGCTCCTTACAGGGGAGTGCAGCTTCCATCCAGGGCAAGCCAGTTCCCCACTTCCTGGACATGAGAACCATTTTTCTTAGTGGGGTATCTTAGTCACAGCTAAAAGCAGTAAAAGGCTATGTAATTTCACCCAACAAAAGGACAAGAAAGATTTACAAAGAAACATCATCTTGGTTATGAACCAAAGTATTTTGAAAATATGTCTCTTTCAGCATTCCATAACGTAAAGACTTCTCATATATCACAGCACATTTACTAATGAGGTTTCTGCATATACTCCCCAAAAGACACATTTTAGTTATAACAACTATGCAGTTTCCCCCCTAATAATTATTTCATACTGCCACATTTTATGTGGTTGACAATGAGTTGAAATATGCAAGGATGTGATTGACTAAAAATGGGATCTTTTTGCTGACGATCTGTAGCTGCTGTCAAGCTCTTATTATTATTATTATTATTATCAAGTTAAGACAAATGCGAGCATAACTGAACAGACCTTAGGTGGCTTCCTGTATGAACAATTCCATTAAATCTTGGGAATTGTACTGTACTGCCTGTATTCACCACAATTATAACAAATTGCACACATGCAAGAGCATATGAGCCCTGCATAACGTTGTATTGGGCTCAGATACACTTGAGTTTGTGAAAGATCCACAGCACTAATGAAAGAGAGAAGAAAACTTAGTGCAACTGTTCCAGGTATTGGTGAATTCTCCCTCACCCCAATGCACTGTGCCCATACCCAATACTGTACTGGAGGTTCAATGTCAAAATCAAATGTTCATTAACTGACTTCTAGTTTGTGGGTTTGTTTATAAAAAGTATTTTTTTCTTGCCATTCCATTACAAAATGTACAAGGTGTCTTTACAGTCTAATAAATGTATTACAACAGCAATAGAATACAAAATAATCAACAATAACAGAGAGAGGCAGCAATAAAACACTTTTGATTGTTTATTATTTTATTTATTATTACAAATTATTGCACACACTTTACCCTAAGGTCCTAATTAACATATTAGAGAGATTAAAATTAACAACTGGGCAGGCCAAATGCCTGGTCGAAAAGTATTTTAATAGAGAGTGCTTTCCCTTTTATTGCTCTGCACATCTTTGTACATTAGAGTAGTAGCTTCAAAGTAAGAGTGTTCTACTGCAGAATAAGAATATATATAAACGTTCCTGAGGGAAAATTAGGTATTCTATTTGGTTTGGTTATTTATGTAGGTACATACCGTAGTTTTGTTTCTAATCATCTACAGCAGTGGCAGGGCTAGCCCCCTCAGGAAGCAATGTGGCCACACTAAAGGCCCAACAGTGACATTATTCAGAATGGACCTCTTGATAAGATGGTATCTGCAGGTGGCCCTCTCCTGTGGAGTGATCAGTTAGGCATATAAGGAATGAGATGATATTTTAGGTATCTCAACCTGTATAGGGCTTTGTTCGCCTGTCTCAGCACCTTGAATTTAGCCTGGAACTTTAATTAGCAGTCAGTGTAATTCTTTCTGGTATACTTCTCATTTATAAATGAGAGAGGCTGCAACTTAACTTTGGATGGAAGTCTTTCCATGAGCTTTTCACACAGAAGTAATGGTTATGTAAAGAATGGTTTATGCTTCTCACTGGAGGGGACTGTGATACCAGGGGCATTGTTATGGGTGGTTCAGGGAGCCCAAGCCCTGGGTCTTTCATACTGAGTCCAGAATCTCATGACTTTTGTCCTCCCATTATTGTTATTTTTACTTTCCTCACAGGACAGATGATACTGCAAAGCAAAATGCTGATGAGACCCAAACCACCTGCCATCTTAATTTTCCCAGAAATATCTGTACATATAAACCAGCATAATGCAAATTTGTGTAACAGGCTTGCATCCTCAACCCCCAGCATTAGCCCTGCATAACACTCTTGACATGTATAAAATGTTGCTTCTTTATTAGTGTAGTTCAAGTCCAGGTATAGGGAAAGGAGAGGGTTAAAGCTCCACTTTCCCAGAAGTCATCTGTATCCAGGACATTCCATTTCTATATGTGTTGAGGTTCCTCTGAAGGATTACTGGGAAAAGAGTTCCCTGAAGATAGAAAACTAAGATAAAAGATAAGTCTTTTCTTACAATGACTACCTTTTTTCTTTCTAAAGTCCAAGGGCAAAGCCCTGGGCTCCTTTGGGAGGAAGGGGGAATATAAATTTAATTAATAAATAAACTATGAAAAAATACAATAAATTCCTTTGCTAGTGTTGCCATTTTTTAAATTAAAAAATCATAAAAGGTTCAGGGATGTAAACACACTGCTGGAAGAAGAGGAAGAAGAAGAAGAAGAGGAAGAAGCAGCAGCAGCTTAAATTCTAAGTCATACATTTCTTGTTTTGGAAGGAAAGCAAAATAAATTGACATCAGAAAACCATGCAGTATCCTAACACCAGCAGCGTGTTGCCCAGTCTAACTACCAGAAATTCTTCTTTGCTGCAGTCCAAAATATTAATAGGTAGAAGAAACCTGTTCAGCCATGAACACTATTTGTTTAAACATCTCAGCTTTTGATTGCACTTCTGTGTTCCTTGAAAACGAACAAAAAGGCCTATTGTCTGTGTTCATTAACCCACACAGCTGACCTCATCACAACCCTTTTTTAAACAAAGCAACAGAAAGCCACACCTTTTATTTCTATGGATAGCTTGGTTTTCAATATTAATTCCAACCAAAATTAACTCTAGTATCTCTTCTTTGCAATGTGGAGTCTCATTAACGCAGTGTCTTAAATGTTTTGACTGCTTTGCTGTACTTATGCAAAATAACCTCAAGAAAAACTTTCAGGCTATTAAGAATGTGCCATTGACACTCTTTTTCTTAGCACTAAAAGTAATCTGTAAACTGCAGTGACTTGCTACGGGGACATTTATTCTCTCTGGAATGGTGCAACAGAACTAATTTCTTAACTACCCTACCAGACTGCTTTTAGTGCAATCCATGTTCCGGGGTATGATCTGAAAGCTCATGATGCAACCAACTGGATTACCCAACTAATCAGGTTCTCCTAGACCACATGCATAACACCTTGGGTTCCATGATTGAAGAAAGGCTGAATATAAATTATAGCAAGTAAATAAAGAAATAAATCCAGAAGCAAGCCCATCAAGTTCAGAGTGGCGTCTTCTCTGGGGCTGGGGGAAAGCCCCACAGAAAGTTGGTAGATTGCCTTCTTTAAATGTGCCAGTGATGGCTTCTAAGTTGCTGGGGGATCCATGATATATATGTGGTATGATTATGAAGCCTGGGTGCTTGTCTTCAGAAATGAGCTGTGGTGTGCGTGGCTGATGACAGGATCTTTTCTGTGACTGCACCATGCTGTAAGTAGAAATAGCACTTAGCACCATTTCCTCTTTTAGGCAGCAAGTTAAAAAAAACATTTATCTTCTCCTAATGTGTCTTGCTGCTGCTTTTCACTTCGTAAGGAAGAAATAGCTTTATTCCGCAAGGCCAAAGGCATGACATACCACCCCTGCCACAATATAGCTGGTTTTGCCCACCGCCCAGCTAACAGGGTGAGGGTGACTCACCAGCAATTACAGTGCAGCCAGGGCTGGATTTAGGTTTGAAGCTACTGAAGGTAATGGGGCCCTTTATATGCCCAGCTGTCCTTTGTCAACAACAAATTGTCACTGTTTTTTGTGTTGAATATATGCTATATGGCGATTTATGGACCTAATAGGTATCTAAAGCCATTTGCATATAACAAATAAAACACTGTTGCTGTATGTAGGTTTTATTTTGCTTTTTATCTTATATTTTGGAAATGTACATCCAGCGGTTGTTTAAAATTTTTTGGGGTGTGGGTCCCTAAGCTATAGCTTCTTTAGCTTATACGTAAATCAGGCACTGAACCCTATGTGCGCCTGCCTTGAAATGAAGTGCCAGGTCGATGGTGCCTACTTCCCAGGCCTGTTCGTGCGAGAGGTTGCGCAGGTGCGCACTGACTCAGCGCACTTCTGAGGGAACCTTGCGCGCAGGTGACTGGTGGGGGGGGGGAGGGATTCCTCTGTCCCGGACGGGACTCCGGTTCCGTCAGCCACCTGGCACTTCAGAGGCAGGCGACAAGCGGGGAGGAGAGCGCCGGGAGGAGGCCGCTCCCGGCGTTCTAAGCGCTTGCGCAAGGCAAGAGGCTCTTGCACCAGCGACGCCGTCACAATCCACCGCCGCCTCTGCCCGGGGAGGGAGCGGCGGCGGCGGCGGCCGCAACAGCAAGCAGCAGGCGGCGAGCCAGTGCAGCCCAAGGCCGAGGAGCCTCCAGTTCACGTCAGAGGCCCGGTGCACGTGACCGGCTAGCTCAGCGGCCCCCATTCCCGATGCATTGAGCCGCTTCCTGTAGGGAGGGGGGGAAATAAACCCGCCCTGCCCTCCTCCTCCTCCCGGCTCGCTGATTGGCGGCTGAGCGGCAGCGCGTCGGGCCAGCGCCCCCTTCCCCGCCTCCAGCCTCTGATCCGGGAAGCCACGCGCCGCTCTCAAGAGCGGAGGGCGCCGGCTCGGGAGTGTCAGTCTTCTGTCACTCTCGCTCCCGCCCGCCCTCGCCGTGGCGGGTGACAGGGTCGCCTAGGAGACGGGCCGGGGTCGCGCGCGCGGACGGAGCCTGCCCATGGCAGAGGCCCGGGGTGGGGCGATGGGCCCGCTGGTTGGGGCCATCGATCAAGGGACCAGCTCCACGCGCTTCCTGGTAAGCGCAAGCCGGCGAGCGGCCGCCTCCGGGGACGGAGGGGGATGATGGAGTGACAGGAGGAGGCGGCGGCGTGGTTGCCCTTGGTGGGAGCGTGGAGGACGGAGGCTGCTGAGAGGGGCTGGGCAGGTGCCAAGCGAGGTCTCCCCTTGCCCAGGCTCGCGGAGGGAGAAGAGGGGGAAGTGCCCTTGGCCAGCTAAAATAGCCTTAAAAGAAGATGCCCCCCACACTGGGGAAGCTTCAGGGTCAGCGGGTTGCGTTTCGAGACCCGTACGAGCCCCAGGGCTTAAAAAGCAAACAAACCCATTATTTTGTTACGAATGGAACACATCTAAGAGCAAATGATCAATGCCTCTTCTACCTCTCTGTCTTTACATATAGGGCTGCTGGTGTTGGCTTTGGTTTTTGTTTGTGTGTGTGCCCAGGGGTAATTGGAGAAGGGGATATTGGCTTCTCCTGGAATAGAGAGCAGTCTGACATAGAGCCCTTTTCTCACTTTATCCCCTTAACTGTTCTGCCTTTTTCCTTGTCGTGCTGGGCAGTATGAGAGACAGGGAGTTTCCACTCAGTCCTCTGATCTAGGGTGTGATGGATGGAAGCAGGCGTGAGAGCTTTCTTTTATGCTGCTGGCGTTTCTTATCCTACAAGCCACAGTGCATCATCCATTTGCTGTCTACGCTAGATCACCTGTAGTGTGTAAACTCATAGGTTGGTGGATGGAAAAGTTTATACAGGGAAGAAAAAAGATGAGTAGAATCTGGTAACAACTTCTAACATTGTTATTCCCGTTTCTTGCATTATTAGTGTTGTACTAAAAAGTTTAGCTTGGATTCTGGGCAATTCCAGTGTGAATGAAGCCTCGGAAAACAGGTGCCACTGCTTCATCCAGAGATCAATATGCACTACAGGTAGTTGCATTTGTCAGAACTATGGTACCCTACCGTGAACCTCAAAGCTGAGGACAGTGAAATAAAAAATGGCTGGCAGGCAAGAAATGTCATCTTATACTTCACTCATGCACAGTTTGTATCCTGCTTAATCCAGTTTTGCAACTGTAGTTCTGTGCAAACTTGGGAATGTCCCTCTGAATTTGGAAACACAAGCATTTCTAAATATTGTTTTATATACCGTATTTTTTGCTCTATAAGACTCACTTTTTCCCTCCTAAAAAGTAAGGGGAAATGTGTGTGCGTCTTATGGAGCGAATGCAGGCTGCACAGCTATCCCAGAAGCCAGAACAGCAAGAGGGATTGCTGCTTTCGCTGGGCAGAGATCCCTCTTGCTGTTCTGGCTTCTGAGATTCAGAATATATTTTTTCTTGTTTTCCTCCTCCAAAAACTAGGTGCGTCTTGTGGTCTGGTGCGTCTTATAGAGTGAAAAATGCGGTATAAGGTAAAATCTTGTTTGTGTTTTTCACGCAGACTATACTTGTATAGAGCAGGCGATTTTGTATAATAAGGTTTTCACCAGATTTAAGGGTTAAATCATTGTTTTTAGTAATAATAATAATAATAATAATAATGGTCTGAATGTCCTCTCTTGTTCTTTAAGCATTCTCTTCACCCAACTTTTCCAACTTTTTTCTTTTCTTTCTTTGCTTTTTAAACTGGGCAAACATTCATAGAGGATCTGGCTAAAGTCCAGGAATCTGTTTTAACAAATATTATGAAAACAAACAAGGTTAAAATAGATTTCAGGCATAGTTGAAGTCAAGAGTTTATTGCTGAAGTGGAGTCATATCATAGATAAGGGGAATGTGTATCATACCATCAAAACAATTGCAGTGCATAAATGTACCCAAAAAAGTACAGTACTAATTCTGCACCAGAGTTTTAAATTGCTTTGGTAGGATTTTCATGCATTCTGCTTACAGTTTGACATGAAGTACAAGAATGCATTTGTCATTGTTTTATGTTCTTTTGAACATTATTTTGCTTGCCTGTATCAGAGTAACAGGCTGCCAGATTTGGTACTAACTTTGTGTGCATATACAGCACATTTTAAGCGCCCATTCTGGGACACCATTGAACCTGCAAATTTCTATGAATTGCATATAAAATTCCATGAATGTGTTTCCATAGACACTATGAAAGCATATCCTGTATTCTGAGGGGTAAATGCAACCCTGCAATATCATATCAGGATTATACAAGTATGTGCTTGTCCTGAAACATCAAGCCAGCCATGGGTTTGATACTTGTTTTATGTTTTGTTTGTTTATTAATAAATTTACAACCTGCCTTTCAGGATTTAGTGCCCTTCTAAGGCAGTGTATAGAAAACTACAGAACATGATAGACAAAATCAGCACCATCAAATTAAAATCCATATTATACCCATTTACAGTGAGCAGTGATACTTCATCAGAACACAGCTATTAATAGAACACAGACTGAAATTAACTGACTTGAAGAATTCTATTGAAAATAAACAATGATAAGGGCCATAGTTATTTCCACAAGTGTGGATAGAAAAGTGCTTGGTACACAAGCTGACATCTCTTAGAAGCTGATCTTAAAGCTTGAGCAAGCTCATACAGCTGCAGGTGGTCCTCCAGATAACCTAGTCCCAACCCATTTTGGGTTTTAAGGCCAAAATCAGTAGTTTAAATTGGGCTCAGAAGGAGATAGGCAGCTGAATGTTTGTCGCCTTCTTGGCCATTAGACCCACTATTGGTCTTGTCTGCTCAATCTGCCGAAGTTTATATTTGCATGCAGGAAAAGTCCCTAACTCACCAAGGGTTTGAGACCCATTGCCTACCTTCACCTGGTTTAGCCGGCAAGTCGAAGTCATGCCCGGGGTGTGACTGCTGTCACATGCTGACAGTTTCTAGCAGCTACAGGTGAGAGCTGAGTGCAGGATGGGGACGGAGGGTAGACAAACTACCCCAGAAGGAGCATGGCTTAATCTAGCTATCCTTCTTCTGAACAAAATCAAGTATAGAAAAATATGTTTTAAAACTTCATCCATTGGTTTTATATTGGAATTGAGTCTTTATGTTTTTTATGTATACAACTCCTGTGTATATATTGTTATAAAACATCTTCCTGAAAAAGAAGTAATGGTCCTGGTACGGTAACAGGTGCAGCACACGCTTCTCTTATATGAAAGAGTTAATACTGTAGAATGAGAGTAAAATAAGTTCAACGAACCCCAAGGCAATGATTAACAACTGTTTGAGTACTTTGGAAGCATCTCCCTCTTAGAAGCATTCCTAAACTTGCCTCTGTTGATCCTCACCTTTGAACTACATAGTTACATTAACTGAAAAGCAAACCAAAATTTAGAATAAAAGATTTGGTAGAGAATATTTAAATGAAACAGAAAATCTTTCACAAATAGTTCACACTTCCTTGAGACTATTTGCTAGATGACGCAAAAGTACAGGATGTTTCTTTTAATGGGCCAACCGGAGTTGAATTTCAGGAAGAACTCCTTTGGTCTTTTGATAGCAGGAGCTGCCTGAGGCCTTCCTGTGCTATTCTCTGCATTTCAGAAGGAAGCATTATTGAGGTCAGTCCACTGAGTAGAAAAGGTGGTTAACCTGTGACTCTTCAGATGTTCTTGGTCCAGCCAATGGCCATGGATGGTTGGGGCTGGAATCCAGCAACACATAGAGGACTATAGATTAGCCACCATTGCTGTATAGCAGAAGTTTTCAACCTTTTTGAGTCCATGGCTCCCTTAACCAACAACCTTCTTTCTTTGGTACCCCTGTGGGGCTCAGGAGCCCAGTTATGTCACCCCTTTTTCAAACACCCTCCCTTGTGGAGGCCTCGTCTCCTCTCCCCTCTCTTTGGGAGTCCTCCAGGCAGCAGCTGCTACCATCCCTGGTCTCTGAGCTGCCCCCCATAAGAGAGGTGCCTCCCAGAGGCAGCATTCACCTGCGGAGATTATAGCCAGGGTTGCTGCAATAAACAGCTGTGCAAGGCTTTGGAAGGCACAGGTGCAAGAGGGCATCAGATGAGGGAGGGAAGGAAGAGTGACAGTGTTGTCCGCGGCACCCCTGACCACCATTCAAGGCACGCCAGAGAGAAATAGCACACTGGTTGAAAACCACTGGTGTATAGAATTGCAGCCCTAGCTGCTCTAGCCCTGCAGTGATTCAGAGTTCACTAAAGATAATGGCCTGTTTTAAATGATCCACTTCCAGCACCATTCTTATTAAATTATTCAGAAGCTATATGTGTTTCACAAGCCATGCTGTCCTGATTTGATATGAAACAACCATACCAGCAATGGTTCACCAATTTCATTTATGTTTTTTTAAAAAATAATAATATTTATTAGTAGTTTTCAGAATTATAAGAAGAAAAACATTAAAAAACAACACTATAATAGACAAAAAGAAAAAAAACACAAAAACCAATACAACAATGCAACAAAAAAATAAAAAGAAAGAAGAAAACAACACAAATCCCAACTTACATATCTAAAATTTCCATTTGCTTGTTTCATTGACTTCCTCACACCTCCCTTTTTGTATTCTAGTTTAATTAGTTATTTCAGCAAATTCTTTCCATCTTTCTCAATTTTTGTTAAAAAATTCATCCTAACCTAATTTAATAATAATTAACTCAACAAATCCTTTCCATCTTTCCCCATATTCTATTATTCACATTACCTTAATTAATTTAACCTTATCTTACCCTAAAACACCTTAAAGCTTGAATCTTAGTTATCAAATATACATTACTCCTGATATCATTTCTGCTAAAGTCATATAGTTTCATTCCAACATTTTCCCTAATATTCATTAATTTTTAGCCAATTCCCCAATTAGAAAATTTTCATTATAAATTTTCTTCCAATCTTCATCCAACGTCCCTTCTTCCTGGTCTCGGATCGTGTCAGTCCTTACTGTCCATTCCATCTAGTCCATCAACCTGGAAGCCTTATGTCCGAGGCCCTTAAGTCTCTTCCATGTCCCTTCTGCAATTCTTCTTCTTCTTGTTTATACTTGCCCTTTTCCTTGTCTTTTGCTGGTCTCTTTCTTAGTTTCTTTCCTTTCTCATTTAGGGGTAGGCCTCTGGGGGGTTCCAAGCCAGAATTGTCTCCATCTCCCTTCATCAAACCCGCCCATTCCCCACAGTCCCACACCCCACAATCCTCAATATAGTCCAAAAAGTATTTAAAAGCATATTCCAAGGTCTCTCCAGCGTTGGGAACCTCCTCAACTCCAGACTCCCCCTCTTCAATGACAGCGGCTCATACTCCTGAAGGGCCTCGGGACTCTCCATTTGTATTATTTGGGGTGCAACCGCATCCTCCTCCATTATCTTCTGCACTTGCCCAGTCAGTACAGATTCATGAGTTGGTCCCTGGATAATTTCTGTATCAATATTCCCTGTTTGCCCACAGTCATTAACTGCAACAGTCAAATCCATTTTCTCATTCATCAAATCCATCTTCTCATGCATCTGTTCCAGCAGGGCACTTGTCTTACATAAGGCAAGCACCCAGTCTTCTTTCCCACTCATCTTTAGTCAAGGTCAGAAAAGCCTGTTCCCACGGTCTTAATCTCACATCTGTTGAGCCCTCAAGTGTACTGCAGCAACAATTTGACAAGCTCCCTCTAGAGGAGGCAATTTCTATTTGTATCAAAAAAATTTTTAGGCAAGTCCAACAAAGGAAAATTACTTTCGTTTTTCAGATATTTTTCAGATATTTTGTTTCTTTAGGATGCAAAAGGCAACATAGGAATCAGCTTGTTTCTCTTCTTTAGCTATCTGTCAAAAATATCCCATTCACAGTCAATGAACCTCTCCAACAATTTCTGTCTCTGACACCCCGTTCCCAGGTTAGAGACGGTGGAAACTTATCCTTCTTCACGTCCTCTCCTGCTAGGGTTGAACAAAGCCCCCCCCCTTTTCTCCTGCTTCCAAGGGGGTTTCAGTAATTCTAAATGAAGAAAATTTAGACTTTTTTGACCGCTTTCCAGGCTTTAGCTTACAAAGTTTTTGCTTTAGTCTATATACAAAAAGCAGAAGGCAGACTTCCTGTTTTGAACCTTCCCGCTTCGTTACCAAATTAAGAAATTTCTTGATCCAGTTTTCCGTTTCTACTCACGGGTACTTGTTTTAAATCCAATTGTCCACAGGAAAAAGTCAGCGCTCTCCGGCAATGGCTGTGCGGCTTCACTCCGTGAAAGTAGCAGTCAGTTCGCAGCACCGCGCCACTCACCCCACTTCGCTCTGGAGCCCCTAAATGGGATTCCCTGCGAGTAGGGGGGCGCTCCTGGTGCCCTGCCGAACCCCACGTTCCCAGGCTTCCTCCGCCTGGGATTTCTAGCGGGTCCCCACCTTCGCCGCGGCGGGAAGACCCAGTTTCCACAGAGCCCCTTCCTCCGGACGGAGGAACTCCGCCATTCACCAATGGCGCTGACCCGGAAGTCACCAATTTCATTTATGAAAGGAGAACTGGTTTTGATCAGATGAATTAAGCATAGTTTCTAGCTGCAAATGTTTCCGATTGTGTTCTTTTTCCTTTAGGTGTCTCACCCTCCTCAATAAAGTTTGGAGGATTTTAAGTAGCTGCAGGAGTACAGTGGTACTTCTGGTTACAAACACCTCGGGTTACAAACACTTCGGGTTACAGACTCCGCTAACCCGGAACAGGATGAGAACAGAAATCGTGCGGCGGCAGCAGTGGGAGGCCCCATTAGCTAAAGTGGTACCTCAGGTTAAGAACGGTTTCAGGTTAAGAACGGACTTCTGGAATGAATTAAGTTTGTAACAAGAGGTACCACTGTATGTTTATCACAGAGAGCATTAGAAGTATTGGCGAACAATATTCCATGCTGTACTGTTTTCATCAGCAAACAAATTTTGTCATACTGCTTGTAAATATGTGGGGGAAACACAGTGTAATTTTCACTTGAAATTACTCAGTAGTTTCTGAGACAAGAAACATTTCGACATGTTTGTCTAGACAAACATTTTAAGTGGCAGCATTACATTTCTACTGTACCTCTACTCTTACTGTAATGGCCAGTGATTTTTATATAGCTATCATCGCCTTTCTCTTATTATTTGTAATCAAATTATGATTACCATTTAATTTGTATTGAAAAAATTCTTATACCTGTAGTTAGAAATCAAAGAGATGTATGCGCTCACAGATGTATGTGCATGTCCTAGATACCTCTATCAGATTTGGATTTTTATTGTGATTGATGTTACTCTTAATAAACTTCTTTACTCAGCTATCTGGGGAGGTATCTGGAGTGAGTTGAAAAGGATTAAGCACTTTTGCCCTCTTACTGTAAAGCAAGTAAGGTTAGCCTGAATGGTTAGGACTACAGTAAACTGGGTTTCAGTTAACAATTCAGCAAAAGTTGCTGTTGAAGGCAGAGATCTCAAAGAGAGGCTGTTTTCAGGATAAAATTAACATCACAGATGTTAGAAGGTAGACTCGTAATCTGGTGAACAGGGTTCGCATCTCCGCTCCTCCACATATAGCTGCTGGATGACCTTGGGCTAGTCACACTTCTCTGAAGTCCCTCAGCCCCACTCACCTCACAGAGTGTTTGTTGCGGGGGAGGAAGGAAAAGGAGAATGTTAGCCGCTTTGAGACTCCTTCGGGTAGCGATAAGCAGGATATCAAATCCAAACTCCTCCTCTTCTCATGTAAAAGGAGAAGATAAGGAACATAATTTCAGAATTGGCATGAACATGCAACCTTCTTGATGTTTTGAAGTGATTTGATGTCTTTTGGATTTTCATAACACGTTAGAAACTGCATAGAAAGCATAATTATTTGGACACTTGAGTGAGTTTGTGATTTATTTAGGTTAGTAGTTTATTTAGATGAATAAATATGTACTTTGGGAAAGAATAATCAATTATGTCTAACCGTTGATTTCAACATTTTTATCTTCAATGTCACTTAACAGTATAAATATAGAAATTATTTGGACTGATCTCTAAAATCTTAAAACAAATGGAGATTATTATGTTGTGATAAAGTTCAGCACCACTATAGTAAATAGATAATTAGATTATATCCTGTATATGTACCTTAGTGGGTTTTTTTTTAAAAAGCAATATGACTTTTCACCCTGCTTTTTAATGGTGACTCAGACTTTTAGGGCGGTTTCCTTAATCTACCTATCTTTTTGTCAGTAATCCTTTCAAAGGGAGGCTCCAGAAACTGCTGTTCCCTTTGTCTCCATGGATGATTAACCTTTCCTATCATTGCAAAATTGAGCCATATGGTTGCAAAAGCCATAATATAACTCATGGTCCAGAAGTCTCTGCTTCCAACTTTTTTTTTTTTAAATAAAAAAAACCCTTCAGGTTCCTGTAACATGTGGTTTAGTGGCCTCTTCTAGAGTTAAGCAAGTATTTCTTGCATCATTTTGCTCTTTGACAATTTTCTGTTATGTATAATATAGTCTTTGTTAAGGGAGTTAACTTCTGAATGCTACTGTCATCCCTGAAACATGTTTCCAAGTAACTGTTCGAGAGGCGGGTGCCAAGCTTCTTTGTCTGCCTCTCCCTCTAATTATGTTTTTACAAACTGGTTTGGTGTTCTTTTATGCATTACAGGTCTTTAATGCAAAAACAGCTGAGCTGTTGAGTTACCACCAAGTAGAAATCCAACAGAAATTCCCCAAAGAAGGGTAGAGTATTTTTTTTTCTTTGCATACTTGACCGCTTGTCATTCAGGCTGCAATCCTAACCATATCTACTTGGAAGTAAGTCCCACTGAATTCAGTAGAGCTTTCTCCCAGGTAATTGGGGTTAAGACAGCAGCCATAGTGTGATATTGCTAAACTTTAAACTCTACATGAGCAGAAAGTCACTTCCACTCTTCACTTTGCTTTGCCCCTGTGAATTTATGCCCATTGCTCCCTCTGACTGCAGCCATCCACTCCATGCCTTTCAGAAGTACACTGGAGACCACAGGGGGCTGGAGTGAGGAGCAGGAGATGGGAAAGACCTGTTTTTTGGGTGGTGTTTCATTCACATGTCTATGGATCCAAGCCTACACATTCCTACTTAAGCCAGTGAAATGGTTTGTAGGCATATGAGGCAAAGTTTGGAAGACTGACATCATTGCAATAATGTAATATACTTTTCGGTTTTTCTTTGTTACTGTATTTGTTTTTAATCAATAGTTAGCCTCAGTAGTGGGTGTTGGGCTGGGGTTGTGTTGCTGCAGAAGAGGATGGGGTAGGTGGCGCTGGTGCATTTGTGCCACACCAACCACACTACTATCTCACTCCCCCCTCCCAACACCTCCCAGTAAGTAGTAGCACCATAACCAACCAGAGATCAGGTGAACAGAAGTGGCACTGGGTGTTTGTTAGCCTTGCACAACATTTTTTTAAGTTGGAAAAGTAGCAGCCAATCTCGTTTGCCTTTGACGTACGGGCTCTTCAGCTCTCTCTTCTTTTCTGCTTCTTAACAATTTTATGGTAAGAGGAATTACAGTAATGTTAAAAATCCACTAGATTCTACTTTGTAACAAACTTGTTGATACTAATTGAAAATGATGTTAGTAAATTGTCATTCATTTCTAATGCATTGGTAGCAGAGTTTCCCAAACTTGGGTTTCCAGCTGTTTTTGGACTACAGTTCCCACCATCTCTGACCACAAGTCCTGCTGGTTAGAGATGATGATAGTTGTAATCCAACAACAGCTGGAGACTCATTTGGGAAACCCTGTGTTGGAGGAAACAGATGAGATTTCATGATATTTGTGTACATAATGCCAGATGCAAAATACAGATTTCTGATACTAACCTTGGTTTTCTCTATGCTTCTCTTCTCTATGCTTATCTTATCTGTTCAAGGTGGGTAGAACAAGATCCAAAGGAAATACTACAATCTGTCTATGAATGTGTTGAAAAAACATGTGAGAAACTGAAACAACTGAATGTGGACATTGCCAGTATAAAAGGTATTACCCACATTTTCATAAAATTAATCATTTTTTGAAGCAGTGGTCAGAAAGGGCACATTTCTGAATTTTTCTTTAGGAATAGAACTGATATGTTAAACTATTAAAGCCAATGCAAGATGTTTCTGGAGTGTAGCTTATTGGTGTGTTGTTATTTTGTCAGAGTTTCCTTTCAGAAGATAGGCTAAGCTGGAAATGAGGAAATAAATAGGTTGTGGTTTGTGCAATGCTGTTCTGGAAACCCAAGGGAAGTGTGTGGTCTCTTGCACAGGGATTTCAGCCAACCCTTCCAGAAGGCAGCCTGCCTTCTTTATTTCTCCCCCACCCCAGATTAAGGGATTGCCCAGTGTAGCATTTTATTTGGTGCAAAGGGCTGCTGCTGAAAGCCAGTTCTGGTAAATTCTCTTGCCCCTCTGCCAAATGTGTGCACAGGAACACTTTGTGAAAACGTAGGTTTCTCTGGATCCTAACCAGTATCTTTATTCAGTGAGTAAATTGTATTAAGGGGGGGTGGAATTAACAGGGAAAGTGTTTATACAATAGAAATTATGGAAAGTATTGAAATATTTCTTGAAGTATGCCATGTCAAATCCAGCAAATGTTAAAATTTCGTTCTGTTTTTAAGCTGTTGGGGTCTGCAATCAGAGAGAGACAACTGTGGTTTGGGACAAACGAACTGGAGAGCCTCTCTATAATGCTCTAGGTAAGTGTTTTGTTTAATAGGGATGTAGTTTTCCACTTGACTATGTGCTAATCATTTTATTTATTTATAATGGAGTATAGTGAACTTCCTGAAGCTAATTTATCTTGGAATCCAAGCCTATGAGTGAGTTGTATCCAACACGGCGCAAGCAGTAATCTACTTGCACAACAGGACTTCCCCTTCCTCTTCTCTCTCTGTACACCCGTGAAATTTGCTCCAGAGGGTTCCCCAATCATATGTAGCAGGTTTTTAGAGTCCACATTAGGGCTTCAGGTGAGAGGTTGGAGGTTCTGTTGTGCAACTGGAAGTCTGTTGTTCCAGCAGAACAGCAGCATTGAACACAACCCTGTGTCTTTTTCATCTCAGTGTATATATATAGAGAGAGAGAGAGAGAAAGAGGAGAGGGGCATCAGCTTTGGGTCTGAATGGCATTAGCCTTTTGTTAACTGTTATTCATTCATCTGATTGATCTAAATATTTCTAACAAATAGCCTGTTAAACTGTATTTGGTTCTTGTAGAATGTTTTATCATTGTGGTGCATATCACATGGTTTTAGTTTTATTAGTTCTATAATAAGAGGGAAACAAGTTTTTAATATTTTACTCGGTTTAAGCTGATGCCGGCTTGTTAATAGCCACTTCACAGTACCATGTTGCCTGCAACAAGCAAGAATTATCCCCAGGAAGGGATACTTTTATTATTTATTGTTCAAGTGGTCTGTGTGGCCCAGAATATTGAACACTTAATATGTGAGGACTTTTGCTCACGTATTTGCAAGCCTGGGTTAATTCTAATTATATTATAATTGCACTTTCACGAATCCTTTCATGAAAGGCAGATTTTTTAGAACCTTAAAAGCTATGACAAAGGGGTCAAAACTCTGTTTATGTAGCAGTACTTACTCATCCACACTACTTGATGAAAGGGAGAGGATAACACAGTCCATAATGAAGCAACCCCCCCCCAAAATTTTTAAAACATATTTCTGCTTCCATGGGAGAAATGCCAGAACACACAAGCTCTGCTTGGTGTGTAGAAGTTATTTGGAGAATCACTTCTCTGTGGTGGAAGCCTGAATTACTGAAATTTTCAGTAGCATAACCCTAATCAATCACTTATGTTTGTCTTTGTGTTATAGTGTGGCTTGATCTAAGAACCCAGTCTACCGTTGAGCGACTGCTTAAAAAAATTCCAGGGCACAATAAATCCTTTTTTAAGGTAAAATCTCTTGCTGTTTTAACAATATAGGGAAGTGAGGTGTTGATGTGACATTGTACTTGTTTTGTAGTGAATACAGTTTATGTTATTGTAGCACAGGGATAGCCTAACTACTGTTGTCAATGCTCTGGTAACCTCTTGGTTAGATTACTGCAATGCGTTATATCTGGCTGTGAAGATGGTTCAGAAACTTCAGCAGGTGCAGAATTCGTCAGCCGGGTTGCTCACCTGGCTAAGATGGTTTGAGCATATTACGCCCATCCAGGCCTGACTGTACTGGCTGCCAATTAGTTTCTGGGCCCCATTCAGATTGCTGGTTTTGACCTACAAAGCCTTAAACAACTCAGGACCACAATACCTCAAGAACTGTCTCTGTCCATATGAACCTACTCCAATCCTGCGATTATCATCTGAGGCCCTCCTTTGTGATGGGTCCAGAAGGTGGTAACACAAGAATGGGCCTTTTCTGCAGTGGCTCCCTGTTTGTGGAATGCTCTTCCCAAGGAGGTTCAGCTGACACCTTCATTAGACATCTTTAGTTGCCAGATGAAAACACTCCTCTTCAACCAGGCATTTGACTGATTAACATCCTATACTCTTTTAAATGTGTTTGTGCAAGGCAGGTTTATTGGCTTGCACATGGTGCGGGGGTGGGAAGTGTCTTGTTTTTTATGTTGTGAACTGCCCTGAGATCTACAGGTGTAGGACAGTATACAAATTTAATACAGTAAATAAGAGTAAGAATAATTTTCCTTGAGAATACGGAGAAAGGAGAGCAGAAAGCATGTTTTTAAAAGTTGAAGTAAGTATATGTGTTATCACTTGTAAGAAGGGTTAAATTATTCCTCCTATGTGTGAAGATAGGAACAAGTAGGATAGCAAGCATTCCTTATTTACTAAGAATATGAAACTACCTAACCCAAATTTTCATAGAAATAGATCATGATGCAAGAGGTTATTTAACGACTTTGCTGTCAATTCATCTATTCCAAGCTACACAGAAATTGCCCCTCAGTGTTAGCATATTTCCTAGACATTGCCAAAATAAAATTATTTAGGAACATATAAGTAAAACAGCCTCTTAACCTATTTGCTTTGAAAGCTTCCACTGTATAATGCAGGAGTTCTTTCTTTCTGATTGCCTCCATCATTATTTGCTTTCCAAACACAGACAGATAACCTGTATAAAACATGACCTTTAGAATATGTTTCTGTCTGTTTTGCTACGTGGCAGGTCTTCAAACTACCTGTTCTCTTGATCTTTGATCATGTTGGATTTTGGTACACGTAAGGTTTACAATACTTGAGAGTGACTGATGCTAATGACCCTTTTATTGTGCTTCTGCTACAGATGATCCTTTTGTCATTTTTATTGCTGGTGTTTCTCCTTTATGTTCTGAAAATCTTTCCTTTTTTGCAGAATAAGACAGGCCTCCCACTTAGCACATATTTCAGTGCTGTGAAACTTTGCTGGCTTTTGGACAATGTGAAGGAGGTCAGGCAAGCAGTTCAGGAGAGGCGAGCTCTGTTTGGTACCATTGACACATGGCTAATATGGGTATGTCTCAATAGGCTATATAGCAATCAACTTCTTTTGCTTTATACTTTCTCAATTTTAATCAAAGAACATTCAACGTTTTCTAAACAGGAAATCAGTTTTCACTGCCACCTCATCAGAATCGTACATGTGCCTATATAATCTGCCTCCAACATTATTTGCAGCAGAATGTAATGCACCTGAATAAAATGGGCACACATCAGTTATGGTCAACAGGTTTTAAGTACTCACCTTCCTCTAGCTTGTCTCATAAGGTATCATGGCGCTAATGTTTTATTTTGTGAACTGCCCTGAGATCTTTTGGTGAAGGGCGGTATATAAATTGATTAAAAATAAATATAAATAGTGTGTGTCAGATACGAATAATCCAAGGGATCATGGCTGCTACCCTTCCATGCATTCAGTGAATACAATGGGATTGTGCATGCCTAACCACACACACCTAGCAGATGCATGTCTGATGTAAGGATGAAGGGATACTAAAGTATTTACGGCTCCTGCGCTTAAAAGGGAACTTTAGCCAATGAGGCTTCTTGATCATGTGAATCACCCTTTCACATTAATGCTGAATTTGTAGCCATGACAGGGAATGAGGAATGGACAGTGGGTGTGATCCTGATTCTCTCTCATTCATTCATTGAACACATGGAGAGTGAACATGTGCTTAAACCTCTAAGATCTTGCATAAGAGTAAAATTCCAGTACATGTCCTAGAAGCAGGAGTTTTCAAAAGCTTTGCAGCCATTAAAAATGGGAGTTCTAATGACCGCCTTCATTGTGTCCCAGAGAAAAGGGGTAGCTGTGTTATCTACATCGTTTTCCTTAAAATAATATTGAAGGGCTTTCAAAACATTTTCTCTGGCTAGAGAGTTTGTAAGTAAAGTTGGGTGGAAAGACCAAGTTGGTGAACTATGTTTTTCCCCTCCCAGATGGGGAGTAACCTCAACCAGGGTATAGTCAGTGATTTTTATATTCCAATATTAGTAGATGTGACTGGTGGGATCAATCATTGTGTAATAAAAATGAAATTTAGCCAGGACTGTGATGTACAGCAGTTAGAACTAAACGCAAAACTGAAATCGCTGGGGATTTGTTCACTCCAAATGTCATATAGGCCCCCTTTCTGTATGTTCTCAATAAAGTGTATGATTCCTTGATCTTTTTGCTCTTGCCTTTGAAGAAAGATTTGCTTTTGAGGAAAGGCTTGCTGTATTATTCTTGCATATGTATACTACATTATGATAACTGTTCCTATTAAAGCCAAATACTGGGGTCCCCAAATGGTCATGACATCCTCAGAAACAGCCTTGCCAGTACTCCCTGCCACTCCCTATTTTATTTTAGTTTAATGAGGGTTTTTTTGGGGGGGGAGGGTAAGCATCACCAGTTTTTTTTCTACAGTGATTATAACTATTTTTGAATGAGCCCTGTGAGCAGGAAAAGATTGGGGATACTTGAACAAATTCTTTAAATATAGTAAGAGTGAACAGTGGTCTACCAGATTTCCAACTTCCATTTCTAGGGAAGCAGTGATGAGCTTCTAGTTTTACTGATCTGTCTTTGCTTATTTTTATTTTTTTAATTTAAGAGTTTGACAGGTGGAAAAAATGGAGGTGTTCATTGCACTGATGTAACCAATGCCAGTAGAACAATGCTGTTCAACATTCATTCGTTAGAATGGGATACTGAACTCTGCAAGTAAGTACCTTGTCTGTCCATCTTCTTCAGTGCCTAGATTTGCTTTGACCATCTTCAAAAAGCCATACTGATGTACAGGTTTCTAAGCAGGTTTACTTGGAAATAAATTCTGTTAGCTGAGTGGCACTTGGTCCTAATAGTTGTTTTTCCAGGGTCACATGTGAAAAACTTCTAAATGGTCTGTGTTCTGAAACTAAAGAACAAGTTGTTGCTTAATAGCAATGAGTTTATCTGATTCTGGCTTTGTAATGGGGATCCAGGTGGAGCTGTATGTGTTTGAGAGATTAGTACACAATAGATTCTGCAGCCATTATTGCTTATGGTAAAGGTTCAAATCCAGCTTGTCAAATGGTGGGTGGTCACAAGATGCATCACAATTCTGTGCATGAAATCTTGGGCATGAAATCTCGTCTGAATTAACCATTAGACTCTAAACTGGTAGGCCTCAAAATGTTATTGGATTACATCTACCATCATCCCTGGCCATTGACCATGCCGGTTGGGGGTGGTGGAAGTTGGAGTCCAACAACATTTTCAGGGCCACAGGTTCCTCTCCACTGAGTAAAATTGATGTTCACTTCTTCCTCAAATTATACAAGACTCACTTTTAAAAATTCATTTCGCACTGTGTTTAACACACTTTAATCAAATTTAATCTGAGAGTGTGGAATTTCAATTGGTTAGGTACAACCAAACATGCATTCATGGATTTTCTGTGATAACCTGATGGGAGCAGTTCATTCCATAACTGAGAGAACACTTGGAATTAATTGTGAAATATTTGGTGGCATTTTTCTACATCACAGCTAGCAAATAATTCTGTTTTAACCTTTGAGAAGTGAAAGTAGTATTGTCGTTTATTAGCAGGATACATAAGATTGTCACTGCTGGCTGCTTGTAAACTCTTCTTGAGGCACCTGTAGCGATGGGGAAGCTGATCATTGGAGCTGGGAGAGATGCACACATAACCTCAGGTCAAATCAAGCTCCAGAATAAGTAAAAAAGAGAGTTATGCATGAAGTATTTACATCTACACATCATGAGGGCTTGCAAACCTTTGCAACAATTTTTAAACAAATGATGGCTTTATTAGCTAAGGAGAAGCTCAAGCGGGACCTCTGTTGGCCACACAAAGTTTTAGTTTAGTTTTAACCAATCAGAAGAAGCATTTAAGTGGACATTTCTTAGAATCATAGAATCATTTCTTGTTTTGAGGCAAACATTATGGGCCCCATATATTCTCCATCCACCCCCAGTTCAACTTTTTAATTAACAACCATGAATAATTTTGTATTAACTTTTGGAAAATGTTGTGTTTCCTTCCCAGATTTTTTGGAATTCCTATGGAAATACTTCCCAAAGTGCGGAGTTCCTCAGAGATCTATGGATTGATGGTATATATACAACTTTTCCTTAAATTCTTTTAGTTTAACAACATATGTGTGAATTGTGCCTTCTTAATCTTGATCGAATAAGCTGGATAACTCAGTTCTGTGAAAAAGTTATTTTTGTAAAACAGGAGAAGGAATAGCTTTTAAATTGGACTGTTAACTACCCTTCTTGAGAAAAGTTACATTTAGAAGATATAAGTTACTGTACAATTTTGTTTAAATCTCCCAATATTTTATATCTTATGAAATTATTGTTTTTTTACGGAAAACGACATATGGAATTTTTGAACTGGCATAGAAATATGTATCGGTGCTCTTCCTTAACTAAGGCTGCAATCCTAACCTACGTTAACTAGAAATAAGCCCCACTAAATTCAGTAGGACTTACTTCTGAGAAGACGTGGTTAGGGCTGGGCTGTAAGTTGGGGCAGAGTCCTGCAGAATTTGTGCACGTGGGCGGCTATAAACGAGGTGTGTGTCAGGTTTCTGAGGGCTGAGTGTACATTTAAATCATCTGAAGGACAGCAGGTTGTAGAAGGCTGTTATAGACACTTCCACTAGGATCTAAGGTCAACTTCTCTAATGTTACAGTTGCACCGAAGGAGTTGACAAACTTAAATGTTAGTGTAGAAAGCTGCTGTCTGAAATATATTTACTATGTTCCTAGTTAGTGACTCATTGTGAGCATTGGAAGAGTCTTGAGGAGATGTAAGAACCCTTTCCCTGCAAAGACACACCCCTTCTCACCCTAGGAAGCCACTGGCAATCAGTGCACAGGCTGAACTCCTGCTATGTATGCTGATGTTGGGCCTTGATATGGGGTGGAGACTGATGGGGGCTGAAGCACCATACATGTCTGGGCTGTGGGAAATAGCTCAGTGGTGATTCAGCATGTCTGGTCCACTATAGAACACTCTGGATAAGTTTTCCATCTGAAGATCAGCTACCGTAATGTTGGTTTGAAAGTTCTGTACAGTTATGAACTGGAAATGGTCTAAACTTTATTAAAGAAGTGATTGTTAAAATGGTTATAAAATGACAAGACACAATATTCTGTATTCCCAGACTTGGCTTGTAGAACAGTTTGGCAGGAGCCCTCTTTTTCAACAAGTACTGCAGCTTGATTGAGTCACTAGCTACAAGAAACTTTGACCCTCTTCTTCGTTCCCAGATTAGATAAAATCTTATCAGCGAATACTATATGATAATATGCAATTAACCAATTTAAATTAGTTTATGAATGCTCTTCACAAGAAAAGTATTCCAGCTTCATGGATGGGGTGTTTTTCAATAGTGTGGCCCAAATTTCCTTTTGTGACCTCTGCAGCTCAAAAAAAGAAAGAAAGAAAAAGCCATTTGCTTTAGACTCCAGTTTCTGAACTACCTTTAAATGAAAAGTGTTTGTGAAAGCAATAGAAATACTCACAAAAATTACTTGATACAGCTGATCTGTTGCTTAAAATGAAACAAATTGTACTTTCATTTCCCTCAAGTAATAGCCTCTCTGCTCTGTATGAGAAAGAGTGTTACTGGTGAATAGAGTACTGGTATTGGTAGTGGCCTTTTAAAATTAATTTAAAGCATTTGGCTTGTTTACAAGAATAAAAAATAGAGCCATAACGTTAGTGTCTTGAATACAACATAAGCCATTGTGAATTCCTGTATTTCATTGTGGGATGTTTAGGGGAAGGTTGCAGACTTTTAAAAACAAAGTGCTTGGCAAATAGTCTCCAACTGAACTGAAAGTGTTTCTGTACAAAAATACTTTAACCCAAATTAGGGTGGCTAAACTTTCAATATTATGAGTCTTGTACCTTTTTAATAATTGAAGAAGAGAAGAAATGGTTGCCAGTACAGCTTATCACAAGAACAGTAAAAGCTGCCTTCTCCCTTCACTTACTTGTCAACTATTAACAATGCAGGATCTCAGATGTTGAAAGGTTTGGCCTCTGATATCAGTAATCTGATATTACTGTTAAGTAAGTAACTAGGGCTATATACTTTGAATCATTTGAGAATAGAAGAGTGAAGTCCATTACTTTGAGTTCTAAACCTTTTGAATGTTTGCTTCAAAGTGTGTAGGTCTGATATTCATTTTACCCCAAACAGCAATTTATAGGAGGAGAATTGACTACTAGACTACCAAGCTTTGAAACTGTGAACTTGTTTGTCTCTCTTCCCCTCCTCCCTTCCCACTACTTTTCTCGCTGACTATAGAAAATCTCCCTTACCTTGGTGAGTAGGATTTTGTTAGGATGTCCCCTACTCACATATCCATCCATTTCTGCTTAGATGCAGTGCATTTCTTTAGGGGGAATCCTGTAGCTTTTTGAAAGGGATTGTGTCAGGCGGCATCCTCAAGTCAGACCGACTGAATCTGAAGCTTTTATTAGTGGTTCTGTTGAGGTGTTTACACTCCGCACCTGCTTAAAAAAAGTTAAAATGGGAAACTACTATTTCTCACTCCTAACTTTCCTTGTGAAAGATTGTATGAATTGAGGGCAAAAACACTGAAGAGGAGGAATACTAGTTTATGGTATATATCTCATCTCACCTTCAAAATGCTATTTAATAAGGTATCCCCAAATGGAAATGCACTGAGTGTACTCTCTGCATGGCTTCACAGAAGTGCTACTGGTCACTGTACGTACACACACACACACAATGCACCCTGCAAAAAAAAAAAAAAGCTGGTTTTGACGTGGGTGGCTTGGTGGGTACTAGGTGTTGGCATGCCTGGCTGTTTGCAAGCACACAAACATGTATTTCTTCTTTCCTTTTCGAGAAAACATCGCAAACTGTTCGATGGTATCTTACAAAATGATATCTCCTGTGTGCTCTTCCGCTAATACTCTGCCACAGTCACACCTGTATGTTAAGCACTGACCTCCCATTTTGAAGCATGTTGTTTACCATCTTATTGTAGCCCCACGTGTTATCAAAAATCAAGTCGTACTCTGTGCTGTGCTTTAATATGTGTATAAATGGTAGAGCAAACATTAGCTCTTCGATGAACTGAGGTGTAGAAAAGAGACTGCCACACTTGCGTTCCTTGACTGAGCAGAAAATGGAGGGCTGGGCAGGGATGTGGGAATCAAGAACAGGCATCCCATTCAACCTCCTCTCTCTCTTGTATTTGCCCAGTTACATGTACCTTGCAGTCCTGATAAGTTGGTTGTTATTGTACACTGTTTTGGGGCGGCTCATCCCATTTTGCCACCTGAGGCGAAAAGAGGAGTTGCCTCTCCTCACTTCTCTGGTGGCAGGTGCCTCCCACCCCACCCCCATCGCCAGAGAAATGAGGAGAGGCAGTAGCAAGAGCTCACCAGAACCATCGCCACAGCTTCTCCTCACTTCTTGGGCAGTGGTGGCAGTGGGTGGAGTAAGTAGTAGGCAAGCAATAAAGTGGGATTTGCCACCTCTGGATCTGAGGCACTCACCTCAGTGTGCCTAATAGTGCACAACCATAGTGTTACCATCTGCCCCTTAGATTATTTCTTCTCTCCCCCTCTCCCCAAGTCATTTCCAGTTTAGTTGGGCTCGCTGTGTATGTGGCCTATTTCACAGTGATACCAGTGGGCATATAGAAGTAAAGTCGTGCTGTGGCTGTCATATAACACATTTTCCTGCTAAAACAGGAACCAGTTATCGCATCCTGGTTTCAGCCAGAGTTTAATCATATAATGAACAATGTTAGAATTTTTGTGTTTTTTTATCTAAATATACATATAGATGGTCTGATATTCCATTTGTAACTAAAATCCACTATTCTGCCATTAATTGTAGTTTTCCGTCATCTGGAAATATTGTACTGTTTGCATATACACAGTGGATCCGTTGCTAACTTGTACCCTGTTATACTTATTTCTGTTTCCGTTATGGAAGAACAATATGTTGTAATTCTTATAATATTCAGGATTTGTAGCTTTTAAAGACTCTCCATAACCTTTATCTTTGGTACCTGTTTTTTTTCCCCTCTCAGAAGCTATGGAGTTTGAAGAAACTGAATACAAATTAAAATTGTCCCTTTGCCTTGTGTGGGAAATTATATATAATTGAGTAGTAAATTATTATTCCAGCTATATAATAAAGGCAGGTTTCTGTGGTGCTCTAGTACAAGAGGGACTCTGCTGGACAGACTGTGTGTGAGAATATATGCATACAGCTCAACAGCGTTCAGTATACGCCAGGATCTTTATTTTTAACAGCATTGATAGACTTGCTTGACTATGGCTTTGATGTTTTCTAGCTGTACATTGCTTTGGTTGTTCTTTAAATAATGGAAAACCTACTAGATGAAAATTAGTGATGTTGAATCACCTTTTCAAAAATGTATTTGTTTTGCTATAGAGTTCTGGAGCTTTGACTGGCGTACCAATTTCTGGGGTGAGTTCCCTGATCATGTTGTAATTTATTGGTACAATTTCTGAATACAGTGGAATGTTTGATAGACCTTATTTTATTATTTTAAAAATGGAGGGGTGCAATCAGTAGAAACTACATGTCTAAAGTATCAGTTGTATATGCTAGTAAAAATAGGTTTAAGCTGTAATCCCATATACACTTACCTTGGAGCCCATTGAGCTCAGTGGGACTTGTTTCTCAGTAGACTCATGTAGGATTATGCAGTAAGTAGACAATTGAAAACATAACTAGCATCTAATGTGCCCAGCCTCAAGCCTGGAGCAGATGGTGTAACTACAACCAGTTACTGTGGAATTAAATAGATGCTTCCAGCCAGACCTAAGTGCCAATAACTTTCATTTTAGGGGTTTTAAATGGTGTTCCAATATCATGGGACACAAAGGATAGCAGAATACAGTGTAGAAACTGAACCTTTCACCTCTCTCCAGCCTCTGTGATGAAGGAAGGAAGGAAGGAAGGAAGGAAGGAAGGAAGGAAGGAAGGAAAGGGAGCAAGTACTTGCCTCCCATCCTGCCTGAAACGTATCTGCATAGGAGCTATGCTGCCTGGTGTAGATTGCCCAAATTACCAAGAAAAAAGACTGATTTAAGTTTCCTATACTATAATTCACAAGTTTCCAGAGCAACAAATTTTCAGACAGGATTGATGGAAGTCAAAAATTTGAATAAGATGTAAAAGTATGTTTAATTACTGTTGAAAATTATATGTTAAAAAAAACTAATAAAAAATTATATTTTAAAAACCCAACAAATTTTAATTGGTTGCAGCAACAGTTAAAACAAGCAAAAACAAGTCTTTAGACTACTTAAGAGCACAGAGGTCTGGTCATAAAGTTCACGTATTTCTTGCACTACACAGTTATGTCTGCTAAGACACAAGGGGTGCAATTGTGAAATAAATGGATTTGCTTGGCCCTCTACTAATTCAAAAGGCATCTGACAAAATCACAGAAGGGAATTGTAGCTTTTAGCTTTTATGTAAAAGGCTAATTGCCCAGAATTTTCCACAAGTAAGGATAGTGATCACTTGGCAAAACAGTATTTTTCCATGAAAACAAAGTTTTCTTTGAGGATCATAAATATTTATTATTTACACAATAAATGTATTGTATCAAATGCTTGCCCTCAAGTCTTTTTTTCCTTTTAGGAGAGAGGCAGGATTTTCATAGTGATGGATATAGTTAAAAAATAAGTGCAGAATGTTTTTTAATCAAGTTTCTTTTTTAAACTATGTTGTTGTTGAAAGCAGCATTTACAGCACACTCCTATACATGTTAACGCAGAAGTAAGTCACACTGAGTTTGATAGGACTTGCTCCCAGGTAAGCGTGTGTAGCATTGCGGCCTTAATGTAAACAGAATTTTAAAGGCAAACATCTGATTTCATTCTTTTGGAAATGGGCATTCTGTCCATTTCTTCCTCTGCATTTTTGTTTGTTTGTATTTATTGGTATCGGTGCTTCCAAACTATTCTAGATGTGCAGAAAAACTAGGATTATCCACCATTCTGGATCTGCAAGAGGCCAATTTTTTTCCCCCAGTTGAGAGAAAGCTAGTTTCCCCTAAGGTTTATTGAAACTGGTTATGTGAGCTTTGAGCATGCTCATTTGAAAATGAAGGAGGTCCTGTGGTAAGATAACCTTCAGGGGGAAAATATTCAACTATCCAGAACAAAAGTTTGTCATTTATTTATGTATTAAATTTATATATGACTCGTCATCCAAGGATTATAGGGTGCTTTACAGTATAATAGTTCTCCAATCTGTAGTGCCATTGGTGTGTTTCTTTCTGTAAAAAGTATTAGCGAGACAACGGGACTTTAGCTGAGCCAAATTGTAAACAAAATAGATCTATTTTAAAAATTAAATATGCAGGTATACTTTGACTGAAGTCAATGAATTATATGTACTTCCAGTGCTTAGGTGACCAGTCTGCTGCTTTAGTGGGACAAATGTGCTTCAAGGATGGTCAAGCAAAAAATACGTAAGTTTAACCTGAGAACTGACACCTACATCATTGCACCCATAGAGTTGATACAAAGGGGGGCGGTGTTAGAGGATCAGCCACTTTTAAGAATGCACACTGTGGGATAGCCAGTGTAACACAATGGGTATGTGATGAAACTGTGAGTCAGGAAGATCCTACTTTGATTCTCACCTCTTGCAAGAACTCCTCCATTGTGGCTTTCCAAATGTTGGACCCCAGCTCCCATCAGCCCACAGACAATGGTCAGGATTGATGGGAGTTATAGTCTAACAACATCTGGAGTGCTACATGTTTCCAAATCTTGATAATAATGAATCAGATTGATTTTTTTTTAATTAACTTGCTACATAATTTAAAATGCATTTGAAATACCTTGCACACTTGTGTAAGAGTACATGGCCTGTTCTCCTTCCCCTTCAGTCTATTTCTTTTAGCTGTACTTCAGATCATGCCAGGCCTAGCAGATGAAGAAGAACTGGGTTTCTAATAAAATGTGTCCTGGGCTAAATATAGTCAGGGAATAGGAGGTTCTGCAGTGCCTTGGTTGGAAAAGCACTCCATATCCCCACCCATCCCCAAACCCCAACCTGATTTCCTGTAGCTTTTTGAATGGACTTTAAAATCGGAAGTACACATGAGTCAGTCTACCCAACAGGCTGGCCACATTTCTCCCTGGCTAGCACACACAGCAAACTAAATATGCAGACTAAAGCTTGCCCCATAATGCTCCATACAGAGGATTACGGAGTATGTTCCAGTGTGAATTAGGGAAGCTTGGCCTCCCAATTTGACATATATACATAGGTACATACATACACCAATCCTGAATGCAGTAAGGGCAGTGGGTAGTGGTTGGAAGTGGAGAAAGAAGGAAGATTCCATTGCTTCCCCAATCCATTGTCAGCTGGTTTGCCACAATTCAGCCAGTCTTTGCTAAACTAGTTACCCGATTATAGCCATTTCTATGCAGAGGAGTTGTCCTATTATACCAACATTCCAGTTATGTTACTACTCTTTTGATATTCCTAGTCATTTTATGGCATGGCATACGTCTGATTTCTTATGCTTCATTTTGTAGCAAATAATAACTTTTGGTGTCTGCACTTCAGGTATGGAACAGGCTGCTTCTTACTCTGCAATACAGGTCAAAAGGTTAGTGCTGGGAATTAAACGACTTGAAACCCTGGCAAATTGCTACTTTCCCCAAAGAAATAGCTCTTGCTGTGTAAAACTCCCTTAAAAATATTTTTGTTGTGTCCTACAAATAAAATAGGGACGCGGGTGGCGCTGTGGGTTAAACCACAGAGCCTAGGACCTGCCGATCAGAAGGTCGGCGGTTCGAATCCCCGCAACGGAGTGAGCTCCTGTTGTTTGGTCCCTGCTCCTGCCAACCTAGCAGTTCAAAAGCATGAAGTGCAAGTAGATAAATAGGTACCACTGTGGCGGGAAGGTAAATGGCGTTTCCGTGCACTGCTCTGGTTCGTCAGAAGCGGCTTAGTCATGCTGGCCACATGACCCGAAAGCTGTACGCCGGCTCCCTCAGCCAATAAAGCGAGATGAGCGCCACAACCCCAGAGTCGGTCACGACTGCACCTAATGGTCAGGGGTCCCCTTTACTCTTTACAAATAAAATAAAGGTGTTTTTTTCTGTGCCTATATTTTGTATAATTTACATTCTCACTTGAGCTTAAAATATTCACAAGCATACCTTGCTTAACATGAAGGTCCCAAAGAGGAAATGTCTTATGCTAGAATGCTATGGGCAGTTGGGCAGTGTTTAAGATAACAGCCAAGGGTAAACTAATATGATAAAAATAATTAATATTTTCTAGATCAAGTAATTACGTATTTTTTCTTTTTGTTTCCAGCCTGCAATTTCTGAACATGGCCTTCTGACTACAGTGGCGTACAAAATGGGCAGAGACAAACCTGTGTATTATGCATTAGAAGTAAGTATAATTATTTTTCATATACTATGGGCTTTTGAAGGTGCCAAGTTGTTTCTTTGGTTTGTAATACCAAGAGGTGGACTACCATATATGTACTATCGATGACCGCAAACCTACTACAAAGGGCTTGGGTCATTGATGCAAGTTAGGTGTTTTTGGTTTGTTTGTTTTTTTGTTTTGTTTTGGCAATATTAGTAGTAGTAGTAGTAGTAGTAGTAGTACCCTGCCCATCTGACTGGGTTGTCCCAGCTACCCTAGGCAGCTTCTAACAAATATAAAGATATAATAAAACATTACACATTGAAAAACTTCCCTGTATGGGGCTGCCTTCAGATGTCTTCTAAAGGTTATATAGTTACTCATAGGGGTAGGGGGGTCTCTGATGTCAAAGGGCAATGTTCTGTAACTCCACAAAAAATTGACTTGGTAAAGGCTGGTTCATACATGCATATCTGTTACTTGATTTAAACTGAGTTGCTTTGTGCTTGATGACTGGCAGCTGACTGTGAATTTCCTGCACTGAAAAGTTTTGTGCTAAAGGTGAGGTGATACTAAATCATTACAGGCTATGAAGCAGATCTGTGACTACTCTTGTCACCTGCATGCCCTGATGATGTATGTTTCTGGGACTACATCCTCAGCATCTTCTTTTAAGTCTGAGACTCCTTTAATTATGAGCCCTGTACCTTTAAGAATTCCAAAACTGTGAAAAAGGCATGCCTTGGTTTTGCGTGTTGCCTTTCATGATTTGCTCTAAGAGTGAGAGTGAAGTAACAAAACACATTAACTTGCCCTTTTCATGTAGGGCTCTGTTGCCATAGCTGGTGCCGTTGTACGTTGGCTGAGAGACAACCTCGGCATTGCAAAGTCTTCAAGTGAAGTTGGTGAGCATCAATAACTTGGAGTAGCTTATTTTAGTGAAGAGTTGCTTGATCTTCCCCTTGCCTAGGATATGTCAGTTTTAAGGACACTAACTGTGGCATGCACTTGGTATTAGAAAACTGGTAATATTCTGTGACATTTATAAAACCAAATGTCTGGAAGAGATGTATGAGTTTAAATGGATACATGTAGATTTCTAGTCTTGCATCCTTTTATTGCTTTTGGAAATAGAAATCACTACGTTACAATATCTTACTTGGATACCGCTAGTTGGAGCAGATTTTTAAAAATAATAAAATAGCAAGAGTTTTCGGTGCTATCATTCACTAAGGCTGTTATCCTGGGCGTATGTCCCATTGAACTCAGTGGGACTTGCCTTTGAGTAGACATATATAGGATTGTTGTGCAAGACTTCTCTTTTACTTGAAGACAAGAGTTGCACTTTTTGGCATGCTGCTAGATGCACAGGAATGCTCTTGTTCTTTGATACACAATTGTAAATAATTAGAATTGAGACTCCTTTTTTCCTTAGTCCAATATTTATTTACTGGAGTAATCTGGGTGACAACGTTTCATAAATTTGGAATTTATTTTTTATTTCATTTTTTTAAAAAAACATTTCTAGACCTTTAATTGTAACATTTGAGTAATAAGCAACTGACAAGTGTAATAAATAGCAATAAATGTTATTTGCTCCTGCTGCGTGAAGATAAACTCTATTTTGGCATTGGTTTTAGAGAAACTTGCTGCTGAAGTGGGCACTTCTTATGGCTGCTACTTTGTTCCAGCATTCTCAGGATTATATGCACCATACTGGGAACCCAGTGCAAGAGGGTAGGTATATCAGACCAAATGTTTAACTTAAAGAATTTCAGGAACTGCCAATATTTAATGTTATCCATTCTTAAGTAATTAGGCCAGATACACAGTGGGATGTTGTGCATCTTCCCAATATGCACTTCTTGCCAGCTGAGAGGGCAATGTGCCACAGCAGCCACTGTGTGTTATAGGGGGCGCTGTGGCAGCCACGTGAGTCTTTAAAAGAAGGTTTGTTTAGTCTTGATGGTAGATTTTGCTTTCCTTTTTCCTTCTACAGAATTATCTGTGGCCTTACTCAGTTTACAAATAAAAACCACATTGCCTTTGCTGCACTAGAGGCTGTCTGCTTCCAAACACGAGAGGTATGGATGAAGGGTGCCATTAATGCTGCTTTGATGGCAGTGACAAACTTCTTTTTAAAAAAATAATAATGAGTTGTATTTTGTATGATTCAGATGATTTAAATTGTATAACCTCAAAAGTTTGTGGGGAGGGTTGGCAGAACCAAAGGTCTCAAGTTGTTCCGTATGGTTTAAAGACTAATGTTAGTAACCAGGTCTGGTTCTTTCAATAGGCAAAGTGTGAGGCAATTAATTTTGGGTGCCATGAAAGAGCATTAGAAGTTTAATTATTAATTTATTGCTGTGTTTTTAATTCCAGGGAGAGGCAGTTATGGAATTGTCTGCCTCGAGTACCAAAATAATTTGGCTAACCTTGGACACTATGCACCTTGACTGTGGGCAGAGCATAGTATTTGCTGTTCTGCCTCAGGCAGCATAATGTCTTAAGCAGGAGCTGCTAGTATCATGAGACTAATCTGTGTACCTTGAAAAGAATTATTGTCACAGACTGGAGCATGAATTTAAAGGCTTTGTTTTTTAACTTTAAAAGCATGTGGAACATCTTTCTCTTCCCTAATACTACACACACACATACACATACACACACACACACGGGTGTCTCTGACTTCAGAATATATTTCCATGGGCCACCACACCTGACTGCCTTTGAGTTGTAGGACATTTAATCTTCTGGGATTTTTGCTCAAAATGCAGATGAAACTTTCAATCCCCGCCCCCTGCAATTTCTTAAAGATTTGATTCATTTCAGCATATGCCTCAGGGCATGGTGTTTCTACAAAATAAATTAGAATGCCTAGTTTGGCCTTGTAACTTTTATTTCTTTAAACAGCTATGTTCAAATAAGGCAGGCATGGCCAAACTTGGCCCTCCAGATGTTTTGGGGCTACAACTCCCATCATCCCTAGCTAACAGGACCAGTGGTCAGAGATGATAGGAATTGTAGTCACAAAACTTCTGGAGGGCTGAGTTTGGCTATGCCTGAAATAAGGCATCCTTGTGTGTGCTTCTTAAATTTAAAAGGAACTTCAGTCAGATTCCTGCTGTTATACTAGCACCTTCATAATGATAAGTATCCTACTACAGTACTGCCCAAGCAGAAAGAAGTTTGTGCAGCCAGGCTGTTTCTTATATTTATTCTGCCTGCAGTATCCTCCCAAACCCTCTCCAGATAGTCACACAAACCCTTTGAATAGTGGGGGCTGTGAGGTACATGTTGCAGCTGGAGGGAAAGTTACTTGAAATTGGGCAGAGGGATCTGGGACACAATCTGATTTTAAGCAATTCCTTCAACCCACTGCAGGCTTCTGTGATACAGCCTCCACTATTGGGGGACCCTGACCCTCTGGAGAAGGTTTTTAGCATACAGGGTGCAGGGGCAGGTAGAGTAAAAGAGAGAGATTCATTGCACAAGCTGCCTTCTGCTTGTACAGCCGTTAGATACAATCCAAAGAGTTTTTCTTCTGTTGAAGAGATTTGTGTGAAATGTTTGACATGGTTCTCTTTTAAGATATTGGATACAATCCAAAGAGTTTTTCTTCCTGTTGAAGAGATTTGTGTGAAATGTTTGACATGGTTCTCTTTTAAGATATTGGATGCAATGAATAAGGATTGTGGGATACCATTGAGACAGTTACAAGTCGACGGAGGAATGACCAACAATAAGATCCTTATGCAGCTTCAAGCTGACATTCTCTGTATTCCAGTAGGTAAGCAATAATTCTCCTGGTGCTTTTAGTATTATTACTTACAAGGCCAAATAAGTATGACGGTTTGAATAGACAAGATAACTTGCCTTCCTCTCCCTTGGAAAGGTTTCAATTAAAGATTTATATTGAAAGTATTTCTTGGAGCAGCTGATGCAGCAAGATGCTTAGAACTACTTATGTAGGCTGAGTCATAAAAAGTTTGGCGTTCTGAATACAAAACTCTGCAGCTTACATCTGCATACGTGTTTTTGCCAGTTAATTTTATCTTCCTGTGCTATTCTGGATCTGAGGAGAATGACTACTTTCAGCTCCTCTCCATGCGGTTAGAACGAGCCCTTCACATATGTGTCCTTTAACCATGACTGAACAATGTTCTTTCCCAGAAAGAATGTCCTTTAAAATATGTGTGCCATCATCCTGTCAAATTTCCTTCAGGAGAAGGAGGCAGGTTGCTCTGCCTGATTTTCATGTTAACAGCATTGCCTCCTGCTATAGAGGTTGCTATGGAAGGCAATTTCCTCTCCTCACCCGCCTTCCCACACACACAGAATTGTGATAAAGGAAACAAGCTCTCTGTTAAATGAATCATGCAAAGGAGCTTTTTAATGGAATGGGGTTTCGCCCCGCAAACAATATATGTACAGAGATTCACAATAGTGTGCTGGCTTATGTGGGTTCTATTTTATGTATGTCTTCCAAGTCCTCTTTGTATCATGACAGTTTCAGTAAATATCGCTATGCAACTCTGTTTTTGATGTCATCTGTAAAAGTTCAAAATCCAGCAGCATATGTTGACCTTTATATAGTTCTAATGAGTTGGGTGTAAACATTAAATTGGATGAGTGTAATACAGGGCAACAGACACTAGGGGGCCTTCAACTAAGGGCTCGTCCACACTTTTCTGCTTGTCCTTTGCCTAGAAAGCACTGATCCAAGAGGTTTCTGGCTTGTCTCATGCTTTCTATGCATGGGTCTGAACAGTTTTGTGTTTGCCCCACAGCTTTCCCTGGGGAAACATGTTGTTTAGCACTGAATCACAACAAACGGCAATCCGCAGAAAACCCAATTGCCTTTTGGTCCGATTCAGCTGTAAACCATGCATTTTCCACGGGGGAAGCAGCAGGGCAAATGGAAGTGTGGATGAGCTTTAGTTTTACTCAGAGAAAATCCCATTAAAATTAATGAACAGTACTAAGAGAGGTCAGTTACTTTCAGCAGATTTACTCATGAGTTAAACTTGGTTGAATACTACTCTAAATTTGGGCATGTGTTGAGGGGGGGAATTCTTTGACCCATGCACTATTTCAAACTTAAGAAGATATTATTTAAAAGACACAAGCTTGCCCTTTCTCCTTACTCATCTTTTATTAAAATCTCTGGAAGCAAAATAACCCTGGGGTTAATTAATTGCAATAACATCCAGGATATTAAGATCTTCACAGCTGTTACCAATTTCCTCTACTTTGTTTCTTAAGAACCAGTGCTGCTCTCTCTATTTTTTTTTTTATTAATAAGCTATATATATTTGGTTTTAAGTCAGATTCTCATTTATTTTTCTGCATTAAGCCAGTTAGAAGAACTAGAAATAAGGAGGGGCATTTGTAGATCAAAAGATGAAAATTGAGAGAACAAAACAAGTATGCTGCTTGGTGTTCTAACTTCACTTAAAATGTGATTACTTCATTATTTTTGGCTTATTAGTAAAGCCATCCATGCCTGAAACCACTGCACTGGGAGCAGCAATGGCAGCAGGAGCTGCAGAAGGAGTGGGAGTCTGGAGTCTGAATCCTGCTGACTTTACGGCAGTGACCAGTGAACGTTTTGAGCCACAGATCAATCCTGAGGGTAAGGAGGAAACTAATATACGTTATCCATTATCTGGGCATTCATCAACCCATGCTGGGCCTTGGCCAATTCACATTCACGTAGAGGGACTAGTGCAGTTTGTTCCATTGGTATAATTAGACTAGTAGAGTGAGTGCGGGTGTGTTCTGGGCTAAAAGTACAGTGCTTTTTAACACTTCTGTTTGACTGTTGTTGTCACTTGATAAAGAGTTCAGGAGACTCTTATCTAGATGTGACTAACAAGACCAGTCCAGGTCTCATATGACTAGATAACATTGCATCAGGATATGTGTGAGAGGTTAGAAATTGGGATGAAAAATTTCCTTGCCGTTTCAGAAAGCGAGTATCGCTATACCAGGTGGAAGAAAGCTGTTCAGAAGTCAATGGGCTGGGAAACAACAGAACCACAAGTAGACGGTAAGCCATTACAATTATTCCTAGCTTGTGAAAATTAGGCTGCGTTTTTGTTAGAATAATGTCGTTCACCTTTTGTGATTAATGCTTTTGTAAACAGAGGCTCCTCTCACCTATTTTGTTTGAAGATAAAGTTTTAAACTGGCTGCAGCAAAGAACATACACAGCTTTTTAAACAGTTCTAACTTCCATAACAGGTGGCTATGGAACAACTTGATTATAAATGCTTTTAGCCAAGTACATAGAAACTAGAGAAAACTCTATGGCACCTGGCAACATCTAAATAATACCTATCTGCTTCCACTTGACTGCCTGAGTTAGCATTTTAATGATAATTTTATATGGCTCAGGAGCTCAGTCTAAAGGTTCCTAAGCAGAATTACCTATGCATTTTGCAAATCAGAAACATGTTTATATATGAACAAATGCTAAAAAGATAGAGTGACATCAATCCTTTTTAAAAAAAAGTTATTTGAAACCAGTGAAATAGAGGTTCTGTGGGACTTTATTCTCACATGTAGAGAATATTAAATGAATTGGGTACAAGCAATCTATGGATACTATGCTATCAAGTAGGATTGATTTTAAATAAGAGAAGCTGTCCTATCTACCTTTTGTCAGCAAAAGGCAAGAAGAGGATTGCAATCCCACATTGACTAAAATAATTTGGCTTATAACAACCAGAATAGAAAAGTGTGTGTTGAACAAAATTTACTGATTCTGAGACTTATAGATTGCTATTGAAGTCGCATGAATAATATATCCCAACTCTCATGTTGAACATATTAAACTTTGGCTGCATTTCATTGACCCAATTCACACATTACATTAATCCATAGAACAAAACAAACTATGGTTTAAGGTGAATGGGCAGTGGTAAGTCAAGAACAATCTTTGAAGAGAAACTAACAATGAGTCTAGATTCTGACAATATAACAAGCCAGACTCTGGAGTCCAGACTCAGCTGAAGGGGTGGGCAGGGGGGAAGGAGTGCTACAGGAAATTTTCAGCAGCATGTGTTAGTACTCTGTTTAAATTAAACCAAAGCTTGTATCCAATTAAGTTCAATTCAAGAGTAGACCTAGTGAAATTATTGAGCCTAAGTTAGCCATGCCTATTAACTTCAATGGGTCTTCTCTGAGTTAGACTAGCATTGGGTACAACCAATTGTTTTAAACTATGGCTTAATGTGATGTGAGAATCAGGTCATTGTCATTTACAAAATAACACTAAAGAGCTGGCCTGTAATGATATCCTAAGTATGCAAATTTGAGATGCAAGTCCTATTTCTTTCAGTTAGATTTCAGCCCCACCCCCACCCCACCCCCGTAGGTATGCTTAGAAATATAGCCTTAAACTGTAATGATTTGATTTGAGCTTTTTTTTCCAAAATACAATGCTAAAGCACAGAGTTCTGTGCTTTATCATTAGATTGTTATAGATGCATTATAATATGAAATCTGAAGAAAATAATAAAATATTGGCTCCTTCAGCCAACGGGAAGAAGTTGCATAAACTAGATCAAAGGTTCTCAAACTTTGTGATTTCTGGGTGGAAGGAGTCCGTGGACCCTTACTGAATACTATGGCTTTTTATTTCTTTAAAGCCTTAACAGCTGCAGAGGGAAGTTTTAGTTAAGTAAATAAAGTTTCTGGTTGTTGTTTCTTCATTAGAATAGGCATATAAAGAAGAAACTCAAGTTTAAAGGTCCATGTTCTTACTAAACAGTAAAAGTTGAGGGCAACACAGTAATAGGAGAGAGGGTATAGTATTCCCAAGAATAGAGAGAAGATTTGAGAAATACTGGACAATGTTCTCTCTGATTTGTCCTGTACATCCAGCCTGTGGCTCCATCTTGCAACAGAAACAGCTGCTGCATTCAAGTGTGCTCTACTAAACGTGGTGGCATTCAAGATAATATGGGGGCAGTAGCTCTGTGAGCTTGACCTTTTTACTCACACCCTTTCCCCCAATGTTGGAAATAATCATTTGGTGCTACTCTTAACTGGGCAGGAGCCTAGATTTATTCCTTCACTGTGCACACAGGTGAGGTCTCTATTCTAGTTGTTCCCTCCCCAAAGCAATGGAACAAGGAATGGTACCTATCACCAGTCCTGGTTAGATCTGCAGCAGAGGCCGTGTTCTGGCGAGGGTGTTCTCTGTGATTGCACTTATCTATGGAATTCACTCCCTGTATATATTTGCCCACCACACCTTCTTAGATGTTCTGTGCCAGGGTGAACACTATTATTTTTGTCTCGGCATTTAATGGTCTGGTTCACATCAAGCATTCAGCAATAGTTAACTATAGTTTAGCAATGAACAGGCAGCATGCTGGTGCTAAAGCTCACTGTTTTGTTTCTACCCCCACTCCTGGCTGTTCTACATCAAGCACAAAAAACCATAACCCTTGGCTTTTCATTACAAAGGAACACAAGCTCATGGTCTGTTTCACTGCAAAGTATCCTGGAGTGGGAGCCCAGTTTGTTTCTTGACTCCCCAATACAGAGCTGGGACTTTGGTGTTTTTACTGTATTTGAACATTAACTATGGTGTTTATGTGTGAACCAAGCCAATGATATCCAATGCTAATGACACTTACACTGTTCTTAAGCTTTGGTCTTCACTGGCTCTTTCTGTGTTCTGATTTTGTGTGTGTGTGTGTGTGTGTGTGTGTGTGTGTATCTGTATATATTAATTCTCTTAAGTTATCTTGCATAAATACTGCATTTATAACTCACCTTAGTGACAGTGCACTTTAAAGGCAGTTTAGCAATGGCTAGCAGACATGGAAACCTCTGTGCTGATTCAGAGATTAGAAAAATGACACTGTCTTATGTTTTCATCCCATCAATATAGCAGCACACAATGAACGTAGACCCAGACCAATAGAACAAGAATTTGACACTGAGGAAGAACAAAATCTGTGTTTCCTGTTTTGGGCATCAGGGTTCTCCTCATGAATGTGCGCAATAAAACAAGGAAGAAACCAGCTCTATAGGGTGTTGTGTTTTATTCACAATTAAATCAAATGAAATGCCCAGAAGCAAAGCATGAAACTATTTCTAAAGTTAGTATTTCAGTGAAATCATAGTTAATTAGTTTTATAGTGCTAACCTGCACATGTGTACTCAGAAGTAATGTCACCTTTAAAGATCTAGATAGAAGTCTGAAAATTAATCTGTTTTAATAGCTTAAGTTTCAGAAAAGATGCTATGTAATTATATATATATATGTATATATACACCCAAAGCTCCATGAAGGACAAAAAGAGAAAAATAAATATGTTCTTTGATAAAAATCAAGGCTTCATAATTCATTTTGACTAGGAATATATTATGAATTATGAAGCCTTGATTTTTATCAAAGAACATATTTATTTTTCTCTTTTTGTCCTTCATGGAGCTTTGGGTGTTTTGATCAGGTTCTAGCAAGCGACTCAAGTCTTCTCTAAGGCTGCCATTTTATGAGATCCCATTTCTTTCAAACTCATGCTATCTTATTTTGCAAAGTAATTCTAAAGGCATCGTCATTGCAGTGTTTGATTGGGAAGGTCTGTTTTCAAATCCTTGCTCAGCCATAAAGCTCACTTGGTGACCTTTGGGCCCAGTCACTGTATCCCAGCCCATCAGCCCAGCCCACCTCATAAGGTTGTTGTGAGGGGGTAGGGAGACTTGTCACTGTTTTGCTAGATCATAGGAAACATAAACCTTTCCTAGATAAAAATCAAAGCAAAGGCCACCTAGTTTCTCTTGTTGTCTGTGTCCCAAGCAGGCTTAAACTTTTAAGTAATTTGATGTTGCAAGGTGGTGAAGGCTACACTATGAAGTTTAATAAAGGCACCCACCAAAACAACAAAAATAAAAGTCCCTCTTTAGATACTGTGTCTCTCACACACCTCATCTAGGGAAGTCATTTATACAACTCTCCCTGCAGTCATCATACACTTTGGAATGGTATTAGGTGAGTGAGTCCTCACAACAACAAAAAAACTGGTCTCTTCTTCATTCTGTGGTGTACCTCCACCTCAAGATAATAATTTCCTTCTCCCATAGCTCCAGCAGGAATCCTCCCCATAACTATCTGTTGCCATATCCTCTCTTTTTCCTGTGAGAGCTGAAGTTTGTGAAGGTCAAGAAACCGTGCCTTGCTGGTTACTACTATTTTGTTTATACTGTAGTCTCTCTAACTCTCACACGTGGCACCCCTAAGCATTCGTTGCGATCGCAGTGGAGCTGCTGTGACCTGTCATGCAGCCACAAAGGTTACAGTGAAGTAAGAGGTGGCGTGGGTAGCAAGGTGGATAGAGGTGTGTGTAAAAGAGGTACCAGGCTCTGGGTGTTGTGGGGCCTGGAGCAACTGCATCAAACGCACCATGGATCATCTAAACCAGGGGTTGGCAACCTAAGGCCCATGGGCCACAAGTGGCCCCTGAGCTGTCCACTTGGCAAGTCCCCGCGCACTGTGCTAAACCAGCACAACGCGGGGACTCGCTTCCGTGGCACTGGAAATTGTGTCTGCGCAGGCACAGATGCCGGAAATCATGTCTACGCAGACACCAGAAAACGCGGGGCACGATCTGGCCCATGGAGGGGGCTCCGTGGCCGTGAACCTGCCCAGGCAAGGTAAGCCTTGCTGACCCCTGATCTAAACCATGGGTTGTCCACTGGTCCCTACCGCTCACTAGTGGGCGTTTCAAGATTCCAGGTGGGCGGTAGGGGATTCTACAGCACAAGCTGAATCCTTCCATCGAGAGAGATGAACGCTCTATTCATCTCTCTCGCACTCGGTGGTTAGCAGGAAGTGTGGGCAGGCACAAGTGCACAAATGCACATGAAAGCGCGAACGAGTGTAATACGTGGGAAGAGGAGGTGTGGTAGCCAAGTTTGAATCTCTCCCCCCCCCTTACTTGTGTCTTGCTTATGTTTCTGAGGCACCAAGTGCGTACATCCATAGGCATAGGCTGCAGTAGAAAAGTATCCAGTGGCTCTGCCTGTGAATGTATCCATCTTGTACGGCCTGGTATAAGGCAGGCATGGCCAAAGTCCAGCCCTCCAGATGTTTTGGGACTACAGTTCCCATCATCCCTGACCACTGGTCCTGTTAGCTAGGGATGATGGGAGTTGTAGTCCCAAAACAGCTGGAGAGCCGAGTTTGGCCATGCCTGATATAAGGTAATCAAGAAAGAAGGAAAGGAAAAGTTATAGGCAGGGGAAGGAGATAATTGTTGACTAATAATAATAAGTGTGCTAACTAACTCAACCTTACTTCTGGACATTGCCATTAGGAAGGTAAAACAAAAGAGTGAAAAAGGAGATGAAAAGGAAAAGGAAGAAAAAAATAGGAAGAAAGGAAGAAAAAAAGGAAAAAATAGAGAAGGAGAGAAAACGGGGACAGGCAGAAGCATAGTGTTTAGAGTGGTTCATGTTTTGGCAAGTTACGTTTTGTTATCTTATAAAATAAAAGAAAGAAGTAATTTCAATTTACTTTATTGTTTTCACATTGAACTTCATAAAGTTAAAAACATTGTAAACATGCATAAAGTAGAAATAAAAAGATAAATGTAAGTACTTTAAAAAAACAACAACCCTCCTTTCTACTTGCGCTAAAAAAATTTGAGCTACTGCAGCACTGGTGGGCGGTAAGGAAATTTTACCATCAAGAAAGATGCATTAGTGGGCAGTAGGTATAAAAAGGTTGACTACCCCTGATCTAAACGTTAGGTGCTTTCTTTGTGTACAAACCAAGGGAAGAGGTTGCAGAGCACTTTGGGCGAGCTCTTCATTGTTTTGAAGGCTATTACTTGAGTCTTTTGATAACTTACCAAGAAGACTATAATGGAATACATGCTGTGTATTCCATGCTGTGTCCAAGAATGTTTGAATAGGTCAGGGATGGCATTTTGAGTGTGTTGCAACACACTGCTGAGTAGGGTATCTTTGATATAGAGAGGAAAAGCTTGTGGCTTAATCAGCAAAATTGGTGTGAGATGGGTTAGAATGTAAATGCTTGAGAACCATTGAACTAGATGCAAGTTTTTGTTCCTGAAGGCAGCTTTAATCATAGAAACAAAGAATTGTAGCGTTAGAATGGACCATGAGGGTCATCTAGTCCAACCCCCTGCCATGCAGAATTTTTTCACCCAACATGGGGCTCGAACCCACGACCTTGAGATTAAGAATCCAATGCTCTACTGACTGAGCTATCCCAACATGTATGCTGCTCAACTAGTCAAGTTGCTTCTTGACCTTATTGTTGCCTAGTATCCATGTATAAAACAGTCTAGATTAGATAACACTATATTGTAAGCCAGTGGTTTTAGCACATCTGTAAGGGATCATTGGGTGAAATACCGGTAAATACTGCTATTTTGTGCTTTTGATTGCAGTCTGGGTAGTGGTAGATACATATTCCGCTTACTGAGGTTGTAGTATGCATGATGATGGAACAAACAGATTCTTTGAAGGAGGTACCCAAGGGACACTGCACATTCATTAGGCTTTGTTCATGCAATCTTCCTCTTTTGAAGAGAGACTTGCATGTGCAGGCCTGTGCCTGTAGCTCTTAAATTGCACGTTAGCATGTGTGTGTTTATGAATATATATGTGGGTAGAGACACACATGCACGTGCCCCTCCATCACCCATGCATTTTCTCTAGAAGAATCTTTTAAATACTTAACATCAGCTTTTTTTTGGAGTTCTGTATTGTCTACTTTATTACTGTTGGATTGGCTTTGCCTAAATCACATTGAATATTGACATTGGATGCAAAGTTGGAATATATCTTAGCAGAAAGGCTTGGCTCAGCTCTAATTATTACTGTGTGTTAAAACTATCTGTAGCATTTTGCAGATGTTGCTGCTTTCTTGTAATTTTTATTTATTTATGTGATTCCTATCTTGCAATTTACATGTATCTCTCTTTTGATTTGCTTGACTGGAACCTCTCCTACTGGATGACATCAGGTGAAACTAGTATCTTCTGTAGTCTGCCTTTGGGCTTTTTTATAATGAATAGCCTGTTAATGTTAATCGGAGCAAAGTACATCTCAGGTTAGTTTATTATTATTTGAACTAGCTTATTTTTACAAGGTTATCACTGCTAGTTTGTTTTCCTTTTGTTTTCAGTATTCTTGTTCTGTGTTGAATAAACAGTGGCACAAATAGCTACAGCTTCTCAAGACATTGATTTAAGATTCTCTGGAACCAATATTTTCTGTAGGACTTCTGCTGTCAGCCACACTGCCATGATTGGTTTTTTTAGCATGATTATAGGTTCTGATTTTCTACTTATTACAACAAAATTATGCATTCGAGTTATCCTTTGAAAGCTCAAAAGCTACATAATTTATTTTAAGAAATCAGCGTTTTCAGACATTACGAGCAAATCTTTAGAACTTTCTGGGCCAGCAAATAAATGCTTAGGGTGAGCCAAACAGGCTGTTGTTCCAATTCAACTCTACAAAGCTGACCTGCTGATATTTCAAGCACACTGTTAAGGTCAAACCATCATTAACATCAAAAAGATTTTGTCTCCTAAAAGAGTGTGCAATTTTGTTGGTTGGTTGGCTAGTTGGTTTTTAAATTTCCCTCAAACAAATAATATTGATGATCTAAATTAGTCATAATATTAGGGTCTCACATTTGAAAAGCTCATGGTGGTTCAATATTTTGATATAAACTTCCATTTCATTTGCAGCTTGTGGAGAATATTTGGTGGGCTAATTAGTCTGGATCACTACTGGAAAAAAGTATACGCATGCAGCAAAACCACCCCAAGTACTACTCCTTTTTAGAGTGATGTAGCATGCAGGAATAGACAACATGGTGCCTTCCAGATGTTGATGGATTACAATTCACATAATTCCTGATGTCTGACCTTTATGGCTGAGGCTGATAGGAGTTAAAGTTCAACAAAATCTGGAGGGCACTACAGTGGCTGTACCATGCTGTAGAGAATAAAGTTAATTGTGCTTGTGTACATGCCTTAGTATGTTATTAATAGCAAAGGGAATTTCATGGATTGTGTACTTGCAGTAGATCTGACAGGTGAGTGTCATCTGCATGGGACTAGTGCAGTATGTTTCAGTGCACAATCTAAATTCTATGGATGGTGTCTTATTTTTTCAAGGCAGTGAGCCCATTGCAATTTATATTATGAAGCCGTAATTCACTTTAGAGTCGACCAGCGGTTTGTAGGTTTGTGGTAGATATGTGCAGTGTTCTTCCCATGATATAGAGAAAAACATTTGCAGAATATTAGTACCTTTATCAGTTCACCTTTAGCTGACTTGTGGGGCATGAATGGGCTTCCTAGCCATAATTTACCTACTATAGTTTAACTTAATTATTTCAATGAGACTTGTGCAGGAGAAGTTGCCACTGGATTTTGCCTCTGAATATCAGACCCATCTCTGAATATCAGACCCATCTTTTGTATTCTTTACTACAATCAAATCTTGAGGCTATGTTCCAAAAGATTTGACAGAGACTGGACTAAGCCCTAATTGTTCTTTGTACTGTGTTTGCTTCTCTCTACAGAGGTAATACCCATATGAAGACTTTCCTCTTCTTTCTCCACACACACCCCCAAAAAAGAGAAAGAAAGAGAGAACTGCCTTTAGCTAAACCTCTCCTCAAAAAGTAATCATAAACATTGCATTTTTTCCAACAAGAAGTATTCAACACCTGACAATATGTTTTCTATTTAAGGTAATTGCAAATGAGGCTCCTTAATGGATTTCCAGGAGATTGCAGCATCCGAAGAGAATCTGGTGCTCTCTTCCAATGTCATGGGATTGTTTTGACTTGGTTAATTGTCAAAATAACATGAATATATAGGAGAGGACTTGAACGTGGAATGAGGAACACACACAACATTGCTGCCACATGTTCCCTACTTAAATGTACACTGGGATGCAAACCTTTCGTTTCCTTCCTCAACCATCATCACCTGTTTTATACATTTCGACATGGGAAATTACCACAAAGAAAAGGGTTATATTATTGTCAACTGTACGGTTCAAAAACTTGGCACAGTATGCACATCTGTAAAGTCATGATGGCTTTTTCCATTTCCTAGAAAATTGCCCATAATGGTGTCTGCCAGTGCTATCTCTCTAGTGACCAATGGAGCAACGGCCTGTCTGTATCGTCATCAGTTAGACTCTTCCAATATTGAAGCGGTTAATGGTGCTTTTTCCTTACACTAAAACCTGAATAACTGATTTATTCTCTTCAGTTTATGTGCATTGTCCATCAGTAGTGAGGACCCTAAATCCTGAAAGTGCCACAAGTTAATTAACAAGATTATTTTTCCAAACGTGTATTTAAGATTTAAATATATGTGCTTTCACCTATACATTAGCAAGCCAGAGACCTAAGCAGCAAAGAAGCTCCACATGCAAAGTACTACCCTAAGGTGTAAAGATACAGATTAAATAGTTTTGGATGCACTTGTTATGTTTTCTTTGGGCAGCAGGTGCAGTCCAAATGAACCTTTCCATTGTCTGGATGTGTTGGAGCTGGTGGTGTAGGAATGGGAAAGTTCAGGACCAAAGGTCGCCTCTTAGCATAGCCACATTCTGGACAGTGGCAATTTTGCGTCTTGGGTGCAAGTGTAAGTTTTTAGGCATAAAGCAAAAGCACTACTTGCTAGCAAAAAATGTCAAAGCTAAACTGACACATTTTCAAGTGATCCATTCTACAATCTTTGGAGAGAATTATTTTTTTTCTTAAAAAAAAAAATCAGTAGAAACACCTGTCAGCTCACAACCTGGTTCCCTTTTCCGCCTTTACCATCATTGCCACCACTATCCTATTTTTCTCTGTATCCCTTTTGCTGAAATTGGAATGCTGTAAAGTAACAGAATAATGGAGTGGGAACTATATTAGAAAAGGCAAGCAAGGAGAAATAACCCCTTCAAATCTTGAATGTAACAGGATTTCATCAAAGGTCACTCTGGTTCTCCCAGGTATGTCCCCCACATTATCTTTTTTTTGTGCTGCCAGTGCTGCCTGTAGCTGGAAGGAGTTTTGATTTCCACATCTCTGAAATGAATTGGACATAAGAACATGTTCGATACAGTCTGCCTTGTCCTTTGAGATGCCTCAGATTGCTGAAATGTACCCAAAAATGGCAGCAAAAAGTAGCTCCTATGTGGATAAACGACATAGCTTACTCCCTGCTATAAAATCTCATGCAAAAGATTATTTTTGGTAAATAAAGAGGGCTTGGTGTAATCTTAACATGAAATTGCCTGATTTGAAAGATTGATGTGTATTTCTAAGTATGTGCACTTAGGAGCTAAAGGGAATGTGCATGCTCAAATGGTTTCCATGTGTGTCTCATGTGACTTTAGTCTAAACTCTTACAGAATATTTGTGTTTGATCACTTGGGAAACAACATTAAGCATTGGAAATTCAAAGGATTTTAGGTCTTTATAGGACACTTAATATCAATGCCTTTTCATTAAGTGCAATGAAAATCTAAAACAATGGTCTCTGAAGCTGCAGCACATTCTGCACCTGGTGTAAATTCTAGAATACTCTTGACAACGTTGTCCCTTAAATGTAGATTGGGTTTTTAATGTTTCAGCATGTTGATAAATGTAATGACAAAAGCAATTTGGAATATTGGTTTGTGTCAGAACTTCTGTACATGTGAACTTGGTAGTAGGATATGTAAAACTCCACGTCTTAGCCTTATAACTTGCACAGGCACAGTGTAGCTTGGACCGTATTTGGCAAGCCAAGGCTTTCCCCTGCTAGCACAGGGGACAGCCTTGTTCTCTTACAATGTATTCTGCTTATTTCCATAAGCTTAGCTTTCAGAGGAAAGTGGGAGGGGAGAGCTTGCAGGGGGCAGGTGTTTGGCAGGCTGAATAAACTGTATTTTTCATAGGAAGCCAATGGAATGGACACAGACCTAGGGTGTTAAGTGTGTGATAACATTGGGTTTCAAAGATATGAGTTAAGTGCCAAATACTAACCCCTTTTTCCAAACAAATGATGAAAGAGCAAACCATAAAAGAACCTGGAAATCACTTGTTTCTTGAGCTGCCTTCATATGTGTTTGGCTGATGCTTTGTTAAACAATGTGTGATGGGCAGTTTCAACTACAGTTTCTGGGGGGTATATAGGACATTAAATTATTTTTGTGAGATTATAATTACAGTTGCAATTTTGTAAAATGTACTTAATTCTTTTTTTTCTACAAAACAGAATTAAATTAACTTCACTTTTTGTGAATGGATTCTTGCGATTTCCCCCCCTATATATTGTGACACCTTCAAATTTAAATGGGCACATGGAAAGTATGTAACAGCAACACTGGCTGGTTTTGCACTGCTGAGAATACATGTGACTTAAAATGACCTAAATCTTGTTTGCAATTATGTTTGCAATGGAAGCCACGAATAAATTTAAAATGAAATCTGATTCAAGTGTGTAAATGCTTTACTGTTTGTTTGTTTGTTTGTTTGTTTGTGGGAAACAAGCAAATTCTACTTCACAAAATCTCATCCTGGGATTCTGTTTTTCTTGCCTTAAAGCACAGGTAAGCGAATTAAGGCCCAGGGGCTGGATCTGGCCCAAACGCCTTCTAAGTCCGGCCCACGGAATGTCATGTTTTTACATGAGTAGAATGTGTGCTTTTATTTAAAATGCATCTCTGGGTTATTTGTGGGGCATAGGAATTCGTTCATTATTTTTTTCAAAATATAGTCTGGCCCCCCCACAAGGTCTGAGGGACAGTGGACCGGCTCCCTGCTAAGAAAAGTTTGCTGACCCCTGCCTTAAAGTAACATGGCATGTTGACTTGTAAATCAATTTTGTTTGTTTGTTTTCTTACCTAGCATTTCCAGAACTAAGATGGCAGCATGCCACCTCCAGTACAGTGGCGTAGCGTGGGGGGTGCAGGGGGGGCCCGGCCGCACCGGGCGCAACATCTGGGGGGGCGCGCTCGCACTCGCAGCTCTCTGCCCCTACCTGGCTCACTCACTCTCTCTCACTGCAGTGCTGGCTGTGCGAATCCGATCCGAGCTGCTGGGTCGCCGTCCACTGTGGAGGGGGTGGGTGCCAGGCGTGCGGTGCGGAGAGAGAGCGAGGGACTATCTGGGGGAGGGACAGTGCAGCGGCTGAGCACGGGAGAGAACCACACCAGACCAGACCAGGCAGCAGCAAGAAGAAGCTGGCAGCGGCGGCAGGTTAGGGGTTAGGGGGCGCAAATTACTTGCCTTGCCCCAGGTTAGGGGGCGCAAATTACTTGCCTTGCCCCGGATTAGGGGGCGCAAATTACTTGCCTTGCCCCGGGTGCTGACAACCCACGCTACGCCGCTGCTCCAGTACATCAGAGTGTAGTAGCCATTCACTCCCCGCCCCCCGGTATATGATATGTCTTGCATATCTAGTTCAATAAGTTATAAATCAAAGAATTATAGCAGCACCATTAACATATTTTTAAAATAAGAAATATATTTGCTTGAATTGTTGCATTTCTATCTTAATAAGTTATTGGAACACTTCCAGTCAATTACTGACTGGTGGTATTTAAAGTAAAATCTTAATGCCTATTTACTTGGGTGTAAGTTTTATTGTATCCAGTGGTAATTACTCCATATTAAGTGTCTTTCGTTGGTCAAGTATATAACCTATAAGTCTGGTTAAACCCCATGGAGCTCACCTCTGAGTAAACATGTGCGGGATTGTGCTGTTAAACTGTAAACCACTATAGTACTGGCAAGTGTGCAAGCTCTTCTCTATATTTTATTTAAGTTTCGCTTACAAACAATAATTCTCCATTTGCACTTGAAATTCTCCACAGGGATAGTATCGTCACCTCAAAGTGAGGATTACATAGACTTCAAAGAAATCAGCAAAAAACAGTTAAAACTGAAAGGTTCGTGAAATGGTAGGAGATGGTTTCATGGGCAAAGGATAGCCTAGCTGCTATATTCCCCTTGTCTTTTCAAAAGTGTCTGAGTGTTCCTGTTTTACAGCTGGGTAAGAACCAGCCTGAAGACTAGTGTATTTAAATAATAAGAAAACTTGAACATCACAAGCTTTTATGGAGATAGGAAACAGATTCCCAGTCTTGACTGCTTGCTTGTTTTTTGGCTTTTGTGCTACAAGCCGGTGGTGAGCAGGTGCGTTTACTGATAAGACTCTATGGATTCTCTTTGTTTTGATTTATGACTCGTTTCTTGAGGTGGTGGTAGTTTTCTTCCTACTTGGCCTGTACCAAACAGGGTTTAATAAAACTGCATATATGACTTAGTTTTCCGGAGTGGAGTGGGCAGGGGGGAACTAGAAAATTTGTCACCAAACCTTTCAAGCTATTAAGGAAATACTTTTGTTGTTAAAACTCCTATTTGATCAGCTGTGGAATTAGTCTTCTGAGGCCCACATAGCACATGTTGTTATTTGAACAAACTGTGTTTTGCACAAAATCATTTGCACAGATGTTTATTTCTAGTAGCTGCAACTGTGCTTTGCTTCCTTGATAGCGTTTTCCAGTACTGCTTGAATTAGCCCTGAGTAAATGTCATAAGCAACTTTTCTCTTTTCATGTAAATGAGCATGTGCACAAACTATTCCACAATATAATGAGCCTTGGTTGCTCTGCAAGTTCTTTTTTTAATTTTGTTTTGAAAGACCCAACACATTATATTTTCTGCATGAAAGAATTGAGTTTTATAAGCAGCATTGTTTAAGATGGAAATTACCAGATGTTTATAATTAAGATGAAAAAAACATTTATATTTTCCTGTAAAACCTAATTAAATGCCTTGCCATCAGAAGCTCTCTCACTATACTTCAGAAGCAGTGTATGAAATGTGATTCCCCTCACTGCCCTCCCAACACCCAGGCTTGTCTTTTAGCTAAAAAGGGGCAGGTGTCTCATAAAATAATTAAAAATTGGTACATCACCATTTGGCTCAAAAAGAATAAAATACAATTGCCAACTGTTTAAACACATTAAGAATAAAATGCTTAGATTCAATTTCTCTTAGTGGCCAGTTCCAGTTTCTTACAAATATACTCTTAAAAATGCTCAAAAATCAGCATAATGGGAGCAGGTACCTTTAGCTGGGTTAGATAGCTCTTCAGTGTTTCATCTGGAAGATTCTACTTTTTTAAAAAAAGAAGAAGACCTGCTTCTGTTGGAGTAATAGTGTTTGGTACTTTTAAAAACAAGTTTTTTATCTTTTCAACTCTGCTGTATTAGAGAACCCTAGATCTCAAGTATTCGTCTATTCATAATAGTAACTGGTTATTCCACCCACTTTCCTGCCCCCTGTTGCCCCCTCCACCCCTAAGCTATTTCATAAAAACAATTGCTCATATTAAATTCAGGTCTGCATCCGTTCAAAAGCAGCTAGAGGAAATATGAAAATGAAGTAGGGAGAAAGAAAATGGAGCATGGTTAGATGGAAGCTTGTAATAATGCCTCATTCTATGCTGCTTTCTACTTGCTAAAACTTCTGCACACACCTGAATTCTCTGGGAATGGTATTGTTACATGCCACCACAAGCAGTGCACAATTCCAGGTATCCAGGTGCTTACCCATGGTTCATGTTTCCTTTGGAAATGAAGCACAGTGGTGTCTTTATGATACATGGTTTATTTACACATATATACAACCTGAGCCTATGATTGAGGGGTTCAAAGCATTACACTCCAATAGGTTCTTGCTTCTCCCAAGGTGGCAGCCCAGGATTCAAACTTTCAGCCCACATTGTGCCCTGACCTCACCACCTCCATATTGTCGCTGCAGACTGAAACCTCTTTTCCCTAGCTCACATCAGGCGAAAATATAATCCTAAACCTATTACTACTGGCCTTTGTCACTGCTAACTAACACAGAGCTCAGGAAGGGGTGAATCTCACAGTGAGATCAAGTTAATTAAGAATGCTTAACTTTGGCTGAAGTGCATTCACAAATAGTTTCTTAGAAATATGGACATGTAAAGGTTTATACTTGAGACACAGATATGGCTGGATTCTATATCTCAACAGACAAAAAATTATTATTCTCAGCAGATTCTATATTTGTTCTTAGGAATCATTTTAAACACTGCAGAACTACATGCAAAAAATGTATGACTCCTAAAACCAGAAGAAAGTTTTAATTGCATGTATTTATCAAATTACCAAGTAATTGTACTAAAACAGCTCAAGTTAAATTGCTGCATGAGTTTTAATTAAAATACATTTCTCTGCATAAAAATATAAAGGATTAAGTGGGACCTTATAATTAAATCTCTATGGAGTAATTGTAATAGAAAATGCCAATGTTTAACTTGCATTAATTGTTTAATACAGCTTGGCCTCACCTTCTTGGCAAAGTTAGTTGATGGAGAAGGAACATTATTTAGGAGTGGCATAAAGAAAAATAATGCGGCAACTGAAGCTTCTTTCTGAAGGAATAGCTATTATTCATTCACTTCACACTGAGCAACTGATTAACAAAATATATTACCCCTGTTTTGAGAGAAATGAAGGTAATGTGCTCTCAGCAGTAGGCAGCAGCTGTACTGTAATAATAAACTTGAACATGGTGATATCATTGACTGCAAGTTATTTACAGATGTGATGAAATGAATTATTGTAGAGAACCGAAACTTGACAAATCCTCTGCATTTCTGAATTAAACAAATGTGGGTATGAGATGTGAAATTCAAGGGAGAGGGAGGAAAGAAGACTAGGTACAACTGGTGGTCCATAGCAAACCAGTGCTCAGACATTCAAGCAAATGGATCTATATAATCAGTCTACATGTTAGAAAATTTATTAGCTTTCTTGCATTTATGGAAGGTCACCACATATGCCGCCAGCTGAGTCATAAGATGTTTATCCACCATGAGTGGCCTTAGAAGCCAGTTAAATTGTCAAATTCCAAAGGACTTGGAACACAATTTAAGACAACATTAACGTCTGCAAATCTCAAGGTGTCCGAAACCATATTTATGTCACTGATGAGCTCTGAACAAAAGATTGTGACTTTAAAACAGGACCAAATCATTTGACAGAGCATAAATGACAGTGCTAGTGAGCCTTTTCTTAGGAAGACATTATGGAGACCAATAAGCTTCAAAGCCAAAGTGTATTGACTGCCTTTCAGTTCAGGCATCCTGGACAGGTTCCATTTTCATTTACAGATTATGTGTGTCCTTACTGATGCAAAATAATAAATGAGTCAGCACTGTATATCCTCACCGCTAAAAATACATTCAAAGTTACCCATCTGACCTCATTTCAGGTGGTGTTTTGGAGTAGGGGGGAACAGTCAAGCCAAATCTGCTAATCTGCTTCTATAAGGCTACTAAGGAAAATGAAACTCGGTCAACTCGGTTAATGAAGAAAAACAAATCAAATATATTGGCCAATCACGAAATGCCATGACAAGAATTCAAACAATAAGACTGGATAAAAACACCTGATGTACAAATAATCTCAGTAATTGCAGGACTAAGCCATTCTTGGGTCATGTGTGTGGAAGGAAGGCATTTGAGTAAACGGTTTCTGAAATCCATTTTTACAGATAGGATGTGACGGTTCTCCTTAGTGTTGGGTTGTATTTTTTAAATTTTTGCCTGGTAACCTTATGAGGGCGCTTAAGACTATGCAAAGAGACTCTTCCTCCGAATAACCTCTGCAGAAGCATCTCTCCGGTGATGCGTTTCCTCGTGTGAGAGAAAGCTAACAACAACAACAAAAACCCCGCCATTGGGGCAGTAGCTGTTTTTGTGAAGAGCAGCGAGGAGCTTTTGTGAAAAGCCGGCGAAGCGGGCATTCTTATTAGCTTGGCCCCCGGCCATCCCGAGGGAGCGCGGGCGAGCAGGGAGGCGCAGGCTGCGTCGCCACAGCAGGTGAACAAGCCGCCTCGGCCTTTCCTTCCAGCCAAGGGGAACCGGGGGCTAAGCCATGATGCTTTCAGAAAGCCGCCAGCCTGAGCGGCGAGGAAAGCAAGCGCCGACCTGCTTTTGTCCTTCGGAATAGCAGCAGCTCGGCACCGGCCCTGGTCTTTCCTCCTCCTCCCCGGGCGCCAGGCCGCGCGCGCCGCAAATGGCTCAGCAAAGGCGCATCAAAATGGGGAGAGTTGGAGGGAAATCAGAGGGTGAGTAGAGAGGGTCGCCGCCGGGAGCCTCCCAGAGTAAAAAAAAGGCGGGAAGGGAGAAGGTGGCGGAGAAACGGGGAAACCGACAGAGCAATCCTCGGCTTGTTTACTGGGAAGGAAGGGGGCGTTTTCGGCGGGGCTTTGCTCCAGTGTAAATGGAGACGAGAGTGCAGCCTCGGGCTTCCGCGCTCTGCCTCGCTAGCCAATTCGCGTGTTGCTCTCAGACGCGGGAGCACTGGATGCGGTAGGAAAACCAGCCCAGCGAGAGGAAATAGCCCTTCCCCTCACTCGAAAGCTGCAGCTTCCCGCGAGGAGGGGGCGAAGCAGGTCGGCGACTCCCCTGCGATCCTTGCCGAAGCATTGATGGCGCAGGGAGTTATGGGGAGCGGAGGGTTTAATACGGCAGCAATAGCCAGCGAGAATGGTCACGGTGATTTCCTCTGTGGGCGTCTAACAGCTTCATATCTGGTTGCATTGAGGGTATTATTATTATTATCCTCTTCCAGGTTGTATTTGATGCAGTAATTATAATGAAAGGCTCTTTCGGTCCCCTAAACAGATTATCCGCAAGGTGGCTCCTTGCATTTTGTATCTCTCTTAAAAAAAAAAAAGTTGTGCGAAACATCCTAGCAAGTTAAAAACCCTGTAGCCAGCAGGATTGACAACACAGTATTCAAATGCACCTGCCGGCCTAATAACTTGGTGCTGCAAAGAAATGGTAGCTCTTAAATAAAGTGGGGTTTGAGGTGTTTGTTTTTAGGGATGTTGAAACTTTGGTTTGGCTGCTGCGTTTCCCTCTTGTTGGGGTGGCACTTAGGGTGCCTAGAAGGATGTTTCTCTGCTATTGCTGAATGGTCCTGAGCCCAAATGGAGTAATTGGAGTCCTTGATGTTAAAGGAGAACATAAATACACCAGGCATTGTGGAAACCTGGTAGAATGAAGGGTGAGATGTGGTCATCTCTAGATAAAAATGCTATATAGCAGTGGCGACTTTTTTCGGCTTGAAAGCCGCATTCACTGTATGCCAGCCCTCTGAGGGCCACATGCCACTGGTGGGCATGGCCAAAGCAAAAGTGGGTATTGTTAAAGCAGGCATTGCCACCCCAACCACACACACACCCATCTCACAAACAGCACATGCACTCGCCACAGATACCACACAAAGAGAGATCTGGGGGGAGATTCAAAAGGCTTTCTTTCCTGCCCAGTGTGCACTAATCTTTCTTGTCACGGGGGGGGGGGGTATACTGGGTTAGAGAGGTGAGGGGCTTTTATCCAGTGGGGGGTGGGGTGGCTGCAAGGATTGCCAGTAAATGGGGTCAAGGATGACCAGCCATCGCAGTGGCTTAGTGTGCCTGATATGGGTTGCAGATTTGCTATGTCTGCTTTACAAGAAGGATAGGGGAGGGAGTGGTGTCACTCTATAGTACAAGGATATAGTGCCAAGCAAAGCAAGAGGAATCTCAGTTTTACTCTACCTTTATCCTGTTTTTCATGTAATTATCTCCTAAAACATCTCACATCAATTAAAAAACAGACAGGCGCAGTGCCATCAGGCTTACAAAGAAGCACAAGAGAAGTGAAAAGCAAAGGTAGAGGAGATATATCAGTTCTTTGAGGCCAAAACAAAGAGATGAGCAGGCACTTATATCCATTGGGGCCAGGATGATCTTTCCTTGAAGTTGGTAGCTCTTTTTTCCCCCTTTTTTTAACCAGCTGATGGAGCCAGCACACCCTTTTCCCCATGCTTCTGCACAAACATGTAACTAAAATGATCAAGGGGCCAGGTGGAGCAAAGAGCAGCTCCTCTTTGCAGAATGGTTACCAAGTTTGGGCTTTTTAGATTAGAAAATATTAAAGCAACGTATAAAATCAGGCACCATGTGGAAATCCATTTGCATAATTATAAAATCTGATATTATCCAATGATTCCAGATGCTGGAAGATTCAGGACAAGACCCAAGGAAGTACATCATTGCATAGCATGTAATTAAGCTATGGACGTAGTGATGCCACCAACTAGGATGACTTTAACAGGGGATTAGACAAATTTGTGGAATATATACTGCATCCAGTATCAACAGCAGCATGCCTCTAAAATACCAGTTACTGAGGAACACCAGCAGGCGAGTGCTATTGTATGTGCTGCTGGTGGGCTTCTCATAGGTGTCTGGCTGGTCATTTTAGGAAGACAACGCTAGGCTGAATGGGTGTCTGGTCTGATGCCACTGGATTCTTCTTCTGTCTGAACAAAATAGAGTGAAACAAAAAAGTACATATAAACATCTGTTCACAGTTTGGGAATGACATTGCTGGCTGACATTTATTGGGTGTGTGGGTGTTTGTGTTTGTGTATAAAGCTAAGAATTTCCCTCTTATTTTGATTCTCCAAAGCAGATTTTGGAAGGAAATTTCAGAAAGCCATTTTTATTCTCTTAAATATGTAAAGAATTCTACAAATAACCCACACCTTCCTAATTGCCCTCTGCTATCCAGTGCCATTATAATCAATGTGAGTTTTGTTAGTTAGTTAGTTAATTAATTAATTTCTATACTGCCCTCCATCTGAGTATCACAGGATGGTTTACAATATAAAAACACAAAAATACATGTTGACTTCCCAGGGAAGTATTCACTCAGCCATTGACGCCTGTAAAGCTGTGCCTTGATTCTGATTTCATCACGCTCTGGATTTCAAAATATATTGAATGTCATATTTGTCCATGATTTATGATGTCTTAACAGGTTTGTATGGCTTCTGACTAGATTTACAGTAAGCTTCTTTATCAGTTTCTGTCAAATTGCGATGTGAATTTAAAATTCAATATGGGAATTACGAAAAGTGATTAAGGAAAGCAGTCCCAAGCCAGTACCAAATAATGTGGCAAACTACTGGTGAGAGACAATTCTGATGAGCTTATTACTATTCTTAGCCCTGATTAGCCCACAGCAATAATCCAGTAGCACCAATTGAACTCTTCCAGTAAAACCTTCTGTATGGGTGTTGATGCCAAAGCATATTACAGTAAATGGGATTTTCAGCATTCCTTTCTATGCATAGGTGCCAACTCCCAGGGGCCAAGATCCCTTCAGCCCCCCCCCCCCCCCGAAATATTTGAGGAGGCCAGGGCCTCACAAATTTGATAGGCATTGCCATTCAAATGTGTGTCATATGGCCGATTATGCAAGGTGCTCACCTGCCCCCCCTCCCGTCCCCCAGTATTTTATTTCTGTGGGATGATGTTTGCTTGTTATTAAGAAGTCTGAGAAAGACCTCCTACACAGTTTTGAATAATTAAACATTACTGCTACCACACTAATTTAGAAGCCTTTTCACCTGCAATAATATAAATAAACAGCCTGAAATCCAGGTCACTAAATGCTCAATATGACTTTTTAAACTTTGGACAGCGCTGCACACACAAGCCACACCTCCAGCCTCCCTAGGTATGCTCCTCTTTTAGATGTCTGCAGAGGTCTGTTTTGTTATAAAGCTACTCATGGCCAGAGCTCTGCCTTATCAGGGATTCCAGTCATGGGGAGGTTTCTAAGTGTGTTCAACCAAAAATGCTTGGAAATCCTTGCATGCAAGCTTCAGCCTCCACCTGCAATCTAAGGCATTGCATGTTCAGATTCTAATATCTGCTTCAATATCTGAAGCAATATGTGGATATACTTGAAAAACTAGATGAGGTTTTGATTTTAAGAAAGGTTTCAGAGGTAATAAATGTTTCAGAGGCTTTAAATGCTGGGAGGCTTTAAATCAATAATGGGAGAGACAGCAAAATAATTCTATAGCTGTCAAGTTGATGGTCAAATGCTCTATGCAAAGGGACCACAAACTGCTCATTGGAGAACTAAAAATTGCTTTTAAAAATGTTTATATTGGGGAAAATGAAAGCAAAAGGAAGAAAATAAACATTCAGGTAACCTCCTGTATAACTGTTCCAATGGAATGAGAATTCTGTGCACTGTTTAAAGGAAAAGCGCTTCAAATTGCTTAGCAACAATAATCTAATTTCTCCCTCTTACGTACAGAGTGGATATATCTGTACACTATATAGTGGTTTCTGGAAAGTGAACATCTTCCAGCTCAGTACATTTTTCATATCCTGTTAAATAAGTTCTATTTTTAAACTTTCATTAAGCAAATCTATAATCCACTCGCATTCACTCCACAGAATAAAGCATAAGAAGAAATATGAATATGTGTAGGCAGCTGCCTTAGGTACTGTAACTAGGGATAATGCCTTTGTTTGCCTCAGAATTCTGAAATATATGCCAAAGTAAAACCCAGGCCCCTAAATCCAGATTTATCTTTTTTCTTGGTGAATTCTTCTCCAATATGTGTGCTGCTTTGTTGGAGAAGGTTTCAGTGTGTAAATATTAATTGATGACTTGAATAATTTACTGAACATATGGCAAGCCTATGGGCATACTGAGAATTACCTGATCCATTGCATTGTTCAATATGGGCTGCATATGAAATTGAGCTGTCAGATATTGTTTAATTAACCTTCACTTCCTTTTTTCACTTCAAAACATATTTATCCCTCAGGCCTTTGGTTCTGTTACAGTTTTGTCACCTCCTGACTTCATTTTATGTGGTTTTTTTCCTTATTCTTCTCTTGTGTCATACATCACTGCAGACAGATGAGCATTGTATTACAGCCAGCTTCTGCAGGTGCAACCTTTCAGATTACACAGAAGTCTTTGTCAGTAAGAATGGAAAGAAGGTTAATTCTCAATATGTATATTGCATATCTGCTGCTTTTAGATGATGTGAATAATAAATATACCCAAATTCCTTCTCCTGGTCATAACAAGATCCCAATTCTCCAGAAAGTTTAATTTTGCATGGAGAAAAAAATAACACATTTTATATCATTGTTCTTTTTCTTTACAAACCTCTCATTAAGGGTTTTCACTGTGTTAATTTATATCTGAGGAAGCTTTTAAATTTTCCTTCTCTCATTCATGTTCTGAAAACATACAGTTGAATCCTATAGATGCCTTCTACTCACAGATAAGTCCCTTGGAGTTTAATGGGACTTTCTTACATATACAGTCATACCTCGGGTTAAAGTCGCTTCAGGTTGAGCGTTTTCAGGTTGCATTCCATGGCGACCCAGAAGTAACGGAATGGGTTGCTTCCGGGTTTTGCCGCTCGCGCATGCGCAGACGCTCAAAATGACATCATGCGCAGAAGCGGTGAATTGCGACCCGCACACGTGCAGACGTTGGTTGTGTTCTGCTCAGGATGCGAACGGGGCTCCGGAACGGATCCCGTTCGCATCCAGAGGTACCACTGTATATAGAATTGCAGTGTACTATAGCTCCCCCCTCAAATTTAAATGTTGCTTTTAAAAACACTATTTTAAAAATTATGCAGAATTTGGACCAATGAGTTTGAATATTCAGAACATTTTTAATTCCCCAAAACTGAGGAGACCCTTTCATAAGTCTTAAATATCCAAAAAAGGGAACAGACTCTCCAGTATCGTACTCTCCAATGTATGAAAGCAAAGTTTCTAATGTGGCTAACAGAGAGCTAACTACTAACAAAATAATTAGCAAGGCAGTTGTAAACTGTAGGCTAGAACCATAGTTAATCTTTAGCTCATCTAGAATTGTGTGATTTGATACCTGCTTGGAATGAATTTAAACCATGTGCAATATAAGTAACCTTGCAGTAGGTATAAGTTGAAAATTGCTTTTTTCATCCTCTTGGGCAGAAAAAGGCACAAAATGGAAAAAGCACCGACTTCTGGCTGAGAATGAAGAATGCGGAGCACACTGTGACTGCCCTCCTGATTCTCTTCCTTTAGCCACAGCTTGAAGTTACATTCACCTGACATTATATATGACACTGGGCCCAGGAAAAGTGAGTGTAGTTTGCCCACAATGCCTTGGTGGGCCAAACACTGAGCCCTGGTGGGCATAATTAGATCCATGGGCCAAAGTTTTCCCACAGCTGTTGTAAACCATGGGTGGGTATTGTGGTCGCTTTTGTACACAGAGTGCAAGCATGCAAACTTCCCTCTCCTGATATGTACAGAAGATTTTTTTTCCAGTGGGTGCTTATTAGTTCCTGTGGTAGTTTATACTTATCAGTGACAGCTGGTCTCTGTTGGGCCTAGTGATTTCTATTGGAGAATAATCCTAGCATGTAGAAGTTTTACTCAAAAGTGGATGGTAATATCTTTCCTTAGAAATTACAGTGGTACCTCGCAAGACGAATGCCTCGCAAGACAAAAAACTCGCTAGATGAAAGGGTTTTTGGTTTTTTGAGTTGCTTCGCAAGACGATTTTCCCTATGGGCTTGCTTCGCAAGACGGAAACGTCTTGCAAGTTTGTTTCCTTTTTCTTAAAACCGTTAATACAGTTGTGACTTGACTTCGAGGAGCAACTCATAGCACGCGGTGTGGTAGCCTTTTTGAGGTTTTTGAAGACTTTGGTGATTTTTGAAGCTTTTCCAAAACTTTTCCGACACCGTGCTTCGCAAGACGAAAAAAACCGCAAGATGAAAAAACTCGCGGAACGAATTAATTTCGTCTTGCGAGGCACCACTGTAGTCAGAAATCATATGCACTATTTCACAAAATGAACAAAGACTGCAGCCTTCTACTCTCTTAACTGGGGGTAATAAGCCATATTGAACTCAATGGAGGTTACTTCTGAGTAGGCTCAGTAAATTTATCTGTACCTGTTTGTTGAAGGCGGGGGGGGGTTACATTTCTGCATTTCGTTTCCCTCTGACATAACAGTTTACAATAAGCATCTGGTAAATTCTGGGGTGATGATAATATCATCCAACATTTATATAACATGGATATCTATGCTTACAGTATCAGAGACAGTAGACCTTGCTCCCCCTTTTTCTACATACACCTATGCTTTTAAGAGCTGCAGGAGAAGCAGATACTCAACATATACCTTACCCAAGAATGGAAATTTTGGAGTCTGCTGCCCTCAAAGTCTATGAAAATGCTTCATTCTATAAGTCAATATGGAAAACGCACTACATTTTCAACAGCCAAACTAAATTGTAACCACATATTAGTAAAAAAAATAATGAGGCTGCTACTGCAGGTTGTATTATTATTATTATTATTATTGTTAAATTTGTATACTCCCCTATACCCACAGGTCTCAGGGTTATATACTGTTACAGGATAACAGATTTCACAGATTGTAAACACTGAAAAGATTCTTGCCTTGTTGGCTCTCAAAACATGTTTCTGCAGCCTACAAAGAAACTATTACCAGTGCACGGGCTCAGAACAGCAAAAGCATAATTCTTGTGACTGGCTCTGGGGGGCTGCTGTAGGTCCACCCTGACACCTTTGTTAATCTGACATGTCTTGATATGCTAATTGTGTGTCCTGATTGGGTAGTGCTGCCATCCAAGAGGAAGATAGAAATCTGGCCAAATTGAGGATCCAGCATCCCTGGTAAAATGTGCCCCAACCTGGAGACAAGAGGTGGAGACCTGCTTGCATAGCAGTGCTTTGTGACTGGCTGCGCAGAAAGGCAATTTCCCCTTGGAATTGTTTCTGTCTTTGCAGTGAGCTAGGCAATCACCTCTCTGCACAGCCACTTACAAGGTATAGATTTATGGTCTTTAAAGGGAATTTGGGGGGACAGATTTTGGCGGGACAGTGCACTGGTAGCCCTGTTTGAGAAACCGCTCCTTAGACATTCGATTTAAAGCATGCTTATGAGTATAACAAAGAATCAGAAACCACAATTAACATACATTCTTCATTTCCCGCAGTGGGCTCTGCAACCTTCTGTAGTCAATTTTGTTCTGTATTTTCCCATAACAGCCAGTAGCATTGTTAAACTGTTTGTGATAAATAGCTCCAGATGCTTTTAAATTAAAAGGACATTTTAGTTAAGCCTCTTCGGGGAGCAGTAAAAAAAAAAGAACTGCATTTTACTTATTTGTCCTGTCACTACTACTTCCAGATGGCCTCGTCAACATCTGCTGCAATTGAGACATTTCACTGCAATAAAGATTAAATAGCTGTGTTGAATGGCCATTCTCTGAGGTTCAAGACTCTCTGCGTTTCTGGTAAATTCTATGCAAAATACAGAAAACGTGATACTTCAGAGTATAGTGAAAGGGTTTTGTGTGTCGCAATTTATCCATGACATCTTTCTACATGATTAATTTGCTGCGTGTACAACTGATGTTGTGTGCACTAGCTGTGGCAATCATATGTTATGTTTCAAAAACTGAGGAAGGAAAATAAGCATGTCCCCCGTCCTCTCCCCCAAGGGAAGGGAGAGAGCGAGGAAGGGGAAAGGCCCCCAACAACACAGCACGGCTCTCCCCCCCCCCCCGCCCAGTATGCAGCCAGGAGCAGCAAGGAAGGGAGCGGCTTATATTCAGATTTTTTTACTTCCCCCCTGCCTCCAATTTTAAATGTGTTGCTTATATTCAGGTGCGGCTTATATTTGGGGCAATACGGTATATATAAACCCACCCACACCAACACACCCCAAAGAGCCTTACAAGTGACAAGTCAGTGGGGTTAATCCTCTACCAGTCATACTCAGATTATACTTCAACTTTTCCTTTATATCCACTTCAAATCATAGTCCCAAATATAAACTTTGGTTCCCTCTAAAATGTAACTATTTTAGTCTATTCCTCTTCCACTGGTGCGTGCAAACTTCAAAACTGGTCTTTAATGGCAGCCTCCTGTTTCTTTATTATGATCTCCCTTTGAAGAGTAATCTGGACTACATTTTCTGTAGCTGATGAAGAGGCCACTGTATGAAATACTCAACCTCAGGGTTTTTGTTTACCGGTATTTGTTCTAAGGTAGGATTGGCTGTCTTGAGTGCATTTTCTTTGGTATACCACATTCATTTTGAATGCCTGTTCTCAGGCCTGCCTGATTTAAATATTTCCTTTATTGTTGGTTGTTTTAATGCTGTTGTTACCCCGGCTTGGGATATGAATATAAATAGCTAACTATATAGATAGATGTCCCTATCTGAGTCAAAATGCTTCAGAAGTTGGTTGGGGCAAGAATAATGCATCGGTAGCCTTATGTTGCTAAGAAATGCACTGTAAACGGAAAAAAACTGTTGAGTTACTACTTCTTCAAAGCTGGAAATTATCCATTTCCCCACTGCCTTATAACAGATTACTAGGAATACAAGGCTGATAGATCAGCATCTTTGTCCTGATTGACATTATTCCAGACAGGCTTGATGCCTGCCCCAAGTGGTTTCTGCTTTCCCACTACAAGTATTTAGTCTCTCTTTAAAGGGAAAATCATCTGTCACCATGGATCCAGTATAATTTCCCTGCTGAGGAGAGTAATAAATTTGATTACCACAAGCTTTGCGACACCTTCCTGTTTATGGTTTTTCTTGAACCTCAAGGGAGTCCATGACTTTCACATGCAATGGTGTCTGCAGAAGGTTTTGTTTGTGTGCTCGAAGGGTATGATCTGAAGACACCTGAGGTTACTGCTTTGCTGGAGCTAATTAGGGTTGGGTTGGGACTGCAGATAAAGCCATGTTGGGGATCTTTAGGAAGGGGATTGAAAATAAAGCTGCCAATATTATAATGCTCTTACATTTGGAATACTGTGTACACGTTTGGTCACCTCGTCACACACACAAAAAAGGTGTAGAAATGGAAAGGTTTCAGAAATGGGCAACTGAAATGATCAAGGGATTGGAGCAACTACCCTTTGAGAAAATGTTACAAAATTTGGGGCTTTTTCCTTTAGGAAAAAGGCAAGCAGTGCATGATAGAGACTTCTTCACACAGGACATAGTTAAAGTATGGAATTTGCTTCCACAAGATGTAGTCATGGCCACTAACAGTGTCGGCTTTGAAAGAGGATCATGGGCATTCGTGTGCAATGGTTGTTAGCTATGATGACTGTGTTCTACCTGTATTTGATCAATGGTTACTAGCTGTCTCCTCCTCCCACTGCTGGAGGCAGTATGCCTCTGAGTATCAGTTGCTGGAAATCACAAGTGGGGAGACTGGAGTTGCAGTCAGGTCCTGCTTGTGGGCTTCCTATATGTTGGATGCACTGGGAATATGGAGCTAGGTGGTCCTTCGGCCCGATCCAGAAGGCCTCTTCTTATGTTCTTGTGAAAGGCAGGATATAAATGCAAGAAAAACAAACAAACCCTACAAGCACAACCTGATCCACAGAGAGAAACGATCTTAAAAAGATATGCAGTGTTTCCTTTCTCATAAACAGCTTGCCATCAGTATGTACATTCCTCTGTGGAAGAGTCAGAAGCAAAGATCAGGAGCGCTGAGGGAGAAAAAACACATCCAAGATTATTGCTGAGACCATACAGCCCTGACTCCGTTCCAAAGCTATCTGATCTGTGTAAGGCTCCACTGTTATGACAGTCAATACAAATGTAATAATCACAACTTCCCAAGTCATACAGGGAATTGTGGTGAGATGCTGATAATTCGTTTTAAAGGCCCTCACAGAACTACAAGTCCCATGGTTCACAGGAAAGGGGGGAATGACTAGTATAATTATGTCCTCAAAATTGTTGTGGGGAGAGGGGACTGATACTTGCACACCTGGGCTATATCTCTTCTTGTACCTGTAATCTCAAACCCAACAAAATTAATGGCAAGTCAACTAGCTTGCAAGCATTGTTGTATACGATAACATAGGTTGTTGCTTGTGAGAGGAGAGCCCATGCTGCTATACACCATTAAATCTCTGAGCTGTCGTTTTTGCTGCTAGAAACCCAGATGCTAGAACACTGGTATAACTTTCCTGATCCTCTGGGTAAGAACTCCTCTCCCCTAACATTCATTCCATTGGGAAACACTGTGCTCTCAACTTTTAAATTGGTAATAACTGCTACAAGCATTTTAATGCATTGAGGCAGTGTAAAATTAGAAATGGGTTTTAAAACACAATTCTGCAGATCCGCAGTACGAAAGATATAGGACATGTAGAACAAATATTTTTCATTCTTTTGCATCTTCAATTAATTCACTATATAGAAATTTTATTCTACACAAAATAATACTAGAAGCTAGTTCTTAGGTTGGGCTTTTATTTCATAGAGTAGGGTTCAGTTACAGAACAGACCCTTTGAAATTAATGTACCTAACTTAGTTATGTTCATTAGTTTCAATGGGTCTGTACTGAACCCATAATAAGTATTCCGATTGAATAATTGAGGAGATAAACGCAAGATGAACAACATTTATTCCCATTCATAAGTGAATATCCCACATTGGGTAAGGTAGTAGGGTGATAACGACCAACCTAAACAGCCATTAAAAGTTGCCTATGAAAGATTGGGAAAGATTGAGGGCGCAAGGGGAAGGGGACGAAAGAGGACCGGATGATTGGACAGTGTTCTCGAAGCTACTAACATGAGTTTGACCAAACTGCAGGAGGCAGTGGAGGACAGGAGTGCCTGGCGTGCTCTGGTCCATGGGGTCATTGTTATGTATTGAAGTTCTCACCCTGGGCCAGCAGGGGGATACTGTAGATAGTTATGCAAATGAAGGATCGAAAGTGACGTTTAGTGATTGGATAGTTTTGTATGCAAATGAAGGATCGAAAAGTGACGTTCAGTGATTGGATAGTTTTAGAACGTTGCAACAGTTACAATTGTTCTGTAGCTCTATATAAGCAGGCTGGCTGAGCTCCTCAGTTCAGTTCTGTCTGACATCTGAATAAAGAAGAGCTGTTTGAAGAATTGCTGTGTCGTCTGCTATGTTCACCCACAACTTAACACTGGCGACGAAGGTGGGATTGATGGACATCAGAGCACAGCCAGATGCAGCCACCCTCTGAGCTGAGCTGAATCACTGAGCAAAATCACGGAACAGAACCAATTCAGAGCTGACTGTTCTGGCTAGAGCACGGTGTTCCATCCATTGCCCTCCACGCCGGCATCGGAATCATGGCTTCACTTGTGCCTCTACCACCGTTTGTGCCAGCCTCTGAATCATGGGACTCCTACCTCGCTCGGTTCGACTGCTACCTCCAAGCCAACGAGATGACAGCAGTATCAGAGGAACGGAAGCGGGGCCTATTCCTCAGCCTCTGTGGGCCTGAGGTGTTTGAGACGGCCCGAGCATTGGTTGCGCCGGAAGCAGTCCAGGCAACACCGTGGGACACGATCCAAGAGAAGCTCTGCAACCACTACGCGCCAAAGCCGTCCAAGATTGCTGCCCACCATGCGTTCTACCACCGGAACCAGGTAGAGGGGGAGTCAATTAACAACTACACCACCGCCCTGCAACAGGCTGCAATGCACTGCGAGTTCCGAGACTTAGACGATGCCCTGATGGATTGAATTGTCTGCGGGGTCCGGGACATCCATCTGCAACGGCGTCTCCTCGCCAAGCCAGACCTCACGCTACAGAAAGCCATTGAGGAGGCTGTGGCCTCAGAAGCTGCTGAAAGCTCCGCCCAGGAGATCCGCAAGTCCAGCAGCCCGCATCTTGCTAGGAAGCCAGTTCCAGTGCATCACGAAGAGGCCAGCAGTGATGAGGCATCCTCCAGTGAAGACGATGACGTGCACCAGACAAAGCGGGAGCGCAGGAAGTTCCAACAGAAGTCCAAGGGCCAACTGGAATGTGCCAGCTGCGGAGGCAACCATTCCCATGCCAAGTGTCGATTCAGAGACGCCATTTGTCAGACATGTTCCAGAAGGGGCCACATCGCTAAGGTCTGCCGATCGGCTCCATCTGACACCCCCCCTTCACCGACTCGCAAGTCCAAGTCTTCACTCCAGTCTGCCAAGGAAAGCTGTTTCGCTCTCACCAACTGCCGCTGCCCGTCTGGAACCACGATTGGCCAAACCGACTCGCCGATGCGACGCAAGCTGAATGTCACGGTGCTCATTGAAGGAACTCCATGTGACATGGAGATTGACACCGGGTCTGCCCTGTCCATCGTGTCTTGGAGCACCATCAAAAGACTGGTACCCAGAGTGTCCAAAAGGCAACTCGTCATCGGGTCATCGGGTGGCTTTCAATGCGGTCAAGGCTCTCCTTTCATCGGACAGTGTGTTGGTACAGTACAGTGAAGCCAAGCCGCTGGTCCTTGCCTGCGACGCCTCACCTTTTGGCATCGGCGCTGTCCTTAGTCTCCGTTTTCCAGACGGAAGAGAAGCACCGCTCGCCTACTTTTCCAGGACGCTGTCTCCAACGGAACGGAATTACAGCCAGCTCGACAAGGAGGCACTGGCACTTGTGGCTGGAGTGAAGAGGTTCCATGAATACCTCTATGGCAGGACTTTTGACCTCATCACTGACCACAAGCCGCTCCTGGGCCTCCTCGCCGGTGATCGTCCAACTCCACTGGTCCTCTCGCCACGCATGCTGCGATGGACTGTTTTCCTGGCTGCCTACCACTACCGGCTCGTCCATCGCCCGGGGAAATCGATGGGCCATGCCGACGCCCTCAGCCGTTGCCCTCTTCCAGCGTTTGTGGAAGACCCGGCTCCAGCATCATTGCTCCTCCTGATTGAGGATCTTCCGGCAGCGCCTGTATCGGCTGCCACTGTGGCCTCCGCATCTGCCCAGGATCGCACCATCAGCTGTGTGCTCAACTGGGTGTGGAGGGGGTGGCCACAAGGGCCTTTTGCATTGGAGTTCCAACCGTTCGCAACCAGACAACATGAACTCTCGGCTCATCGCGACTGTCTGCTGTGGGGAGACCGCGTCGTGATTCCCCAAAGACTCCGTCAACGCGTCCTGGAGGCTCTGCACGTTGGCCACCCGGGAATTGTCAAAATGAAGGCGTTGGCTCGGTGTTACGTCTGGTGGCCTAACATGGACAATGCCATCACTGCCTGGGTGTCCGCCTGTCAAGCGTGCCAAGAATCGAGGCCTGCACCACCGGCAGCTAAGGGACCTGGGAGATGCCCAAGACACCCTGGTCGAGGGTGCACATCGATCTGGCCGGTCCCTTTCACGGCCAGACCTTTATGGTAGTGGTGGATGCCTATTCCAAATGGCTGGAGGTGGCCCTGATGCCCTCCACCACTACCGAGGCCGTCTTCCGGGTGCTGCAAGGCCTCTTTGTGACGCATGGGTGTCCTGATGTCCTTGTCTCTGACAACGGACCACAGTTCACGTCAGGCACTTTTGAGCGGTATCTTTTGGGACTGGGCATCTGCCATGCCCTAACGGCACCATTTCATCCATCCAGCAACGGGCAAGCGGAGAGAATGGTGCGCTCAGCAAAAGAGGCACTGGCACGCCTGGACTGGGGAGACTGGCATGAGTGGGTCGCCAAATACTTGTTCGTACAACACATCACCCCTCATGCGGCCACAGGGCGGAGTCCTGCTGAACTGCTTATGGGCCGACGCCTCAGGTCCCCACTCGACCAGCTGCACCCAGACTTTGCTGTGGCCGAACCCCCATGCTGTGCCAACGCGCCACGGTCATTTGTTCCCGGAAACCAGGTCTTTGCCCGTAACTTTGTGGGGGACATTCTTTGGGTGCCAGCCACAGTAGTGGGAGTCACTGGACCTCGCTCGTACCAGGTGGCACTCGAAGACGGACGCTTGTGGCGCCGGCACATAGACCAGCTTAGGCGCAGGGTTGGGGACTTGGACACTACCGTGGTGCCCCCAACTGCGCTTGTGGCTCCGGAACAGACACTTACAGATAGTGAGGCTCCACCTACACCTCTTTCGCAAACTGCTGGCGGGGAGCTGAACCAAGCTGCTTCAGAGGGCCTGCCAGACTTACCACAGACTCAGACCACTGCCATACCTGACATTCCGCCAACTCCACTTGCAGAGGTTCCACCCACAGCAGCGGATCCAGGGGACTTGGTTTCAACGCCACCTAGGGTCGCACCACAGCCTCAGCAGGAATTGGGTGGCCCCCCCGGACTTGGCTACCAGTCCCCGGCGGTCTGACAGAGTTTCCAAGCTCCCAACTTATTTAAAGGACTATGTTGTTGGACATGTATCACTGTTGGTCTAAGTATGTGAAATGTAACCGATATGCTCTTGTGCCTAATTGAATCATTACGTGTAGTGCTGTATATAAGGAAACCATTACAATTGTAACTAACGCCTTATCTCGGTGGGGAGGGGTGTTATGTATTGAAGTTCTCACCCTGGGCCAGCAGGGGGATACTGTAGATAGTTATGCAAATGAAGGATCGAAAGTGACGTTTAGTGATTGGATAGTTTTGTATGCAAATGAAGGATCGAAAAGTGACGTTCAGTGATTGGATAGTTTTAGAACGTTGCAACAGTTACAATTGTTCTGTAGCTCTATATAAGCAGGCTGGCTGAGCTCCTCAGTTCAGTTCTGTCTGACATCTGAATAAAGAAGAGCTGTTTGAAGAATTGCCCACAACTTAACAATCATGAAGAGTCGGACATGACTAAACGGCTAAACAAAAACAACATGAAAGCCACAGCTTTTCTGGCATAGCCCTTGTTCTAGTTATAACCTCCAATTAAAAAATGAATATTTAGTTATTATTTTGTTTCACACAGTTAACCTCTGTGTTGAAAACACAGCATGAAATAAGTGTTCTAATGCTGAGATAATACTCTCTGGGATATTAAATATTAAACTTCAATATTTCACCACAGAAAAGTATGCACTCCAACTGGATGTGTCTTTGCTGTCCATAATAGTAAGCTTCATTAACTCTTTTAATTTACAGTAACATTCCCAAACGCACTTTAAAACGAGCATGAACTGCATGCTCATAAAAAAATGCTCTTAATGTATATTAAGAAATAATTGCATAGACACAAATCATTAACAGTTAAGTCTTACTAAATATGTTTTAATATTACCACTCTCAGTTAATTTACACTGTCTTATTAAGTTGAGATAGCTACATTTAATGACAGCTAATGTGTTTTCAGATACTACCTAATTATAACCTTAAAAATAACACTTGCCCACCAAGCCACTTTGTAAGCAGTTCCCTGGTTGTGACATTTACTTGCATTTTGAAGGAAGGGCTAACCTCTGGCAGCAGCAGCAGCAGCGTCCTTAGTGTCTGCATTCATTCCATGGGGCGCCATGCCCCAGCCTTTGTCAGCAGATAGCAAAAATAGCAGTTTCTAGCTGATTCAGTAGCTTCTGCCATACTTTCAGGGCAGATGCTGTCCCATGGCTACAGTGATGATGTACGGTTTAATAGTCACATGAAACATAATCAAGCATAGAAATGGAAAAACCCAATGAAAGTGACGAGTGGGATGCTGTGGGGTTCTCTCCTGTGCCCATCATTGTTCAACAGCTTTATAAATGACTTGGACAAACGAACTGAGATGCTCATCAAATTTGCAGATGACTCCAACCTGGGAGGAGTAGCTAATGCCACAGAAGACAGAATTGGGATTCAATATTAATTTTATTTATTTATTTAATAAAATAAATAAAAAATCAGCATGAGAAGGACATAAATATCCAATGGGAGATTAACAGATTAAAGGCACCCTCCTAAGACTAAGGAGGAAGAAAACTATTTTGAGAAGGAGTTTTACAATCTCTACAGCAGCACGTTAATGGAATTAGTCAGGAAGAGTGAAATATATTTCCCTTACATTTCTCCATATATTGTTTAATAATACACAAGCATAAAAATGCAATAGCAAGAAGCAGAGCAATTTCCCCATTTTTGCAAGATGCGCAGTATGTCTGAAATATGTTTTGTATCTTTTAATGTCTGTGGGTTTGTTTTGTTCGTTTTTACTCTTTCTTGTTAGGGTTTGCAAAGAGCCATCAGAGTTGATGGGATCTGACGGTTACAATGGAGGCAACATCGAACGCAACCACAGAAAACTCTTATCTTGTGACGGGAGCTCATCTAGGGACAGATGATTGGTTGGCTTCTCCGAGAACTATCAGCGATGCTGAAGATGAAGCTACTGCGAGGGAGAACATTCACACTGACACTGAAAAAGAACCAGTAATGAAAGAGCCACTTGTGCTGATAACAGATTGGGATCCACGGGCTTTACCTAGCCAGGAGGAAGAATCCTTGAGACGCTCACGGTATAGGTTAGGAGGCTCTGCTGATAGCATATTATCTTTAACTTCTTCCCATTCTCTCCTACCTCTTGAATGGAAAATTTTGAGATCTAGTCAATCAGAGAACACACTGGCACATTTTTCTGATGCCACTCTAGAAAACACAGAAGGAGGACATAAAGATTCATCAGACAATAACCAAGATGTTGTGGATGATATAATTGGAGATGAAGTTGCTTTCAAAGTATGTACTCGTATGCTCAACCATAATTTAGGTGCTGCTTACACTGCAGATTCCAGGACAGCCTTTCCCGTAATACACAATGGATCACCCAGCCCTAAAGATGCAAACTACTCAAAGAAAACTTCAGATAGTTCACAGTGCAAACATATACTGCACCCAAGAACAGAAAAGTTTCCAGATGTTGGAATGCAAGTTAATCAAGCACATAACTCAGGTAACTAGGACAATCATGGGTGGGTAGTGGTTGTGACCTGGTGTGGTGGCTCCTTCACACACAACCCATCCACCTGGCCGTCATGATGCATTCTGGGGTCCCACCAGACCCAGATTTGAATTCTGAACCAATCCGCATTGGCTGGGGGGGACGACAGGGAGCTGCCCTTGCTGCCCTAGTCTCCACTCAGGTCTGCTCCCAGAACATTTAAGCAGGCCAGCTCATAACTCAGGTAACTAGGACAATTAACTAGGTTCTTTGAATGAACGAACGAACGATTCAGTCGCGTAATGTTCTTCACATGTCCTTTTTCAGCAGCTGATAGAAAAGATTCAAGTTTGACTGACCAGCTTTGGACAGCTGCAGCATCAGCAAATAACTTACATAATATCGCCGTGTCAAATGGTTGGGAAGGCAATTCTTATCATCACAAGGTATTTAAAAAAAATTATTTTCTTTAGTGTCATATAAATTCAAACGTTACATATGTTTCTGGACTTTATGCATATTACCATATTTTTTGCTCTATAAGACTCACTTTTCCCCTTCTAAAAAGTAAGGGGAAATTTGTGTGCAACTTATGGAGCGAATGCAGGCTGTGCAGCTATCCCAGAAGCCAGAACAGCAAGAGGGATTTCTGCTTTCACTGCGTAGCGATCCCTCTTGCTGTTCTGGCTTCTGGGATTCAGAATATTTTTTTTCTTGTTTTCCTCCTCCAAAAACTAGGTGCGTCTTGTGGTCTGGTGCGTCTTATAGAGCAAAAAATACGGTAACTCCTAAGCACATAAGAGTCCTGCCAAATCATGCCAAAGATCCATCATAGCATCCTGTTTTCATAATGGCAAACCAGATGCCCATGGGATGCTGCAAAGAGGTCCCAAGAGCACTCTCCCCATGGGTGATTCCCAGCAACTGGTATTCAGAGTCCGATTGCTTCCAACTGTGGAGGAAGAAACATAGCCATCATGGCAAGTAGCCTTTGATAGCCTTATCACCCATTCATCTGTTCCCTTTTAAAGCAACTCACGTTGTTGGCCATCATTACGTCTTGTGGGAGTGAATTCGACAGTTTAACTATGTTATATTCCAACATTCAGCTTCGTGGGATAAACTTGGAACATGAAGGTTTGGATATGGTGGTTCAGCTTATTTACTAATCATTAGTATCCAAACTATATATACGTGGAAAGGGCTCATCCTTGTAACCTTGGTAGTGCAAGACATTCATAATAAAATAACTGACAGTGGCAATCGGGAAAGAAGGCATAAAGTTCCTGGCATATGAAATGAAAAAACCAAAAATATCTCCCTCAAAAAAAAACTCCAGAGAGGTGACATTAAAAAAATAGAATATACTTGACTTCCTTTTCTTAAGATGTGTGTTTGGGAGGATCAGTTGTGAACTAGTGCTTTATTTGAAAATGATAGGTTTGCCTCTAGTTTGGCTGGCCCAAATACATCTCCTATACCACAGTTCAATAAGCAATGTGTGAGGATAGTATGTTTTGGTTAATGACAATGGATGCTGTATTCAGCCTATAATTAGCAGCCCCAGATATTGCATGATATGGTCAATTTATACTTGCCTTCTAGGTATCTGCAAATAGTTCAAGTCTTTAAAAGGAAATCCATGGAAACCCATAAAATAGAGCATAAAATGAGGAAAATATTTGTAAATGTTACTATGGTTGTTTATATGTGATAGTTTTGATTACATGCAGACTGGAAGGGTCAAATATTTTTTGAAGTCTGAATGGTATATGTGCCTCTGCACTAAAATGTAAAACTTCCAAAAAGCAGCACTGGTGATGGTAGCGGGGAGAAGGAAGAAATTCCAGGTGTTTGAACATCTTTCTACAAGCTCCAGTGCTTCCTCCTTTTTTCCATTGTTTTCTTTGCATTGGACATGCTAAACCAGGCTGCTGCAGCAGCAGCTGCTCAAGCTGTGCCTCTTGACAATAGCCTTGCCTTCTGGCCTGATGATGGTTAGATTCCCAACACAAAAGCTCTTTTCTGATGTAAATGGAGGGCAGTGACATTACACAAGGATTGTTGGGGATGCTGGATGTGGAATCATGAAAGCCGGCCAACCAGAAAAACGGCAGAGGTAAAATGGTAAAGTGCTGTTAAATTAAGGTTTTCTTTTTATAAAATATGAATAGAGCCGTCATCAAGCACTAAACAAAAACTATGGTAGCAACCATAAATTAAATATGGTAGCAACATAATTAAAATAACCCTTTCTCTGTGATAAAACATTTCAGTCAATGTCTGAAGCACAAAATATATGCTTATGCTTATGTGAAGAATCCAAATCTTCCAAATCATGATTATCTGCCACTACCGTTGTTTTCTTTTTACAGAAACTGAAGTATTTTTTACTGGTTTCACCAATGCAAGATTTAGGAGCTCTTTGTATAATGCAGACTTCATGGTTTTTTGTCTGAATGTATATAACTGTTTGGTGTTTTCAAGATTTTGCATTTCTCTGCTCTTTTTCTCATTTTGAGCACACTTACATTGTAGCACTCTGAATTTTCCCCAATGATACTTTTATCTTGCATTTGATTATTATCTTCACTAAGTTTTTACTGAACCCTACAACCACTGCAGTTTCTTTATCTTCAAAAGATTAGTATATATGGATATCAGCAAATTGAGGGGTATAAAACAAGCTTTATATGGATATGTGAGAAGCGTATCCTTTGTTATGGTTTTAACAATCCACTTGCTGTGTTTCATTTACAGTAACATGTCTAATCACAGACTTTTTCTCAGCAGTGAAGGTACCATCTAAGTTTAAATGTATATTGTTCTTCAGTTTTGTGCTGTTTATACGATAAGAAGCTTTAATCATTCATATATTTCAGATATTCAATGTTCATATTTCACATGGTAAAAAAAACATGTTTTTCTTTAAGGATTGTTGGAAATAACAAGGTTGAAGTTCTTAGTCTTTAGAGTGCCACAAGACAGGGCTAAACTTCTGAAGTTTGAATCTAGTATATGAACACCTGACTTGCTCTTTTGAACCATTTATGTTGCATAGATATGGCTTAGCGTTGTCATAATTTCATAATCTTTGTGGGGGTTTTGTATTGTGTTAACTATAAGCTGCTTAATGGACCTGGACCAGAGGAGCTGAAAAGTATCCTATCAATTCAGTAGTAGTAAAAATAATAATATACAAATGCAATCTTTGTATACTGTATAAATGCACAGGTTTGTTTGTTTGTTTTTTAAACAAAAGAGCTTTATTCTTAATACATGGAAAACAGCACACGTCACAATATACAGGACCATGCAACAGTTCTCATTACACAGCACAAATTAAATTAAACACTTGAAATTTCTTCTTGACTTTCTTTTTCCCCTTTTTTGTTAGTTAACAAAGAAAGGAAGGTCTCCTGCAATGTCAGAGTTTCTGCTGAAATCTCCAGATGAGAATAAACAGGAATTTCATCAACCCATGAAGAATGTGCAGGCTAAACGTCAAGTACTGTTGAATGGACAGAGTCCACACGCAGATGATGGCAAACTTTACGGGAAGGTGAACGATTTGCATGTTTTTATATATATATAGTTTCTTTCATTATAAGAACATAAGAAGAGCCTGCTGGATCAGGCCAATGGCCCATCTAGTACAGCATCCTATTCTCAAAGCAGCCATCTGAATGCCTGTGGGAAAGCCCCAAACATGACTGGAGCACAAGCATCCTGTGGCTTCCAGCAACTGGTATTCAAAGGCATTACTGCCTCCTACGGTGGAGGCAAAGCATAGCCATCATGGCTTGTAGCCACTGATAGCCTTATCTGTCTCATCCCCTTTTAAAACTATCCAGCTTCATGGCCTATTGTTTATGCACTGAGTGAAGAGGTACTTTCTTTTACCTGTCCTGAACCTTCATTGAGTCCAGCTTCATTGAATCTCCATGAGTTCTAGCGTATAAGTGCGGGAGAAAGACCTCTCTCTATCCACTTTTTCCATGCCACGTGTAATTTTGTAAACATCTGTCATGGCACCTCTTTCTCCCCTTACAGGACCTTTTCCAACTTGGCAATATCCTTTTTGAGTACCAGAACTGTACGGAATATTCCAAATGTGGTCACACCACAGATCAGTAGACCAGCGTTCTGATACCAGCAGTTTTATTTTCCATTCCTTTTCTACACACACCAGGTCAACATCTTCATCAACTGAAACACTTTCACTTTGCTGTTATCCTTAGTTCTGGCATACTATGAAATTCAAAAACGAATAGAGAATGCTCTGTTCTTAAATAGGCATATGACAGCTGCAGGAGTGAAGCTACAATTAACTCACCAGCAAAACCTTCTAAAAGAAGTGGGGACACAGGAAATAAAAACCATGTAATTCCCCATTCCTTTGCTTCCTCCCTCCATATTATACAGTATACTTAAAGAACAATTGATTGAATAGATTAATGAAGCGGTTGTGTACTTGCGTGATTTGACTTCTGAACAGGGGAGTGGCAAGTCAAGTGAACTGAAATGCTTCCGAAATAGATAATCTTGATTGTACACTAAACAGATGGCAATGGCAGGAACTCAAGAGATAAAAATAGTCCAATGAGTGAGTTGCTGCAGACTCTTAGTCAGGGCTGTAAGCACAGGTTTTTAGGAGCTTATCACACAGAAACTTTAAGAACAGAAGGGTAAAAAGAAAACATAGAGAGGAGAGAAATCACTTTTTTGTATTTAACACTTATATGCCACCGCATAGCCAGTAATGAAAAAAAGAAATCAGAGCAACAAAAGTCAAAGACAAAAATTCTAAGCTTTACGTTTTCTCAGCTAAACAAACTAATGGATGGGTATGGAAAAACCAAAGGTTTTATCCAGTAATGAATCTAAGAGATAGCATACCACACCAAAAATAAACAAAAGCTATCCAAATAAATACTTGAACTCTCAAAATATAACAATGACGATTTTTACAAGTATGGGAATGCCAGTATGCAAAGTAAATTTGTGGAAAAAATAAAAGCTTAATAATAAAAAACACAAGATACAAGATAATAGATCAGGGTTTTTCTTCCTAAATTACAAAGAAGGCTCAGTCAAAAGTGAACATAGAGAACTTATTTCATATTCACTGATAGGATGAGGCATACTATAAGCAAGAATGTAAAAAATGCATTATACAGTATTCAAATATCTTGTTATTTCCTTTGTTCTTAGAGGTTGTCCCAATTTTGCTGTTGTTGCAAACTCCCAGATTTTATCAATCCAATCATTTATTGTTAGTGCCTCCACTTGTTTGCATCATTCGTGTGTGTGTGTGTGTGTGTGTGTGTGTATCTCACACACACAGATGGATATAAGTATGTGTGACTTTATATAGATATATTGTAAGACATCAATTTAGAAAACTCAGAAGTATGGGGAAAGCACATATTAAGAATTCAGAATTCACATATTCAGAATTACAAATAGAATGCCACATTTTTATCTTCTCCGTGTAATAAAAAATGTGAAACTGGAATGTTTCAAATGAACAAACTAATGCAATTTTTTTTTTTAGGAGATAGAATTTCTTAATGAAGAGCTGTCAACTTGTAGCCTGCCAAAATTTGAATGCAACTCTCCCGGAATTCTACAGCAACAGATTGGTATGAAGTCATATAGGCTTGTTAATTTCATCATTCAACATTCAGTGCCTTTATTTTAATTTCCATTTGAACGTGTGCTAATTGGTTTTTATATGCATCAGTCCACATGATGATCCACATTTATTAATTTCTGTGAAAGTTCAAATAGCATTTTAGAAAAACCATGAAACCATGTTCTACTCCTTCTAAGTACTATAGGATGAGTGTTCAGGTTATCGGCACCACTACAATCCCACAACTGATTGGTTAACACTGGCTACAAACAGCCAACACTATGGCAATAAATTTAAGCATCAGCTTAATGCATTATTTCCCCCTTCCCCGCTAAAATCTCTAAATGCACTCAAGTAAACAAACTTTCCACCCCAAACCATTTCAAGCTGTACAATTTCCCCCAAAAACTTTACTCAAAGTCATAGAATTGCAGAGTTGGAGGGGACACTGAGGGTCATCTGGTTCGACCCCTGCAGTGCATGAGTCTTTTGCGCAAAGTGCGTATCCTATGCCTCTACAAATACTAGGCACCATTCAATCAAGGCTGTATTTTTATGCACACTTTTAATTCATTCTGAGAAACAAGTGTAGTCCTGGGATGCAAGCTAAGTATTTTGAAGTCCCTTTTATTTCAGTAGGAGAGTTGCAATCCTATGCACGTCTACTGAGAAATAAGCTCAGTGAGACTTACTCCCCAGGTAAGTGTATCTTGCATTAAAGTCTTAAGCACAATAGGCCTTAAATGTGACTAGACGATGCATACTGAATATTTTTGCATATTGATACACAGTAAACCTTAAAAGCCAGATCACCGATCTTCAAGAAGCCAATGAGACTGCGGTCTTAGAGCTAGCAAAGGCAGATGAGGAGATTTCACAACTGAAGAATGAAATGGCTCAATTAAAATCTGACTATATGCAGAAGTTAGCAGACTCTAAAGAAGAAAATCTTAATCTGAAGAAAAAGGTAAGGGGTCTGAGACAATCCTTTATTATAACTTACCGTATTTTTCGTACCATAGGATGCACCGGACAATAGGACGCACTCTGTTTTAGAGGGGGGAGAACAAGAAAAAAAAATCCTCCCCTCTCTGCCCAGCGCCCCTTCAGCGAAGCGGCAGGAGGCGCTGCGCAGAGAGGGGGAGAACTTTCCCCCTCTTGTTTTCCCGCTCTAAAACAAGGTGCCGTTTAAGGGGCGTTCAGGCGGCTACCTTGGAAGCCTGGAGAGCGAGAGGGGTCGGTGTGCACTGACCCCTCTCGCTCTCCAGGCTTCAGGTTCCTTTCGACCTGCTCTTTGGGGCTGGCGGGGGGAAGCCCACCACCAGCCCCAAAGAGCAGGTCAGGGAGCAGTGGAAAGGCGCAGCGGAGAGGCTTCTGCCATAGCCGCGCGTCACCTCTCCAGCCGGGAGAGGGTCGTGGGGCTATGGCGTCTTCGCTCCATAGGACGCACACACATTTCCCCTTCATTTTAGAAGGGGGAAAAGTGTGTCCTATAGAGCGAAAAATACGGTATATACTTTAATTTTAAACCTGTGTTTTTCTTTAAGTGGGGTAGAAGACAGGTAATATATATTTAATCATGTATCAAACAGTAACCAAAGCTATAATTAGTCAACGGGTGATATTCATTTGTTTTATGCCTACGACTGTGAGCTTAAACATTCTTAGTATGTATTTGTCTCCTAAATGTTTTATAAAATAATTGCATATTTTACACATTCACTGCTAAACCCTGCCGTAAAGAATGATAAACTCACTGCATGCAGAAAAGTACCACAGAAGAGAAAGAGTTTTGGCCTTTTTACTTGCATGTTTGGTTTGTTTGTTTATTAAATTTGCTGTTCACTTACTTTGCCACGGCAACTCTAAGCGACGTGCAATATTTTATGTGACTTAGAATTTATTTTTACATGGGAAATTCAAACATAAGAACCTGTCCTGCAGTCTGCATTGGCACAGGACCAGGTAGGGTGCATTGTGCAATTTCTCTGCACATGAATATAATCCATTAGGCAAAACTTTAACCAACCTGGGAATTACAGCAGTTCAGAAGTGATCAGTTATGCTTTAAACAATTGATTTCTTATATGTTGATTTCTACTCTTTATTGCTTTCCTCCTTCATGATCAAGAATCAAAACACAATTTAAACTAATTCATCCCCCTCTAAAGATCAATAGGATGCACAGCAGACATGATCCAGTAGACACTTATGAGCAGACCTTGCATGAAGAGATTTGTGAGCTAAGAGCTGAGTCCAGGAGACTGAGGGAAATTGGCCACCAGCTGAATGAGGAAAACCACAGGCTGAAAGAAGAGCTATGGGATGTAAAGAGGAAATATGAATGGCTCGTGCATACAGTTGCTGGCAAACAGGATGGTAAAGGAACCACCATTATGGTATATTGCTTGGGTTCTTACGATGATCAGTAAACAGCCCAGTATGTTGCTCCAGAAAAGATAGGAGGCCACATCTCATTAACAACATTAACACCAGTTACTTTTGAGCAATGACTTTATAGCAGAGCTTCATGGCAGTAGCATAGCATGGGCAGGCACAGGGGCAGTTGTCCCAGGTGCATAATTGTTAGGGGCACAAAATTTCAACACCTCAATACAGCTGCCTCAATTCACAGTTCCATCACTGGGCTCTGTTGAAAATGGCTCCTCTGTGCAAACTAGGAAGTGACCTCTGCAGACAATGGAACGACTCTTCTTGTCTCTGCAGCTGTGATCTTCTGGGCGATGCAGATGCCATTAGGCAGTTGAATGTGCATGCATACTCTGTCCATTTCCCTCACTCCCACCCCCTCTCTGTGTGGCCCCAGGCGCTAGCAACTCATGCTACACCACTGCTCATTGAGCCCATTCTTCTGCATGGGTTCATCATGTGTCCACTGCAATGTGACTAATACAGGAGGAAGACTGACTATAACAGGCCCCTATCCATCACTATTGTGCACTGGCTGATGTATAAAAAATAGTTGCTACTCGCCATGCAATCAGATAGACCTGGTACTGGGGTTTCTTAAGAGGATAAAGTGCATTTAACAGGTTTTCAATAATAATAACAATAAACATAATCACTGAAGATATAGTGACAATGAACTTGATTTCAACCACCAACTTCAATATGAATCCTATCATGGAGAGAAAGGTCTGAGATATACATCACCTCATCATTCTGGGTTGCCTCTGTGTTTGTGCCCAGAATGACTGTTTTCATTTTAAAAGATCTTGCCTCTAGTCATTAGGTACATCTTTATACCCTCAACAATTATCCCAAGTATTTATAAATTATCCGAGGCAAAGCTATAACATTAACACCAATACTACCACAGTGAAATTCACCAAAACAAATCTTTATTGGAATTCGAAATGCCAGAAGAGGTATTTGTTGATTAACTGTAAAGGTGATTAACCCTCAACAGGTAATTAATACTGTCAGAGTTGATGGTTAGCAAAAAGAGATCCAGCACTACAGAAAAGGGACTTCAACTTTCAACTGCGGTCACAGCAATGCTGAATCATGGCAAATAGCTATAAAATAGCTTTCTTAAAACTAAAAGTGCTTGAAGATCAGTGCAACTAGCAGCAGTTTGTATATTTATTTTACATTAAGTTCTTCCAATGAGTATCTAATGTTACTCATTTGATTACAGTTTATTTTAAATGTGGCATCTGTGATAAGTAAGACAATTCTGTTCCCAGCTATACTAAAGCCAAAGTGTATTTCTCACATCTTAATTTAAAATACTAATAATAAAGCAGGAAGTTGCTCTTTCAGAAGACATTCAACCAACAAACGGAAAAGACATCTCACTTTTTGAAAATACATCATTTTAATAATTAAAGCATCAGTGCTTAATAAAAAATAGTTTAGTTTTAATAGACTGCATCAACAGTGATTTTAAAAGATTGACTGAATGAAATATTATTGCTTTATAATATCTAAAACATCTAAGCAGAATTTGATAATAAGCAAGGCTTTTATTTTTATCTAGAAAAGATACAAGAACGTTCTAGGAAAAATGCTTCTTCCCCATCATCCATAAATAGTGAATCTACAGAATTTCTGATTTCTGGATACTGTGACACAGGGCTAGCAAAAGAAAACAGAGACTTAAAAGGTATGGTAATTAAAATATGCAATTGCACATCTTCTTATTTTGCCTTGTTAGCACAGAAAAGAATAAAAAAGTATACTGCATGTTCCCATGAATCTTCATATGGAAAGAAAAATCACTTAATTGGTTTTCTGTTTTCAGCTTTCTTTTTATGCAGTCAGTGAAAAGTAAGATCTATTTGGCTGCTTAGAGTTGTGAAATACTTCCTCCAAACATTCCTTGCTTTGGATATTATTCATTATTTTTTATGGCCTTTCCCCACAAAACATGCCAGATTTCAGTGGACCCAAAATATAGGAAAAATTCTGAGCTTTGGTGTTATTGCTTTTAGTAATGCATCTGCATGCTTTATTGGATTGGGATAAATTAAGAACCTCAAAAGTGTAAACTCCCTGCATTCGTCCAATATGGGGGAAAGGAACATTGGTCAACATACTGTTTTCAGTACTGGCAAAACAGCCACAAAATGTGATGGCTATGTAAGGATTTTACATTATCATAAAGGCATTCAGACAGACAACTGAATAAAAGACTAACCTTGGAGCTGGGAGTCCAATTTAATTATTATTATTATTATTATTATTATTATTATTATTATTATTATTAGAATTTATATACTGCCATATGCCTGCAGGAATATAAAACCATAAAGTACATAATCAAAATAAAACAACAACCCAGTAACACACAAACACACCATATTTGTAAAAGGGCATAGGATGTCAATCAAATCAACCAAAGGCCTGGTTAAAGAGGAATGTTTTTGCCTGGCGCCTAAAGTTGTATAATGAAGGCACCAGGCAAACTTCCCTGGGGAGAGCATTTCACAGATGGGAAGCCACTGCAGAGAAGGCCCGTTCTTGTGTTGCCACCCTCTCGACCTGTTGTGGAGGAGGCACACGAAGAAGGGCCTCAGAAGATTATCTCAGGGTTATCTTATCTGACCATTCTTATCTTATCTATTCTTATCTGACCAATAGATTTAACTATTATTTTCATCCTTGGAGTTGCCACAATATATCTGTAGTGGTATATCTTATTATTTGAACGAATGTGCTTTTGGCAACTCCATATCATTTTTCCAAGAGCACAGAAATAACCAGGAAAGTCAAACCTTTAGCCCCGGGAGTTTATCAGGGCCTTCAAGAATCCCCAGTACGTCCAATGACATCTCCAGGGCTATGAAGCAGACTAGCCAATGACTGAGGCCACATCAGTTTCTCTTCCCTTGTCCCCTTTCAAATTAGCGATATGGGTTCAAGAAGTGTGGCAAGTAAAGAGACGTTTGATCAAACTGATTGCACTGGAGCAGGCTATGCAAATTACAGTGTTCTAGCATTTTTCGTAAAAAACAACAACCAAACAAACCATGGATTGATGCACTTTAATGGTTTCCAGGATAAATATCTAGAATTTTACAACTTAAGTATCTGAGGTGAGATAAGGTTTTTTAGTTTTTTGCACACAAAATTATAGAATATTCCCTGAGCATCTGTTGGTAGGGAACTGGTTCCACATTACCTATTTAAGTTGGGCATCCTTGAACAAAACCTTGCAACTAGATTTGACCCAAATTTTCGAGCAGCTTTTTAATGTTTTTTTTAATCGTATTTCGTAAACCTTTTATTGGCATCACATACAACATCCAAAACAAATCAATGCAGAATTACCACTTTCCCAGTGGCACAAACATTTGCTAAAAGAAAGGAGGCAGAGCAGTCTATCGTCACATCTCTTGGTCTCCAGGGAGATCAGACGTCTGCAGTGTAATTATTATTATTTTTTAATCAAGATGATGCATCTGAAGAGGTCACAAAGGCGAGCAGCATCAACTTTCCTTGCATTACTCAACACAATCAAACAAGTCATGAGAACTATGATCAAAGCATCTCAAGTTCATCTTCGAGTGGTGTCTCTCAAGTGGACACTTGCAATAAATATTATCCAAACAGGTAAGAACTGAATGGACGTGAATATGATTGTGTTGTAAATGTACCGGTAGTTTTCTGCTGTAAAGAAAAAGGTTGAGACCCCACACTGTGTAGTACTGCCAATTTAATGAATGCAAAAAGGTCAAGTAACTCTTCAGCAACAGTCTAGCTAAAGCAGGAAAGCACTGAAACATGTCTGCTGGGCTTGAGCTCATCACAAGATCAAGGACTGACTTTCCCCTTTGCTCTGATTGTGTATAGATGTCAGCCAGCACATTAGATGAGATCAATCATGATCTTTTGTGCGCTCCAAGATGCAACAGCTAGGATTGTTTCAATTTATGGCTATAATGCTAGGTTCACTTCAGAAAGATAGGGCTGTGAGAACTACGTGGAACTGAATGAGTGGCAGGTGTTGCATTGACAACTGTGGGTACACTGATTGCCACAGCAAATCCACTGAATAGGAGGGGAAGCAGTAGCATAGGGGGTCCCTTAATGCTAAGTAAGCCAAAACCAAGATAGGCACTAAAACATACCTAAATCTCAATCCAAGCCTACTGCATGATGGTTTTAACATTACAAATGACAGGAAAAGATCACCACCAAATATTCTCTTTAGCACAGGGGAGGGGGACCCCTAACCCTTCAGGACTCTCCCTAGGTCACACACCTCACCAGCCCTACTCCACGCCCTCTAAGTAATTCTGCTGGAGTGGAATGTGCCCTTGAGTTGCGCTAATGCCCCTTGCTTGCCTGCTTGGTGCAATAGAGAGGGGCCTGTGCATGCAGAAGCCTTTGGCTTTGTGTGTCTGGAACGTGTCATATTTTATAAAGCATTTTTTCCATTGCTGCACCCACTTTTGCCTTTGGACCTAACACCGTGTGAATGCAGGCTTTGAAAAGTTGGCTATGAGGGAATATGGCCCTTTATTTCTGCAATTTCCACATAAAAAAGGCAAAGCTATGTACAGTGAAAATCTATTTCATTTCTATCCCACCCTTCATTAAACCTGGTGATCCTATGGCAAAACCATAGAATAAAAGCACTTAAAAACAATGACCGATATTCTATTTCTGACCAGGACCCTTCCATGACCCATATACAGCATTTTAGATCTCTGCCTCCTCCTTTGCCTTTCTTATCTGTCCTGCAATGTTGTTAAAAAGACCTTCTATAATGCTATTAAAGAGAGGCATGGACAAACCTAAATCCAAATCTTCCACAAATACTGCAAGGATTTTACTTTACAAATACTTTACAAGGATAATAATTAATTCCTTGCTTTCCTAGAGACAAATGAAGCAGCTTGTCCTCAGTCTCTTTCATGTATCACTACCATTTAAAACACAGAGTAAGTTTTGCCAAGAGAGGAGGAGTTTGATTTTGTTAAAATGTGTACAGCAGCTACCACTGGTTGAAGTTGAAAGAACCTGCTACATAAAAGATTTTTCTTGCAACTTCCCTGTAACATCAGAGCTGTGGCTTACATCAGAATAGCAGGGCTGTGTCTTGTTTCTTCTGCAGACCAAATAGCAGCCAGCTGTCCCCTAATTTTGTGCATGAAGATTCCCACATGATGTTAGAATAAAGAATTTGAACAGATGTTATTGTTACCCCCCCAAAAAAAATATATCATGGCTCTTTTACTTAAGTTCAAGGAAAACAACTGTTTTTCTCAGGTACCTGTAAGGGCCAAAGTAGACATGATGTGAGAGATCTGTGATCACATCTCAGGTATTTTTATACACTTTAAACCAGCAGTGTGGATCCACAAATTGTACAAGAACCACAGTACTATGGGAGAGGCGTGTAACCATTTTCTTGCATGTCATTTCACCGATATAAATACCATCCAGTGAAGCTGTGAAGGAAGAGGAGAGAAAACTATGGGCACCCATTTTGTACCCATCATTTCCCCCTGTGGGCATTTCTCCTATTTAAATATTTACAGAACTGTGATTATCCCTAGAATGGGAAGAAGATGGGAACAATATAGGTGTCTATCCTTGCGCTTCCTACAAATTAACATTGGCTTGGGGGTAGGGGGCACTGACTGAAGGAAATGGAATTGTGAGGGTAAACACTCAGCAACATGGCCCAATCCAATTTTGTTTCTGCAAAAAGTTGTTGGGAGATTCAGTCCCAGGTTTCCCCTGTCATGTCTAGTTTGTTCGTAAGATATGTAGGATTCTTTGGTTATCATGAAGAGTCTGAATAATAAAGTTGTGCTGGAGTACCAAAAAAAAAAGGACTCTTACGTTTTAAAGGAAAGCTATTGATTTTCTACAACTTTTTATCCCAGGATTTGTCTAGATAAGGCGGCACTATCAAGACGACCATTTGCACCCAGGAATGTTACAGACTTGAAAGTTGGAAACCTAGTGAAATTTTCATGCCCAGCAGGAAAAATCAGCAAGGGAACTGTTAAGTATTTGGGACCACTTTTGGGGAGAGAAGAGGACTACCTTGGAATAGAGCTGGAAGGGGATCAAATAGGAAGGCATGATGGAACTTTTCAAGGAACACGCTACTTTCTTTGGTAATGTTTACTCTTCTACCTGGCAATAGTATATTTGAGATCTTCCCTTCCCACCCCGAACCCAATTTTCCCCAGGGGCAGAAATAAAGCAATTTCACAGTCTTCTTGTTCAACATTTTACCTTTACCGTGCATAATATGCAACCACTAATGGATCACAAATGTGTGTTGGCAAGTTTGTGGTTTTGAAGTATTGTGCAAAATACAACATTACAAAAGCTATACTATTACTGGTGAGGACAGGGTTCGTGGCATGCTCCTTAGAATTAGGATAGTAACTAACAATAGCAGCAAGTTCACTTTTTATTGATGAGAGCTTCAGGATTTAGCTACTGTCTGTAGCAAATTGTGTTAAGCATTGATATCAGTGTGAATGCAAGTACCTTGCATCCTCCCACCTGCAAGAGATGGAAAAAGCAAAGTATGTGGGAAATCCTGTATCACCACCTCATCAAGACTAGAATTTCACATTTTTTTTGCACTTTATCAAACAGTAACCATGCCTTGTACTCCTAATTTGGAGTGATGGCAAATTAATGTGCTGTTATCAAACATTTAAAAAGCATTATTCTCACAGAGCTTTGTAAATGCACCATTCGCAACTTAAAACATGTGTAAATGCTTTACACCATCAACTACAAGATATTAAATGTTTGACTCCCATAATTGTGGCAGGTTTGGAATTCCCTCCCAACAGAGGTGTCTGGCACCTTCATTATGCATTATTACATATTTCTAGAACCCACTCTCATTGTGATTGTAATTCGTTTTAAACTGTTTGTATCTCATCCTGTGTCTGTCTGGTGAAGTGGGTAATAAATCTAAAAAAAAGTTTTACTGGTGCTATTAAGCATTGCAATGGATGTAGGAGAAAAATCCTGAAAATGTAATGTTTTCCTGGCACTCTATATATGCCTGTTCCTGCCCACTTTCTGCCTCCATTCAATTATTTTATATCTATGTATTATAAATGTCTGAGAACTTCCTTTATATAATGGACATTATGAAAATTCTAAAGAACAAATTGCTTCGTGCATCACTAGAGAGAAAAGCTTGCACTCAGAAATTCTATAGTTCAAAGTAGCTCTATAAACACAAGATGTGTGCATGAGCCCAAGATTCACCTTATATTTGTGCATGCGCATATATATATATATACCTGAGTTGTTCTTTCCACTTCATTCTGTGCTTTGGGTTCAGAGGCACTTTGTATAAAACAAATTCATTCTTATGGTGAATCTAAAAATTACTTTTCCTTCTTTTTGGCAGAAGTTGCTGAAATTTGCAAGTGCATGAACCCTCTAGTTTTTCTTCAGACTGCATAAATCTTTGCAGAACTCCTCCAGACTAGATTAAGCCTGCCAGAGGCTTCTGTGGGGGGTGTAAAAGGAACTCACATTCTCCATAATCAGTATTAGGGCAATGCATTTGCTAGGCCAACTAAAACGCCAAAATCCATATTAGTTTAATATTTTCAAGTTCAGGGAAGCATGGGGGCTTGCGTCTTGCTTTTTCATAACTTAAAATAATTAAGAGGGAGCTGAGTTGTGTGTATTCTTGCTTGTGCACTTTTCAAAACATTAGCTGGCTTTGCTTTCCTGGAGTTTCTCCCAGAGTTTGTGGGGACAAAACTAGTACGTAAAAAACGAGTGCTTTTAAATTGCTGGAAACCTCAGAGTTTTGTGTGACTGGAACAGTGCATGTATCGCCTATTAACTACAACCTATAACAGGAATAGCCAAAATAGTGCTTTCCAGATGTTGCTAAGCTACAACTCTCAGCATCCCTGCTGAGCTGTAGTCCAACACCTAGAAGGCACCATATTGGCCATCTCTAGCAATTTGTACCTCCATTCCAAGTCTGAACCATGCTGTGCTCTTCAAATTTTAATACTAGCTTTACCGCCTGAGCAATGGCTGTAACTTCATTGCTGCAGGGAGCGTTTATCTATCCCCTCAAATAATCCTGATATCTACTTTCAGCAATGCCTTATTTTGATCCTTTCCTCAATTTATTTTTTCCTGTCTCTACCAGTGCTACAGTATACATCTCCACTATTGTATCTCCCAGAGTATAGGTGATAAAGTGGTGAAACGGAAACTATCCTCAACAGCAAAGATATTCCACCCGGGGGGGGGGGGGGAGAGAGAGACAGAGACAGAGACAGAGACAGAGACAGAGAGACAGAGAGACTAAAGTCACAATTAAAAGATAGTAAAGGGTTTCCCACTAACAGAAAATTGTGCATTTTTCCCCTGTCATGCAGAAATGTCTTTGTTGTCTTTAAATTGTGGCCTTTTAGAATCCAAACAGAAAACACTGTCCAGCAGCAGATTTCTGTTTGCATGACCATCGAAGTAACTTTCACCGAGTTTGTAACTCTTGTTGGTTAGTTAACTTTATGTCGTAAAAAAGTCATGTCAAAGAACCATATCCACATTACTGACTTTCAAAATTTGTTTTCCAGTGCACCTAACAAAGGAGTTTTTGTTAACTTCAGCAAAATCATTATTGCCTGGGAATAACGATTCCACTACATCCTGAACAATGAACGCATGGACTTTAAAGCCTTCCAATATATTGTGCTCCTGGTGCAAAGAAGAAACAAAGTGTTTAGAACTCTGTTCATCAGTGTATTTCTTCCATTTTTATCAAGTTGTATTTGAGCATTTTATAGTATTGTATTTTTTGGAAAATAAAGCTAGTTGTACTATTACTGAAAATGCAAACAGCAAACATCTGGACTCAAGTCATAATAGGTATGAATTCCCCCAATGAACTGATTTAAAACAGTTTATTTTCCTTTCCATGTAGAGCAATCAAGCTTATGATTGCTTACATATTTTTACAGAGAATGGAAACACATGAACAAAGTGGTAAACAAAAACAGCTGAAGTGATTTCCATGATTTTCCATTAGGAAAAATATGCAATCATAACTGCAGATAAGTTGTTGCTGCTTCCACCACCCCCACTTAAAAAAAAATGTACCTGAAGGCATGGCTAGGATAGCCTCTGTGTACAAGAAGTAAGCCCAGATAGCAAATGACCCCAAAATAGCAAAGAATCTGGATTCTTCCACCATTCATAAATAGCTACAGCGGACTAATACAGCTATCCCTCTGAAAATTAGAGAAATGCTTATCACAAACTTGCTGAATTGAATCTACCATGGTTGGGAGCACATTGGTAAACAACTTCTCCCTCTTTGGGTTCACAGTTCACAGTACTGGTGTATGAAAATAAATTTTAGCTAGTTTTCAAGCTCTTCTAAATCAACTGTACCATTTCACCAGTCATAACGGAGTGCCTGGCGAGAGTTAGAACCTTTTCCTGATAGCAGTAGTAATAGAAAAGTCCTTCATCTAAGTACGAAGGAGCTGGTATATCTGACTAGGCATGAGAATTTATTATTCACTGGTTGTAAAAATGGACCTAGCTTACATTGTTTGGAATTTGATATTTATCAGCCATAGGTTCAGAAGACATGATTACATATATTTTATCTACCAAGCTCCTAATTCACCACTTGGCTTGAACTGTACTTGGACCTGCTGGATCTATGATGAAATAGTGAAGTGACATCATAAAATGGCAACAATAGCAGCCCCAAGTATTCTAAACAAGGATTTTGCCCAGCCCTAACTTAAGAGTCCTTTGGCTCTTGTGCTTCAGCTCAGATCATAGGCAAGGCACTGGGCTTATGTTACCTAAGGGAGACCAAAAAACAAGGCACCTGAAACAGCCCCAGCTGATTAACTTCAGCCCTCCCTTGCACTACTCATGTTAACATTATCTAAGTTACCCTCTGCCCTGTCCAAAGCTACCTGCAAGTAAGTTCTCACGGCAAACACTGAATCTAAAATGATTTTATGGTAATAGTGCCTTGGCTTTGGTTCCTGTGTAAGACGGAACCATAGTTAAGGATACAGCCTGAGGGAGCAGATTTTTGCTAAAGATCCTTTAGCTCACTGTGGATCTCAGCCATGCTGAAATGTTAGCTAGCATCAGTTCAGCAACCTATAGAAGCAGCTGATGGTGTACTTAGTTGCACCTTGTGACTGAAATGTGGAAGCCTGAAGATTACAAAGCAAGAGTTTTTAATGGTTAAGGTGTCATTTCTTATCTAGCAACCAAATTTATTCTTTCTGCAACAACCTAGGAATTTGATATAGATACCTTTATGTAACTCCCATGCACGATCAAATGTGAAATATCTGCATTGGATATTAAAATGCAAGAGTTCCTTTAGCAACTATAATTCAAAAACTTCTGATGTTCATAAACAATGAGACACCATTTCTGTAAGATGATAACCAGGTACCTAATTTTGACTTTTATGGAGTTCCACAGATTCACTGGAAACTGACAAGACCAAAACACATTTTTTCTTCTTCACGGTGGAGATCCAAGTTTAATGTAGTCACCAAACAAGATAGGTACTGATTTTCTGGTTAGAATGTATAATACAGCAGTTACTTACGGAGAAAGAATCCGCATGAAGTTGATAGAGTAGATGACACAGCAAGAAGTATTTTAAAAGGTTTCTTACTACATATGGAAACAAATGCAGGATGTTACATTTTCTTAGTTTATTGGTTTTTTATTTTATTTTAGGAAACTGCAGCTCCCAGTATATGTCATTCCGAGGTCCCATGCATGCATAGCCTCTTAATGCCTTTACACATTTCATCTTGCAGTAATTGTTTCCATTCACAGCATACATAAATCTAGAATGTAAGGAACACCCTATTTACAGGATTTCAAAAGATCGTGGTTTTTGTTTTATAGTGAAAAAAATTAACAGGACTTCAACAGAGCAAAAAGTATAGATCAGATACATTGGCTTTGTCACAGATAACACAATTCAAAAGTTTGTTCAAAGGTCTTGAGAATTAGAATATTGCTTGACTCTTGGCCTTTGCTCGTTTCAAAAACAAGAAGACCACTCAGTAATAACAGAAACAAGATGTCAATAGCTCAAATACATATCAACTTCGAACAATTATTTGGAAAAACAGATAGCACACAGAGGCAGCATTGGCTATAATATGCATTTATTTCTGCGCACATTTTCAGCTCTCTGTAGACTCATAGCACCTGAGCAGGTGACAGAGGAATTGAGAGTCCGGCTGGATACTTCAATAACTACACTGTAAAATTTTGTATTTCAAATTACATGTTTCAGGCTTCTTGTGTTAAAAGTTTATCAAGCCAAGATCACAATACCATTAGCCATCAGCATGTTTAAACTTTTCATCATCTCTTTAAAATTAAAAAAAAAATTGTCTTCAAAAAGACTAAATCCAAGAAATTTTAAAGAGATTTATAATCAAAGGGGTGGGGAAGTGAAGGAACAGTACATAAATGGAGCATAACACAACTGAAAGAAACATTGACTTAGTAGTATGACTGAGACCAGCTCTTTAAAAAATGTACTTGCTTCACACATCTGCCATAACGGGGAAAAACACACATACCACAGACACACAAACACACTTCTCAAGTTGATCTATTTCACAAAACATTTTCTCGTTGCTTTCTTAGCCCCTCCTTTGCTACGCAAGCTAGCTTGATAGCAATATCATATATCCAAGTACAGGATTTAATTTTTGTATGCTATAGTATATTCCAATGTTTTCCACAAGCTATTCTATTGACTAAAACTTGGAGGAGCTTTTATATTTTATATGGAAAGGGGAATCATTTTACCAGCAGTTAAATATAAAACAGGCATTTATAAACAGACATTTACTTGAGAAACTGGACAGTCTTGAATAACTAGCATCCAATAAGGGTACTCCCTGTACTGACCCAAGTTCTATGGGCAAGGAAAAGACCAGCTGTTACTAAGAAGTAGTGCATTTTAAATATTCATGATGACCTCAAACGCCCATCACACACAGATGTGCACATTTGAAGTTGTATACACTGCACTGCATTTAGTATCATGGGGTCTTTCACACATTAACCAAAGGTTTTATGCAATCAACATTTATTCTGGCATAACCTAAACCCACTTTGGTTGGTGTCACCTATTCACAAGTGAATTCCAAGTGGAAATTGATACCTAATGCTCGTATATAACTTCCAGATGAAAATTAGTTTTATTACCATCATCAGTTTTACAGTGTGGATATTTACAACAGTTTTGCAGCAGCTTTTTTGCAGCATGTACACTAGTTTTGCTTTTGTTTGATTTTTTTTTTGCAGAATCAATGAGTGTAACTGATTAGTTTAACGTTTTCTCCTAAGAATCAACATGACCACTAGCTACCATCTCCCCCACAACAAACTACGTTCTCACCTTCTACTCCACAAGTAAAACTATGAGTAAAAGGAAATAGGTCTCCATAACAACACGGTCACAGATCCACCATGCAGTACTGCAATTTATATATGTATCTTCCCTGTTATCTCCCATGAGTCAGAAAATACTGTTCACATAATATGGAAATAATACGTGCAGTAGAGCATTCCCTACCAAAAAAAATGAAACAGGGAAAGCCTAAAAGAGCTGTATGCTTACAGCAAAGACCCTGTAGGACTTACACTGACTGACTTCAGAAAGCATGCACTTATAGTGGATTGCACCCAGAAGTGATAGGTTAGCACTCCCCAACCAAAAACCATTCAAGTCACACAGGTATGAAAAAGTGGTACATACCTTTCAAACATGCTCTCTACTCATAACTCAAATGACTTCAGTTTCCTCACCAATGGCAGCACCTAATAGTGCCAAACAGGAGCTTATGTTCAAAGAAGGCAAGAGGATCAATATGAAATCATGGCAAGTGTTACAAACACATGATGCAATTTAACTGAAAAATCCCATGCTTCTTATCTCTTTGTTTTTCCATTTCCTAAGAACAAAACAATTCCATAACTGAATTGTTAATTAGAGCAGTAGAATTCTTAAAATTTCGTCAGGATGTTCAGCAGTCATATTTGTAAGTGTCAAAGTCATGACTTTAGAAAAGAAATCTCAACACTGGTTCCTTTCACTTCACTGTGTTCCTTTGCTGTTTGATATAAATCAGTAAGATTTTACATACCAGATAAATTCCACTTTGCATGGACAACCTCTACATCTTATTACATGGGCAAGATGTGAAACTTGCTTGCACAAGGTGCAAGTATTTGGAGTAATATAATTGAAGAGTGCAAGAAATTACACACATTGTTCCAGTGCTTTATCAGTGAGGAAAATAACAGTCTGACTGTTCTTGAACAGTTTTGTTATAGAATGACTCAACTTCCAAACCAAGAAACCTTCACAAAAGAGTGCTTTATTTCAGCAACCTAGCACTCAAACAAATCAAACATCCTCTTTATAATAATCAGATGAATAAAAGTACCAGTACAATTCCACTTTGTTTTGTTTTGTTTATGCCTATTAACTGCCCAATTTTTTTTATTAAAAAAATGCATTTAAAGATCTGCTGCTCTTACTAATTAATACAGACTGGTTTATTGACAGTGTGCAAATAAACCTTTATTGAAGAGCTAATATTGATTACTGTTTTTCAGCTAAATCAGAATGGGGGCACAAAGTACCTTCTGTGCTGTAAACATAATGAATTCTTCACATAATTGGAAGCTGAAAAGGCCTAAGGAAAAGGGTGCAAACACTTCTCATACATAACAATGGCTGAGCTCAAGTCTTCCAAAAAGAATTTGGAATAGTTCTGCATTTGGCATACGTCCACTCTACTGTCATCAAGCACAGTTTTAAGGGAACGTTGTTTATAAAAGCATAATTTACTTTTAGCTTTAAAACACAATGGCCTAATAAAAGCATGCAGCACTATTTTTTTCCTCTGTAATATGATATAATTACTTAATTACCAGTGTTAACATGACTTGGTGAGTGCTGTACAAGCAAAAGGGATTGTAAAATCACCTCTGATTGTACTCTATAAATAAGGCTCATACAGTACGTCTCCCTCCTCACCATGATCGACAATTTCAAAACAGCATTTGTGTAGAATTAAATTACCCTGAAAAAAGCAGCATTTACAAATATCCTTATTTTTTACTTTTTTTGCCCACCCCCACCTCCCCCCCAAAAAAGAAAAACACCTTCCTTCTTTTTCAGTAGTTTACAATCTGGAAACATAGGGAGTCTTTGTTTTCCAAACGGCTGTGGCCAGATTATCAGATCTGGTTCTTCACAGTTTGTCTGGATACCTGTAACACTTCACACCACAAAGTAATAGTTCTATGCTTATAAAAATATATATATATATAAGGGCTACTACCCAGCAAATGTAATTATAGGGGCTAGAACAGCAGCAATCATCTGATTCCTTATACATTCTTCACAGAGGGAATCCATTTTGGGTATCCTTTCAGTCTTGCTCAACGCAGTGGGATAAGAGTATTTTCCCCAAACTATTATTTAGTGCAGCATGAATGGAAGGGGGATCTCTCCCTTATAATTTGAAATAATTGGCTGGCAAACGCCTGGCAGATGACTGAAAGGTGTCTCATATATTCGTCTCCTATGGCTGTGTCCTCAAGAGCCTGTTTTTAATCCAAAGCAGACCTTTATGGATTCAGGCATACCGTGGCATTTCACATTGCTCACAGCGATTCATTGCTGGGTGGTTTAAAAAAGTACAGCTCTTACAATTCCACGGAGCTCCTTCAAAGTCTTCGTCTCTTGGCTGTGATCGTGGAGCTTGCTTGGAACTTCTCTGATGATCTACAGAGAAATATTTTCTTTTAAACGCTTCAGTTTTAAAACACACCAAAGCCATGCATGATAATATAATAAGACTACTGAAGTTTTAACATTTTGGAACCACATTGTTATCCACCTCTGATTTTACCTTTGTTCCCAGGGGAGGCCAAAACACACAAAATATTTCAGTTATAAAGTGTTTCTTAGACATGGTCTACATCCCAGCATTATGAGGCTATGTCAGAGCATAGTATGGGACCCCAGTCTGGAAGATATCACTACTAAGGCGCAGGTTAACATTAAACACTAGCATTTACTTCTTGCTCTTCTTTGCAAGGAGGAGATGGACCAGGCAGCTTCTGAATGTATAGCAAACATTACTCTGGTCCCCTAGATGTTCAGCATGATACAGAACATTACCACTGCCATAACTTCATTATATCATTAATTATTCTATAGCATCTACAAATCCCTATACTGCATTACTTTCATACCTACTTCATACCTTATTGTTTCAGTCATGTGTGAGACGAATCTATTTACACCCATGTGAATTCAACCAGAATGAATTTGTCACAGTAAGATTTGGCACAAAACCACAAAGTTAAGCCAAAGATAATTTGCTTACTCAAGTGTCCTATGTTTTCCATGCTGTTCAAATTTTGCCACTAGATATCAAGAGAGGCTTTAATGTTGCCTCTCTTTTATGCTCTCAGTTCCTCACAAACGGCTTACTATAGCCGCCTACCCTCACATTAGCAAGCATTTTTTAGAGTGATAGCAAAATGAATGTAGGGAGAAGTACGTAGTACGTATGTCCTGTGTCTTCCGTAAAAGGTTAAATGATGCAACATCAGTGTTTAAACATTCATGCTACACTGTCAAAGCACTATCAAATTACTGTAGCTAATACTTGGCAGAAAGCCACAAACATTCTTTTGTGTATTATTTTAGCACTTGGCACCAAGTTCTTTAGGTTATATAATGTACACCCTCTATTCTTCTGAAAATATCCATAGGGCTGACTTATGGCAATCACATTTCACAGATTTATTTTTAAGCTGTGTTAGTTTTCCCAAATGACTGTAGGTTGTCCAATAGAGCCACGGTGAAACGATGATAAGGGTTTAGGTGAACAGAAATTTCTGTAAGATGTGTCCAACTATAATGAACATGAAAAGCAGGCGAGAGGAAAGAAAAGAGACAGGAAGATTAATTGATTCATTATTTGATCACACGGTCATCAGAACTGGCCACCTGGGCTTTCACACTGCCAGTTCTCGCTGTGGTGTTTTCAGTCCCTGAATTTGTCCCTGCTACAAGAGGGGTTTTCCCAGTGGAGATACAGGAGGCAGATCACACTCAAAAGTAAGGAAGGGCAGGGTAGGGAAGAAAGACAGTAACACTTCTGTAGTTGCAGAGTTGTATTTTTCTCTCCTAAGCAGACAAAATTCCAGCAGAGGTAACAGGGACAGATAGGGAGTGGGAAACTGCTGAGCAAAAGAAGAAACCAGTTAGGAGAAGGTGCTGCACTTAAATAACATAAAGGGGGAAATAAAAAAATAATTTGTACAAGCTGGGAAAATCATGGTACATAAAGCTGAAAGCGCAAAATCATCTTAATCAAGAAAGAGCTATCTTAAAAAAACAAAAAGGTGAACCTAAAATGTAAAGCTGATTGTCTGCTACTTTTCACAACATCCTACTTCATGCAAAAACATAATCTAAATGTGTCGTGAAATGGCCGTTTATACTGCTCTAACTATTTCTGTATTCACAATACATTAGGCTAAGTCAGGAGTCGGCAACCCGCGGCTCTTTTACACCTTTGCCGCGGCTCCGCAGATCCTCGGGGACCCTGAGCAGAAAAGCAGACGTGCCAGAAAGAGGAGGGGGCTGGAGCTGGGCAGCCGAGCCGGGCAAAGCAAGGCGGCGGCAGCGGAGCTCGAGAGGCGGCGGCTGCTGGGATGGAGGAGGAGGCGGAGGCGGCGGCCGGAGAAGGGCTGCTGCTGCTTCTGCCGCCGGAGGGAAGTTCTGCCAGGCAGCTTCATGGCTCATAGCTTCCCCCAGGGTAGGACGGGGGGGGCGGCGGCGGTGGTGGTGAGGGGGAACACTCTCCCAGGCCACGCTCTCCTCAGCCCCGCGCGCAAGGCACCTGAGGCAAGGGAGAGAGAGAGCGCGCGCTCGAGGGAAATGGCGGGGCGGGGTTTTTGTGTGTGTGTGAGAGAGAGGGGTGGTGGTGGTGCTTCGGGATCCTTTTCCGTGCCTTGCTTCTGAGTGGCTGCCGAGTTGAGGGAGAGCACCTGAGGTGAACCACAAAATGGGCCCGCCCTCCCTGTCAGAGAGGAAGGGGTGAATTACGTCAGTGACGAGGAGGAGGTCCAGAGGTAGCCAGCAGGTGCTGTGATGCAGCATCTCGGCCTCAGAGAGAGGCGGGGGAGCACGAGAGCAATTGCAGAGGGAGGGGGGGCTGTTAGGCACCAAAATCCTGCATGCGGGATTTCCCCCGTTCTCTCGTGCCTATGCAATCCCTGCCCTTCTCCCTTCCCCCTCGAGATTTGCTGCAGAGACAAGCAAATGAAGAAGAAAGGGAAGAGTATTAGCTGACATGTCCCCGGATCCCAAGGAAAGCACCACAGATTCCTTTGCTTACCAGCTCTTTTTATTTTAAGTTGGCTTCAAACCTGTAATTGTGTAGGTGTATGTATGTATACATATACACACATAAATATTCATATCTCTTTCCTCTCACCTTCCTTTCACCCAGTTTCTCTGGCACTGGTTTATAAATGCTGCTATGTAGAAATGATGAGAAAGTTGCACCAGCAGAAGGAATGGATATGTGCTGTTAGTAAAAAGAGAGGGAGTTGAACTGCAGGGAGGGACAGACACTTTTCTATGTATTAATTTGTATAATGCCCTCTATGCACATGGTGCTTTGCAAAAAATGGATATGAGAGGTACCATACCCCTCTTTCCTATCTGAAATAGACTCAGGGAAAAGAGAGAGAATGGGGGAAGGGGAAGAATGTGTGGTTATTTACATTTGGCTTGTTTTGCGGCTCCCAGTTTTTTTCCTCTTCGGAAACGGGTCCAAGTGGCTCTTTTTGTCTTAAAGGTTGCAGACCCCTGGGCTAAGTGGTTTTTCCATACACCACTTGTACAGCATATAATAATGAAAGGCAAAATATGTTTCACAAGACAACAGTCTCAACAAATCTATTATTAGATACAACACACTGAAATACTAATACTCAGCATAAAAATTCTTCAGCAGCGATCTACTAGAAACTAAATATTGAACATTTTATTAGCGACTCACCTTTTTTAAATGGCTTTGGTGGCACAACAGGACCAGGCTCTATATGATCATAAAAGTTAGTCATGGCTTTTGGGTCAAAGTTCCCTAAAACAGAAAAACAGAAAAATTATGCTCCCCATGGAACAAATAGTAACAAAAGTGACTAGCTTTAGTTCACATGCATGTTTTCAACGTGAGAGATGTTGACAGCCTACACTGTCTCCTTCAGGTCTTTGTCTAGACTTTCCTGTCATGGAAGTCTGTGGAATTTCCTCCTCACACCAGTGCATCTGGCACCTTCATTGTATAGCTTTCACTGTATGCTGAAAATGCACCTCTTTACCCTGGCCTTTGGCACCTGATATTAATAATTTTAGGACCCACCCTATTCTTCAGATTCTAAGTTATTTTAACGGATTTAATATTGTATTCTTACCCTGCTGTAACCTGCCTTGGGACCTTATGGTGAATTAGCAGAGGAGAAGTTTACTTTTTAAATCAATCAGTAAGTAAATAATGCCTTGCTCTTTGAGGAGACTGTGTTTTCAGGGTGAAAAGGCTATGTCTGTTTTGTAATTAAAAATGCAATTCCCTGGAACACTGTCAGAATCAGCTTTTGCAAGTGCCCTTTTCAATTTATACTCCTTAATGAAAGGAACAAAAAAAATTAAAAACCACAACGTTTAGCATAACTGAAATACCCAGCATCCAACAGCATAAATAACTGGCAAAGAGAAAACAACTGCAGGTTTATATCACTTTGCACTAGATATAGGACAGTCAAAACATGTTAGTAATGTGCATGAAACCAGTCACATTTGTATACTGTTTTGCTTTCCTTTGGGCCTCATTGGCAAGGACACAGGGGGCGGGTCATCTGGGCAGCCCAGGACCTCCATATACACTGCCCAGGCTTGTGCCCTGAAGAGATCACTTTGGTGATGCAAATGCTGCAAAAAACACCATGGTCTAAGGTACAAGCACTAGGGGTTGCCTTTGTCAGCAGGAGAGATCATCATGTCTCACCAGTCAGCTACTACTCACCCTTAAGCTGGGCAGCCCCTGGTCAATAAAGTGCTGACCTGCCACTGTCCGACTGCTTCAGTGGGTACTCAGAGTATCACTTGACAAGCAGACTGAAGTACGGCACCAGGCAAGAAAGAAAAGAAACAACCCTTCTTGTGCTTAGCAAGCCGGAACATCAGGACCATGTGTCCTGGCTTGTCCACCGACCTGCTGCAGGTCAACGACTCGCAGAAGATGGACATCATTGACCCTGAGCTGAAAACACTCAACAGTGATGTTGCCACTTTGCAAGAGACCAGACTCGCTTTGAATGGCAACCTCCAAGAAAAGACTTACACCCCTTTTCTGGCAAGGAGGGCATCCAGAAGAACCTTATATTAATGACATAGGCTTTGCAGTGAGGCACTGCCTTCTGTTTGCAATAGAACCACTAACCGAGGGCTCAGAATGCTTGCTTTCCTGCTGCCTCTCAATCACCACTGGTCCAGTTAACACCTTGAGCATTTACGCTTCCACTATGTGCTCTGACATACAGGCCAAGAACCTGTTCTATGAGGAATCAGACCAGGCTGCCAGGAGAGTTCCAGCCTCCAAACGCCTAATCCTGCTGGGAAAATGCAATCCCAGAGTTGGGGAGGATCATCACACATGGGACAACTGCACCAGTCTCTACAGCCACAGCAGGCGCTGTAACCAACAGTTTGACTTTACCCTTGAAGGCACACTTCTCTACTGTCTCCCGAGACAGGCAGATGCCAACAACAATAATATTCAAATATACAGCTCAAAACAAACACATATTTTTGTAAGTATTTTAAAATATATACCTCTAGACTGAAGGAGATCTATTTCTTTCTGTGTACAGTCAACGTTTATCTGGAGCTGCCTGTTCTTGCTTCTCAATCTGGTCATCTCCTCAGGCTAGAAAGCAGAACCAAAAATAGAAACAGAAGTCAGCATAACCATTTTTGTTAAGCCATGCACATACATAAGTACAGTGAAATATTAATTTAGCTGTTCTTCCTCTCCTTATTTTTATGCAGATGGAATTGTGTAGTGTAAAAGGTTTGTGGGGTCCCTTGACCAGAACATTTCAAAAGTGAGAACCAGTACGTTTCCACTGGCATAATACTAAATTAGTACGGACTTTTTTCCAGGCAAAACATTATTGCCAATTTATCAGCTTGGGAACTGAAATCAGGACATAAATTTCCGATTTAAATTATATTGATTTAAAATTAATACTTTCTGTATTGATCAGTAACAGGAGTTTCAGCACCATCACAGTAGTATGACTCCAAATGTATCTTGCGAATAAACCAAGACAGTTAAACAAGTTTCAAACCAATGTAGCTTAGATGCACTTATGTGTGGTTTTGTTTCATTATAAATAAAACTTGGTAAATTTCTTGAATGATACAGGCAAATTTCTTGAATGATACAGGCAATTAATTCACCCTGTACTTGTGAATCTCCACAAAATATAGATTTTAGGACAAGTGTGGGGTTATAGTCCTCCAGATGTTTCTAAACTATAATTCCCATCATCCCTGGTCATTGGCCATGCTTGCTGGAGCTGTTGGGAGCTGCAATTCAGCAACATCTTAAAGGTCAAAGGTTCCCCACACCTGTTTTAGAATATCATAGTCAGATTAAGTTTCCTTGTCAGAAGGGAAAGAACCACCAATTTAGAAATATAAAACATTTGGATGTTGAATGACATTATCTCAAGAAAAGTTTATTATAGACTGCAGCGTATTTAAAATTTAAAATCAGTCACCTGCCCTATTCCTTTCACCTTTCCCTTCCTTCAAGTATGACAGTGCTTCTACCAGGGTCACAAAGTTGTTTTTCCTATCATAGCTTATCCCAGCCTGGGTTCTTATTCCCAGCTGATGGGACCACTATGTTGCTAACATGCAAGCTGTTGGGGCAAATCTACAGCTAATACCAAAGAAAACACTACCATGCTCTTTCTGGTCTGGGAAAAAACATGGACCAGCTACCAGAATATGCTGATACCCAGCTGCTGAAGTGGACTGGTTACTGAACCTTATCTGGCAGAATATGAATGATATATAATATATATATGGCATGACAGTGACAAACCCTGTCATTAGGAGGGAACAACTTTAATATTTTAAAAGCTTCTTACTTACTGTTGGGATTGAGGTTGTGCAGCTTACTCTTCTCAGACGCCTTTGCATAAGATCGTGTTCCATGCCATTCACTTCAGCTTTGAGCTTCTCAAGCTCCTCGTTTTCAAACTTCAGTTCCTTTGCTAGCCTCTCCATCCTTGCACGTTGGTGTAACAACAAGGCTAGTGTGGTATAGAGAACAAAGTCAGTGCAAATACACAAGACTGAAAAACCCAACTTGCAACTGGAATAGTATATACAAGTGAGCTTTTAAGAGCAGAAAGTGAGTATAAACATGCAGCCAAACATCAGTGTAGAAATGTTTCATGCTAATGGAACTATACTTGTAGACATAAAGTTCTTCCATCATAAAAATAATTATTTTAGACAGTAACTTGGATATTACCATTTCTGGCCACTGCTTCTTTTTTTTGTTCTTTGTCCGCTCAAAAATAAAAGGCACCTGTGCAGGATGAAATGGCAATCTAATTGTAACAGTGTACTGACAAGACTAAATCCTAAAAATCAAAAGGTATAAGACACTGGGCTACAAGATGATCTCCACTGCTTGCAATCAAGTTCACTTGATACAATGGAGCATATTACTATAGCAAAAGCTGCTTTTACTCTTTGGAAAAGCAGTTTTAACCTAAAAGATTACAAACTCAGTGCTCTAATCAACTGCAGCAGCCTGTGACTAGATTAGGACATACAAATTAGTTAACAGAACAGAACATATGATGAGGCTGACCCTCCTTAACTGACTTCATTGTAGAGTATAAGTTTAACTACTGGACCGAATTCTAGATTTTGTAGTAATTCCCAACTCTCCATTTTTGTCCTTAGTGGGGGGAAATCAAGAGAGATTGCAAAGTAAAGGCATTTGCTTTAGAGAGTGGGTGGGATGAGTGAAAAGCACTCTACAAGCAGAGGGTCTATAAATTTCTGAAGACCCTTCTTTCTTGCTCTTTCCACAGGGCTTCCAAAAATGCAATCTGCTGTGTTGAAGAAACTGATGACTCTTTTTGTAGTGTGCTGGAAATGCAGGGTTGCTCTTCCTAACTGTTCAAAGTACTCACACCGTCTGTCTTTAGGGAGAATTTCAGGTCTCGGGCTGCCTGCCAATTGAACAGCACCCAACTCCCTGGCAGCTCAGATGTGGCAGACAGCAGGAAAGCAGTTTCTTCCACTTGCTGCCAACTGCATTGTAGTGGTAGTGGGAGAAACTGAAGCACAAACAGAGTCACAACATGGGAGCCCTTCAGCACAGCTATTCTTGACCATCCTCTGTTCCTCTGAAATATTCTGCAGCTTGTGTTACTTAAAACATGAGTACACAAGATTTCCCACCATCCGAATATAGATCTACAAAGCCTCCCTCCACATTATAAAGACATTTAGAAGAGGTCCTGTAAATTGAGTTGAATGCATAGTCGCATTATTTCTCTACTAAATGTCACAATTAGACATCTGTAGCAAGGCCAATGGTTCATTCACAAAATGAATGAGGACAGTATGAACTGTGATATTACATTTCAGTGTTCGGTTTTGCAGCTCAATTATTTAGCACATTGTTACTCATTACTTTCTCTTGATACATCCTCGTCATTCTGCATACTTCTCTCTCAAGTCTCCTCCAATCATCCTTAGCCAGCATTCTACTCTTTTATCTAAACACATATGCTCCTTTTCAAATTTACATTGTAAGGAATGCTATACTGAGAAGTAAAATGAACTACACCCCATATATTCAAATATATGGGGTACTGTACAACACTTGTGGTACTAAGGTACAACACTTGTACCTTTTCCACGGGTTTGAGGGCAGAGTTGCCATACTTTGGAAGTCTTCATTTCCCCCCATGACTAGCAGGAGAAGCATAAACTGTGCAAACTAGTGTAAACTTTAGAATAGCTCATACAAAAGCAAGAGAAATACAGCAAGGGGGCTTAACTGGAATAATTTATACAAGTTACAGAAACTGGAATTATCTTGGCACGGGATGTGGATTTCTTTTTAGTACAGAGTAAAACAATCCTGCACCTAGCCCAGAGCAAAAAAACATAGTATGGGAATGAAGTAATACATCGACAGTCCAATTTATCCATGAAATAGTATGCAAGTTCAAGAGTTAAAAATATAATTAACTGCTTTGAGTTACAAACTCTGTATGTTTGTATAAACATCTCTAAGCACTTTGGTAGAAGAGCAAGATGCAAGATACAAGATATAGTTGTTCCTATGAAAGGCTTAGATTTCAATAGATAGAGTTAAATTAAGTTAACTGAAGTTAGGTTCTACTGAAATCAATGGGATATATTAGTTATGATTTAAGTCCTGTAGATTTCAGTGACCTCAACAAAAGTAACCTAGCTTGGCTCTAACCATTGTCATGTTAACCAGTGCCATGGTTTCAGACTATTCCACAGCTGAAAACAATACATCAAAGCTAGCTCTTCTTCCTTGTTATAAATTATATACAAATTTTGATTCATACTGAGCTATGCCAACAGGTCCATCTACGCTAGCGTTGTCAACCTGCTAAGCAGGAATGCTTTAGGAGATCAGACAGAAATCTGTTAGTGTTATGCTATCTTAGGTCTCTAAACTGGAGATCTGAGAAGTAGGGTAAAACCGAACAACTATATAAACTCTGCCATATTTTGTTTTTTTAAAAACATGTTTAGATCACCAGACACAATAATGTTTCCAAAACTATGTGTACATCTAGCCCAATATTGAAGATAGGTCCAGTATCTGAAAGATTGCCTCTTCCCATGTTATTTACCCAGACCCTGAGGTCATCTTTAGAGGTCCTTCTCTGGCTGTCATCTCCAGGAGAGATATGGCATACTAGCTATGGAATGCCCTCCCTAAAAAGGTTCGCCTAGCACCTTCTTTACTATCTTTTCAACGCTAGATAAATACCTTTTTATCTCTGTAGTCCTTTTAAATCTGTTGGTGCAAAGTTTGCTTTGGTTTTTATGGTTTTATTTTCTGCTCTATCATGCCGAATCAGTTTGTATCATCATTTTTATTATTTATGATTTTTAACTTGTGTTTTTTTTTAATTAGTGAATCACCCTATTTGTTTTTAGGGCAGCTTATAGATGCTGAAAATAAATAATAAAATATTGCCTACTCTGACTAGCAGGTCACAGATAGAGGCCTTTCACATCAGCTGGTATCTGATACTTTTAACCGGAGTTGTCAGGGAATTGAATCAGGGACATTCCACATGCAAGTCAGGTTTTCTACCACTGAGCTGCTCCCCAATTACAGAGCTACAGTCATCCCAAACCAAATTTATCAAGGGCCCAGATCCATTTGTCTCCTTTCTCTTTGCTAGGTAACAAACATTATTGTTAACCTTCCTATGCAGCCTTGGAAAAGTAGCTCATCATACAATTGGAAGCTTAATTAGGTTTCAAAAGCACTCCACAATAATGCACCTTTATGCATGTTCTCCTCTCCACATCAACTATGGTGTTTTTGCTAAAGCATCTAGTTTCTTAGCAGATGTACTTCAAAAACATGAAAAAAATTAAAAAGGCTTCAATAACACACTTCAAAAATTATTGAACTGCAGATAAACCCATCTTCAATCCAAAAACTTCAACCAGTTTTGACATTACACAGGAGTTTGCGCTGACAAAGCCTCAACAGCATGTAATGTTATTGCACATCAAGACCACTACTTGCTCTGTAAATTCTAACCTTGCACAGTAAGTCTAGTACGCTAAGATATGCAGGACTGTGTTAGCTCTATATGGGCAGAAGTTACTCTAGGGTGGTATTCAGTCAATTGAATTAAGCATATCCATTCCAACCCCCAGACCATTTCTGTGCTAATTAGGTTATGCATTATATGGCATCAACAACTGTTTCTTCTGAACCACATTGTATCAATGCAATATACTGCAACATCGTCCCACACTACAGTGGCAAAGTAGCCCTTAAGCTACATCCTGACACCTCCTTTGCTGCTGCAGAGACAATGAACTTCCAGAGTATATGCTCATTCTATCTTCTCTCTTATGAAATAAGGTGATATATATTTGCCATTAATGAATCCCGATAAAATAACCATGGCATTCCGCAATGGCTTAAGAAATTGAAAGACTGTTAGTAGTTTAGAAACCAAAGCACGGAGGATGTACCACAGTGCAAATAATTCTTTTCGATAATTACTGCAACATGCAATTCAATAAGTTTACCTTGAGTATAAGCATAGTCATCGGACCCAGAACTGGAGCTCCTCTGATACTTATGGCTTCCTCTTTCACATCCAGATCCTGGTACAACTGAAATAGGCTGAATTGGTTCTGGTGCTGCAGAATGCTCTTCTTGGTCCACTAAATTTAAAAGGTTCTCAGCTGGTGCTCTGCCTACGGTGATTTTAAAAATTGCTGGATTTGGCTGAGATACCATGACCCGAGGTGACTGAGTAAGCACACCCGTAGGTCCAGCTGGCTGTGTATATGTTATATATAAAGGATTAACACTATAAGGAGGTTTGGGCTGACCTGACATACTTCTGGAAGGAGAACTTGAAGGAGGAGTAGCAGGTGCGTACAGTGGGTGCTGATTCCGTTGGGAAGGTGGGTTACTTATAGGTGAAGGGCTCCTATTCATTGTAGTCCCAGGTCTTTGTGGTGGCTCAACGGTAATTTCTATCTTGTTCATGGAGCTTTTGGATAAGCTAGGTCCACCATATGGAAGATAAGATACTGAGTGTCCACTTGGTTTCTGATATGTTTGGGGTGTTTGTTGATATGAATGGGGTAGCACAGTTGAAGGACTAGGAGGCATAAACACATGGGAACTTTGATGGCCCAACGGGCTAGGCTGAACTTGATGCTGAGGAGAGCCAAAAGGAGAAGGACACTGAGAAGCAGGTGGCGACTGAAAAGGCGACTGAGGAATCTGGGGCTGTTTTGGAGAATACTGAGAAGGCTGATAGTTTTGTTGGTGCGGATAAACAGGCAGTGGATGTGGACTATAATGGGGCACTGGGCCTTGTGGCGATGAATGCCACTGTGCACTCTGAGTAGGAGTCTGTCGTCCTGAAGAACTTTGAGATGTCTGCCTAATATAGAGAGATCCAGGATTCCCGTAAGGATTGCTTGGAATTGGAGGAAGAATTTGTAAAGCTCTGGGTACAGTCTGTCCAGATGGGAGGTTCTGCGACACTGTAACAGTTATAGGATTTGTGCTATACCGAGGTATGTGCATATACGCAGGAGGAGGTGGGCCTTGCATAGCAGATGTATTCATTCCAGGTTGTATGGAAGAAGGTTGCTGAGGTGGTTGCAAAGGAGGAGTAGCTGCGTTTCTATTCTGGTCATTCATAAAAAATGGATTGTAGTTGGGAGAAGCTGCCACAACAGCTGGAGCAGAGTGTGGTTCTTGAACTAAGCATATCAGTTGTTTACCTGCTGTGTGTTGTGGATCAATATGTCCATCACTTGAACTATGTACCAGTGTACGACCACCATTAAGTTGAGCTCCATCCCCTCCGTGATAGCTGGTGTGAGGATGGATGCCGAGGTTAATATGCAGATGGCGATTCCTGTGACGAGTGTCATCTGGGTGGTACTCCATGTATAGGTATTTGTTACTCTCCTGTGCAAGAGCTCGACAACAAGCATCAAGGTTGTTGTTGTTCTAGTAATAAGAAATAGAAAACGTGAAGGGTTTAAAATTAAATAAATGAGTCTGACAAGCTATAATGTAGTTCCATATGCATACATGTCAACATACCTATAAAGCCTAGTTTGAACATCGTATTTCAGTTAAGACTCTCACCTGAATTAAGGAGCATTAGCTGAATGATCCTCTTTTTGTACTCAATTAAAGCTGCAGCATTTGTATACAAACAAAAGTTTGAAAGAAGGTACACTTTACATCCAGGTCCTGGGATCATACGGAGCCCTCTGGGCCTCTCCATCTGACCCTCAGGACTCTCCTCAGGCCACTCTTCCCACCAGTCACTCCCTCCTCAAGTAATTTGCCTTGTTGGATACTTCAACTGTGATAAAGTCTCATTTGCCTGGATAGAGAGTTGAGTGTGTAGTTAAAAAAGCATGGCTGGAATGTAGCCTACTGTACAAAAATAAGAGTTATTATTATCTGTCACACCACTGAATTTTTGCCTCTGGCCCACAAAGGAAAGCAGTGCTTGAACTGAAGAGGGGGAAAAACTTAGGCAGTAGCCACCATCTCAGAAGAGTTTCTCCTCCTGGTGTGAGATGGAAGACTGCTTCTCCTAAGTCTGGGCTAAATAGTCTCTCAGGCACTTTCAGGAGGCTATCTACCCCCTGCAAAAGTGTGGGGGAGGGGGAAGCAAATTTCTCAAATTTTAAGAGGGATGACTTACCTTAGTTAATTTTACAAGTTGGCTAAAGCCCTTCCCTTTTCCAGCACTTTTTAAAAAGCCTCATGCTTGCTTATAGCAGCAGCAAGGTTCAGCACTTCTTAAGAAACACAAGTGGTAGGCTACTACTGAACCCTGCTGATGCTGCAAGGGGCTATGAGGCTTTTTTTACAAGTACAGGAAAGGGGAAGAATGTCTTATTCACCACAAAGGTAAGCCAACCTCCACCCCAACATTTTGGGGAAACTTACCTCCTCCCCTCCCCAAATTTTAAAATCCATTCTCTTTTCTCCACCACCACCATAATTTCAGCCCAGCTCCAGTTTCTTCTAAGATTACACCTGCCAATCATAGCCAGGAAACAAAATTGTCACACGTTTCTTCAGCATGCATTGTTTCATTTTTAAAAAATATAAACATGTCAATAAAAGGGCTGGGTTGTGGGAACATTATAAAGAAGATTTTCAGTGAAAATATTGCCTATCCAAACCCCCTTTCCCGAATAAGCTTCCCACTGTTTACAACATTTATTCTCTCTCTCTTTTCATAACTGATGGGAAAGGTTAAATGTTGTCCTTATTTGTAGCTTGAAAGTGAGGAAACAGGAGCAGGTGGGAGACATACAACGTTCAAGCATCTCTTAACATCTCTAAAAGCAATAACTACACTGGTCAAAAAACATTTGGAGGGATATATTAAATGATTCCTAATAATGTAAGCTTTAAAATCTACACTTTGTTGCTATCTAATGAAACCTCTTAAATTTATTGACATTCTCTTCAAATTGTGATCAACAGGATTGAACACACTGAAGTTTGCTAAGTGCAGAATACTGAGATCTACACTCTGCTGTGCTTGGGTTTCAAGGAATCTGCCAGTGCAACCTCCAGTGAGATGCCTCCTCCAAGCCGCCTGTTGTGCATGTGTCTTTACTTTAGAAGAGTGTTTTTTCTTCAATATTGTTTTATTCCTATGGTTTTGTTCCCTTTTCCATGTGCAAGACTATAGCAAACTTCTTATAATTTTATCATGAACCATTATAATTTTTTATTTTGCTTTTTCCAGAAAATGTTAATTTGCAATACTGTCAGAGGTCAGTGGAATACCATATTTTTCCGTGTATAACACACACACACCCGTGTATACGACACCCCCTATCACTTATTAAGTCAAACAAATATTTGGAAATTCTAAAGCTTTACCTGTAGCATGAAATACCTGAATTTTAGGATGGGGAGTTCCATAGGGTCATTGCCCACCACATTCCCACCCTTCAAGATGGGGAAAGATGGTTGGTGACAGGTTTGTAGGCTTCATCCATAAGATCTGGAGGCTCCTAACCATCCACTACCCCAGGATCCACAAGAGCTATAGCTCCCAAAGTATTGTTTTTGATAAGCTCAATGGTAGGAGCACCAAGGTCTTAAGGATCAGGCCTACACAGCTTCTGCCATTACCAGACTGGTTTCCTGAACACTTCATTGAAGGAGAGGGAAAAGGGAGCATCTGTGGAAAGGTCTGGTAAAGAACTTCCCCAGATATGCCAACATTCCAAGTTTAAATCATAATACTCTGAGTCAAACAAAATTTTCCTCCTTACTGAAGGGTAGAAAAATCAAAATAAGTATTTGAAAATGTGTTTGCCAAGTAGCTAAGCAGCCTCAATCTTTCTACTGAGGCCTCAAACCAGTGCATTCATTGTTTCTTCAGCCGATTCCTGGCTCTTGCAACTGCCTACCTACAGAACCTTTTCTTACTGTCTTGGCATCAAAAGCACACACCTTTCTTATTCTGGCATTGTTCCCATATGAAATCACTTAAATGTGTTCAGGGCAGTATTACCCAAAACACAAGCACAAACAAAACAAAAACGTAACAGGTATCTTACTGTGAGAGAATTCCACCTTAGGAGCTTACACTACAGGGAGGAAATACCTTATTTGCTTTAAACATTTCCCCTTTCCTCTGCAAGTCATTGAAAGTCTCCAATGCAAATTGTTTAGTGATATTTGCACAACACTATTTTATTTTATGTAGGAATACTTTGTTTAAAATCTTATCACAGCTAAACAGCACAAGAACTACCAACAGGCCGGTGTCATATTGGAATGAGGATGATTTTAAAAGGACCCAGGCATGCTCATCTTTCATTCCTCCGGATTGCAGATTACATGCCTATACTTATTTGCCACACATTTGATTTCTTTCTGCTTCCCCCATGGGCATTTTGTGTTCCACTTAAAATAATATATTGATAATAAAATACAATTATTTAAATTAGAACACAAAATGCCCTGTGGATGACTAGAGGAAAATAAAAATGCATAGGTAGGTAGATAGATAGATAGATGATATAGATAGATAGCATTTAAGAGCTTAACCATTGTTTTAATCTCGCTGATCTCAACAGGACATAACCTGTACCTGTGCTAATTAGATGCAATGGGATTTTTAACTAAATTAAAGTGGTACGAGTAGAATCTATTTTATTAGTGAAAGATATGTTAACAATGGTTTTCAACCAGTGCGCCATGGCACCCTGGGGCACTTCAGATGGTGGTGGTCAGGTGCGCCATGGGCAGCCCTGGCCTCCTTCCCCTCCTCTGGTGCCCTCTCAAGTCTCTGCCTCCAAAGGCTTGCACCGGCCCTGGCTACAAGTTCTCTAGGTGAATGCTGCCACAAGGGCAGGGCAGGAGGTGCTGGTTGCCAGGAGCTGAGGTGGCCTTGGAGTGAGTAAGTAAGCAAGCAAGCAAGCAGGCAAGTGAGGATTCCTGAGGAGAGGTGTCCCAAAGGGGTGAGGGGCTGACAGCTCAGCAGGCAAGGGGCAACATAAATAAGCTCCTGAGACTCGAAGTGCATTTCCCCACAGGGGAGCCACAGAAAGAATGTAGTTGGTCAAGGGAGCCACGGACTCAAAAAAGTTGAAAATCTTTGTGTTAACATATAATGAAGTATGCTATGGGAAGCCTGAAGACCTAGCTTGGAATTAAGTTTTCACCCTCAACCCCACAAAAAAAGCCTTTATCTTTTAGAAACAAAGAAGATGAAATTGTGTGTGGATCTTACTAGCATATTACAATGAACTCTTTTCAAAGAGAAACCACTGTTTTATCTCTTACCTGGAGCATGCACTGTGACACCACACTCTCTGGAATCTCGGGGAAATGTTGCCGGAGGTCATGGAGTACCTGCATGTCGAGTTGCTGGCTGCTCTGTGCCATGTCAGTCTGATGTTAGTCTCAAGACTCTAAGAAAATAGCAGTCAACAGGCTTCCCAGTGGCTATGCTCTTCTGATGCTTTTGGCATCTTCTATAAATACAAATAAAATAAAATGAAGAAATAGTTTAACATGATTTAGACAATCACACAAAAACATATACATATCTGATGGACATATGAATATCAAAGTCTCAGATTATTATTTCATAAGGCCATGACTTTCATCACTCAGTGCCACAGTGAAGAATAATTACAACATATACTCTATAGGATTGTACTTGAAAACAACTTTCTTTTCCTAGACTTGGGACAGGAATCTTCAAATAAATGAGACATGAGCAAGCTTGTCCCTCCCAAAAGTAACTTTCTTAATTATGCTTCTTCTAGCAAGAGAGCTTGGGACCAGTACATCTCTACCATCCTCACCTTTAGATTTCTCTTCAGTTCAGAACAGAAGAGGAACTACATAGCAAATCACACTCTGAACATACACTTCAAAACTAACATGAATAGTTACTTGGATTTTCCCAAATTAATGGCAAGCAGAGGTGGGTGACCCATGTATCTGAAAACATTGCTAAATGTACCTTGTGTATTTGGTAACCTGGTAAGTAAATGTTTGAAGTATTTATGCTTATGACATACTGTATTCATTCTATAGTATATATAATATTACATATATCAAACTTCTTAATTCTGTCCTATCCTTTCATTTTAAAGTTAAGTACACGTATGTAACCCAGAAAGACCAGAAACTTAGTACAGTAAATGAAGCTTTGCAGAAGCAATCCAACCTTGAAGATAAGGAGCCTTAGTAACTGCTTAGTGACCACATAAGCAGAATTGATACATTTGCGAGGGTGGGGAATGTGAATGGTTTTTCCCTTTCAAAGGTTGGAAGCAAAAAAGATGACTAGGACTAGTGGATATGAGGTGTGAAAATCAAGCTGCAACTGTGATGCAAGTAATCTGGACTTTGCTACTTTAATATGCAGAGAATCTAGGTCTACATAATGGATGTTCCCATGTGTGTGAAGCCTGGATTTTGGCAATGGATAATGTTGTTTCTACAGACTTATGGCATTCTGGATCCCGAGAGATAGGGCTTTGTTCTCCATTTTGTACCTGTATAAAGACAGTTCTCTCTCAGTGCCAATTCCAAGAAGCCCACACAGAGAACCCTCAAAGAGGTAATGTCTCTGCAGCACTTCCTTCTCTCATGCCTCACCCTTTTCCTATTTTCACTTGTTACAAGGGTCCCTAGCCAGGATCCTTTGTGTGAGTATTACCCCATCCTTGGTATTGGTGTGGATGAGGGCTAGTCTGCTTAGGTAGGATAACTCCTTCCATCCAATTTCTAGTCCCCATTTCTCCATGAGGGAGAGGATGCACTAGCTGTGGAAAACTTGGTCAAGTAGTAATTTCGTTATTGGTCTGCTTGTGTGTCCATATATTCACTGGCAAAGTAAGATCCCAGGCTGTAGGTGTTTGTCTTGGCATCCCATTGCACAGAGAGATCCCAGGATGTGTCTCAGGCCTGATCACCTTGGAACACACAGCAATGCTGTTTAATATGTTAGCACTCCAGTTCTGACTCCCGAACTGGACCGTAACATAAAGATAGCTGCATTGTATAACATAATGCATAGTTCAGTCCTTCCACGTCATTTAGGGAAGACGGCATACTGCAACATTTACATGTGACAGTCTAGAGAGATAATCTTTATAAATGTAAAAATCTCACTGGAATGAAATTTGGCTGGCCATGCACTCATACTGTCAGCATTGCCACTAACATTCAAATACAGATCAATACATTGAGAGGAACCAAGCATGAAGCGGCTTCAGTAGATGTTACTATCATTGGCTACATATTCCTAAACATGAGTAGTAGGAGATTACAGTTTAAGGATTTGACCTAATTCAAACTCCTGTTTCAGCATTTGCTGAAGTGAAGTGTTACACTTATGCAGTTCAAGGATCCAGACAGAAGATCCCAGATTTGACAGTGGAACAAGTTAGAACTGTTTTCTCCAACCCTGTCCAACAAACAATAATATGCTCCATTTCCGTCTCTCATTCACACACTTTGTCTCCCAAACATGCACTCAAAAGATACTTTTTTGCAAAATCAGGAAGAAATACTTGGCACAGTCTAATGTAAAACTCATTTATTTCAAGTACTGAATTTTTCAGGCAAGACTACAATTAGTATTTTGTTACTAGAGAATCTTCACAAATATGTCTGCTTCCCAACACCAGAATTGTACAAGAAATGCATAAGCTAAATACAGTTGTACCTTGGTTTTCAAACAGCTTATTCTTGACTGTTTTGGCTTCCGAACACCACAAACCCGGACGTGACTGTTCCGGTTTGCAAACTATTTTTTGAAGCCAAACATCTGATGGTATTTCTGATTGGCTGCATGAGCTTCCTGCAGCCAATCAGAAGCCACACTTTGGTTTCCAAACATTTTGGAAGACAAACGGACTTCTGGAACGGATTCCGTTAGACTTCCAAGGTATGACTGTAACTACAAATATGAAACAGAGGCACACAAATGCACGAAGATAGATTTTAAAATAAGAGGATAATGAAAACATTATCCATTGATTGCTTCTCTACTTATTTATGAAGGCTGGATTCTGTTCCAGAAGAGTGCAGAACATGGGTTCAGAAAATACTGTACACCTGATTACTGTTAGAAGTGATCCCAATCCTACAATGTAAGTGGTAAAGTATAACTGTGCGAGTTGGTCCTCAGAAGCCATGATCACAGCAATCCCAAAAAATTACTAAAAGCAGGCAACAGTGTAGATACAACTTGTGGCACTCGTTCAAACTACCACTGTCATGTTTCCCCATGATAGTTCACTAATGTGACTCCAGATACTATTCTGCAATGTAAAAATAAAAGAGTTGTATTGCTATAGCTTTTCCAGGCCAAGTGCCGCCTCACTTATAGTAAGAGGTGCACCATATAATTTGACAGCTTGCATGCAAAGACAGCCCCATGAAGAGGCTGCTGCACAGCCAGCTTAAAATTCCAGTTCCATGTTCAGTCCTACTGCTCTACAACAAATGGTCAAACAGGATCTGAAGTCAGGACGTAGATTGCTTTCACAAGCAAGAAATCATAGGACAGTTTTGCAGGCTGTGTAGAGTTAGTGGCGGATTACCTACAACAAACCATATATTCCCGTTTTCCAGCATCTTCAGAACTGTTCCCTGCTATATCACATCCATCCTTCACTTACCACACAACAGCATCTCTATATGCATTGCCCAGGTTCCTACAAAGATGACACCACCACCTCTCTCCACTACTGGAGAATTAGAAAGGGGAGGGGAAATCTAACATCCTATTACTAACTGCCCAATCAATATTAAATTACTGGTTTTTATACTACTTCAATCACATACAAATAGGTTCAGATGTGACCATGGTTACCTGGTTAACTTAAAAGCTACATGGGGTCTAAAGTTGAGAATCCAATTTCCAGTCTTTTTAAAAAAAAACAACACCACACAATTATTATTGGTTTTTTTAACAAATACAAATACAAGAACCATTAAACACTCATTCAGATGTACAGCTAATGGTGTTTCTTCTATCCATTGGCTTTAGACATAAGCTTATACATTCAATGTTCAAACATATTACTGAACATACCATCTCCACTAAGAAGACTCATCAGTTGGTACAACAAGGTCTTGATTTGGTTCATTAACATAGTTAAAGAAAAGCGTCCACATTGCTCTTCTGTGTCTGGTGAGATGCTCAGACATTGCTGGATCCCAGCTATTATTTTCACATATGTTCAGGGGTATTTCAGTCTGGTTCTTCCATTGTTAAGCTATTGCTAATCGTGCTGCAGTCAGTAAGAAGCCTATGTGTTCTTTGTGGTGCAGAGTGGAGTCCAAGTCTATGCCCAAAGATAGTAGGCCTAAAGCAGGATTTGGTGTAAGATGTTAGCTTGTAATTGTGGATATAAGGGAGACAACTCTACTCCATGATGGAAGAAATGCAGGGTAGAAAATGTAAGGCAATCTGCAGCATTAAATAATGATAATTATTACATCTATAACACTGAAATTCAAAATGCACTTCTGCATTTAGAGGATGTGGCATCTTCATGAGAGGATTATAAAAGGCCTTCAATACAATTGCTACTTGCCTTCTTCTGGCAACTTCTAGTCTGATTTTGAGATACTAGTAGACTAGAAGCAAGTAACTTGATTCTGCTTTCTTTTGACCTGACCCCTTCCTTGTGGCCAACTTTTTCATCTTACCCCTCAATGGACATCCTCTTACAGACTGGGGAAACACGTACCTTATTGCTCTGCCTTGCTGGAAAATAAAACAGTCAGAAGATGGTAGGACAAAAACTGCAAAAGACCTATTGTGGGTACCAAAGCCTTTAAAAAAACACCATCTGAATGTTTGAGTGAGAACCCCAGAAGAAAGTGCATTACAACTGGGTACAGTACATCCAGAGGGATGTGGGTGGCGCTGTGGGTTAAACCACAGAGCCTAGGACTTGCCGATCAGAAGGTCGGCGGTTCGAATCCCCGTGACGGGGTGAGCTCCCATTGCTTGGTCCCTGCTCCTGCCAACCTAGAAGTTCGAAACCACGTCAAAGTGCAAGTAAATAAATAGGTACCGCTCTGGTGGGAAGGTAAATGGCATTTCTGTGTGCTGCTCTGGTTCGAGAGAAGCTGCTTAGTCATGCTGGCCACATGACCCGGAAGCTGTACGCCGGCTCCCTCAACCAATAAAGCGAGATGAACGCCGCAACCCTAGAGTTTACCTTACATCCAATTTGCAATTTTGCTTGTACAAAACTAAGACACTTGAAGTTTTAAAATTGATAAATATGCCAAATAGTACAATAAGTATTACAGAAGTTTCAATTCCCATTATTTCTGCTTTTACAGTTTAAAGACTTCCAGAAGTCTTTAAAGACTTACATCTCTAGCTAGCACTCTAGAACTTACTAAAAGATAGAGAGACAATGCCTTAAAACAGTTGTTTCTAGTTTATACTCATCATTGCATATCATTGCATATCTATTTCATTGTAAATGGCAGCTGATATATGTTGCTTTTAATTTATCTAGCTCTTTTATTTTGAAATTAATAGACTAGCTCAAGATGTATTATTGTGTTCCTATGAAACAGAATATGTGAAGATTACAGAAGGTAATACTTTTCACTGACTGACAGGGAATTAGAAGATAACCTAGAAAACCCCCAGTTTACAATGCTTGGGAGCAGCTGGCCAGAAAGTTTGTTATACTGCTCTGCTTGGCAGAAATTCTTCACTGAAAGTGAAAAAGGTCTCACAAGACACAGGGCTAAAGATATAATGCTTCATGTGGAGAAATCTTAGTTAAAAGATTATTCAGTTTTTTAAAGGATTCATTTTCTTCTTTATTGTTGCCTTTTGAATGTCCCAAGAGAATCTTGCTTCCACTTCAATTCACACATCAAAAGTGGCACAGATGGCATCATACATCTATCAAAACACAGAAGTTAAACTGCAATTTTTACTACACTTCCAATATGATTATCAGTACTTATCTCCATCTCAAAGTATGCTTCCTAAATGTACCAAATTCTAGATTTGGTATTACATTATACATATATTTATAAAGTTATATCCATGCTTTCTCTTGCCTCTACACTAGTAGAAACAATATACATAAGCACTTGGGATGGAATAATACATAATTAGAATAATTTTTTATTGTTCACTACTGTGCTTGCTTCCAGACCTTTGTCCCCATGGACTACTTAAACATTTATTAAAATCTGTCAAACAACCTAATGGTTTTTCTGCCTGCTATAACAATTGACAAGTACTATGCTAGGTAATGTATGATTTTTATTTGCATTTTTACAGATATTCTATGGATGACTTAAATGAAGCCTGCGGACCACTGGTGGTTCACAGACTACAGCTTGGAAACCCCTATACTAGAGTTTATAATTTTATAAGAATAGATCTAATCATAGGGGTTGAAGGTCTCTGTAATCCAGGTTGTGCTTCTGTTGTAAGGAAATCATATTTATCTACCACTGAGTACAATGTCACTAGGGAAATGCAGTTTTTATCCTAGCTAATGTACCAAATGTAGCAATTGCAATAGTGCAACAAAAAACATGGCTGTGCAAGTTCCACAGTCACCTACAACATAACACACTCACATTACAGGCAACAAGTATTACAACTCACATCGCCTTCCACCTGCCTCATATTTTTTAAAAGTTTTATCATCATAATTTTACTTTTACAGGTGGAGCATTATTCCACTGCATCACCACAATGGAAAATCCCTTTATCACAACCAGAGGCATATAAGCGTTTTCTTTGGGTTACTTAGGCATGAAAACATTACAAACACTGATTCTCTCTACTCCATTTCCTTTGTGCCACAAATAACTACCAGAGGTACATAGGGGCAGGAAGGCTAGTTGTTTTGTTGCCTTATTTGTATGGTTGGCTTACCCAGAAGAGAAACAAAATAAAAAAGCCAAACAGGTGACACAGTTTCCCATCTACAACAATGCCCTGACATTTCATAGCTTTTTCGGTTTGTAGTGAAGATCAGTTCTCCTGAAGCAAGGCTACCCTGGCTTCTTAATTATATATGAATGCAGTACACACAAGTAGCTCTTGGCCCAGACTAGCACAAGTATGGCATAAAAAAACCCACAGAAAAAAACTAACACCTGAGTGGTCTTACTCAATCTTTTGAACATATACACTCTAAAATTTGCCTACACCAAACAAGATATAAAAATATTTAGCAAGAATAAGTTTCAGTATACTGCCAAGGCCTTGCTACCACTCAAGACTGTCTATCTTCAAAGCTGCCAAAACCAAAGCAGCAGCATCATACTGCAGTCACCCTGCTGAGGAGACATGCCAAAAAAAAAGGCAGCAGAAGCAGCTATTACATATGCAATTACTTGCAACAGAAACAAAGTAATAATTGTAGCACTGCTCATATCCCTGCTATACAAATACATGCAAGGTGTGGCATATCCAAGCAACCTGAAAGCAGCCTCCAAAACAGACAAAAAGTTTTCCTGAGCATGTAGGTGTAAGAGAAAAGACTCACACCCTATTGAAGTTTCACCCTGTCTGTGATTTAATCATTCAAAACCAAGCAATACAGGTCCAAAAGTGTGCCTGTTGTGTGCATGCAAGGGGATGGACACCTGACCCCTTAACATTGGTCCTCGATTAGCAGGCCTCAAAAACAGGTTCCCCATCACCCAGAATATACCTCCTTTCTTCAGTCCCCAGTTCATCTATAAATTGATTACCAACTTCATGAACACCACAACTGCTAAATTTGTAAGATGAAAACAGATAAAGAACAGGGGAATAAAGTTTATGCCCTGCCTTTCATTTACTGCTTAAAAATAAGCAGGTGCCAGGACACACTTGGTATCCCCCCCTCCCAACCCATACAAGGTTTTAATCCACCCCAGTAGCCCATCCACTGTTGCAGCCTTTTGTTTGTGGAGCGGGGGGTCGCCCCTTTCAAGGCATAGGAGCCCCCACCCCAAAGCATTGCCCCTCAAGTCACCACTTTGACCCCTTCCTGCCTGCTTACTGGACACACAGCCAGCCTGCCCCCCTCACCCGCCTTGCCATGTTTTGCCAACAATCCCTCCACACCTCTCTCTCTCTCACATACACACCCCGGCCCTCCCCCCACCCCTCTCACCGCTCGCGGGGGGGCCGGTTCCAGCAGCACCATCTCGCGCTCCCCTCCCATCCGGCCCCTGGGCGTTGGGGGCAGCAGAGGAGGCCAAGCCCCCCGTCGCTTCCGGGGTGTGTTTGTGTGTGTGCGGAGTGGGGCAACTCTCCCCCCCCTTTCCGTCTGCGTGAGGCGAGGGGGGCGTCTCCGGGTGGTACCGGCAGAGTGCAGACCGAGCGGGGGGCGGGGGGGGAAAGAGTGTGGGAAGGGGCGGGTCAGCGCACTAGACAGGGCCGTGAAGCGTTTCCGGGACCTCGCCCGCCCCGCCCGCCCACTGCCAGGCAGAAGAATTCGACTGGGGATTCTCGAGCAAAGGCCCGACTGGCTGAAAGGAAGGGAGGGGCGGGACCAAGCCCGGCCAGCTGCACCTCCTCCTCCTCTTGACAGAGATGTTGGGAGGGGAGGCCCAGTCGCCGCCGCTGCTTCCGAACAGACTTCACTTCCGGTCCCAGATTGAACTTCCAGGAATCCTCCATGTGCGGGGCAGGAGTGGTGGGAATTTGGGGGACGGCTTGGTTAAAACAGACAACGTCGCTCGCTCTTTTTACGTTGCCGGGCTTTTGAGTTACTTCTGGTCTACTCTACCCACCCAGGAGGTGGAAAAGGAGCCTGGGTTTTAAAAGAAACACGGGTATTATGCCATAATTCTGGTCAGATTCAAGGCTTTCCTCGCTGGCAAGTCGCCTGCGACTCTTGGAAAGGCCTCGTGTCAGGTAGAGATTCAACAGATAGCGAGGCAGCAATGGGAAGTGTCGCCCCGCCCCCCCGCTTGTCTTTTTAAGAAAACGCTCTTTGCCGCAGCGCTTTGAAACAACGGTTTCCCTCAGAGTAGAAAAGAAGCTTCGTAAAGTTTAAAAGAGGACATGAAGTCTGTACATGCCTAAATCCTCACGACAGACAGAAATTCATCAGGGGTAGCCGCCTCCATCTGTAAAGGTACAGAAGAAACCTTTTCCCTCCAACAATGTGTTAAATCCGGCGGGGGCGACCCGTTTTGTTATGGTAGAAGGCACCACTTTTAAAGCACATTCACGAAAGCTGTTTTTAAATTTTATTTTGCACTTATCCCACGCCCCCCACCCTTACCTAGAAGTGAGCATCACTGAATTCAATAGGACTTATTTAAGAATGGAAACGGTTAAGGTGGCATTGTTGTTTATTTACTTATGGCATTTATACCCCGCCCTTTAGCTAAAATGGTTCTCGGAGCAGCTTTCCAAAACCAGCCCGTGTTGATCCTTATGCATTTCCACTACACTTGGCCGGGGGAGGGCGGGGAGAGATATGCAGCCAGTAACCGGAAATGCGGCTTGAAACCCATCACGACTGGAGCCCTTTTAGCCGCCGGTCTCTTGAACTCCGAACATGAATCGCTGAACGAGTATCGCGAGAGTATGGCGGAGACGCTCGATCAGCTGAGAAACAGTGGACAAGAGGTCGTTTAAAAGACGGGCGATGACCGCGCAACTCAGGGCAGCGTGAGGAGACGGCTTCTGTCCGAATCCCGGGGCTGTAGGGCTGGTTCTGCGAAAGCGGGACTCCATCTGGAAGGGAGCTCGTAGTTTCTAGGAATCTTGGCTTCGGAAGTTTATAGCGGGGTTGTGCGGTCCTTCGCAGTCGGGACTACAAATCCCGTCAGGCTTTGCGATAAGCGGGTCGAATATGTGTAGCCTGCTGGGAGGGGAGAGAGGCTGCGGGTTCGGCTGTTGAGAGGGAGGTTTGCTGCGTTTGTGCCAATCAGCAGCAGTAGCAGCAACAACAACTCGTTGCCTTAGTATTTCCTGGCGCTCACGTCCGTGGCTTGTATTGTTCATGACGTGTTTCCATTCATTCGTGTGGTTCTGCAGGAAGGAGAGAGCAGATGTGTCTGCGGCTGCTTTTTCCTCTTCAGTTTTCCTGCAGAGCCTCCTCTTTCCTCCCTGCAAAGGCATTTAATATTTTTGCGCTGCAGCTCCCACCATCCTTTGAACACTGGCCTTGCTGGCTGGGGCTGACGGGAGTTGGAGACCAACATTGCCTTTATTGCTCCTGAAAAAAAGGATTGCTCTCCTTGTGTAATTTCTATTTTCTCTCTCTCCTATACCAAGGCGATGGGTTGGTGCCCTTATAATATTTTAAGATGAACAGCCTTGCCTAGATCATGAACTAGATGAGAGCTAACAAACTGAAGCTCAATTCAGATAAGAATTAGACACTTTTAGGTGCCAGGCAAAAATGTTCCTTTTTAACCTGACCTTTGACTGATTGACATTCAATACCCTTTTAAACGTGCTGTGGAAGGGGGGATTTTTGGTTTGTCTTTGTTCTTATTTTAGTATGCATTTTGTTTTTTTTTATATTGTAATTTTTTGTTGTGAACCACCCTGAGATCTACCTGTATACAGTAGTCAACAAATTTAATAAATATTAATATTGTGTTTACAACAATAGATGGCATTGAAGGCAGCGATACCTACATAACTGAATGTTCTTGTAACCTTTCTCCTCTCACTGCCCTCCAACCTTCTTTCTTAATAACTGCTGCATACAAATGATCACCATTATTGTTCTACCTTCAGTGCAAACGTCTAGGAAGCTTATGAAGGAGACGCCAACTAAGGGCCAGCTTACACATGTGGTTCAGGTACCATAATTAAGCTACAGGCTTTCTAGGTAACTGAAAGTAGTTTCTGATGAAATGTGTGTTGCATTATATAACTTTATTCAGTGCTATTCTAGGAAAAGAGATGCCGGACTAGCCATGAATGCTCCCTTGTTCTCTTATAATGGCAATGGCACCCACCTGAGAGGTGCCGGAACTGGGTTCCGGTGAGTTCCAGCTGGAAAATAAAGCCCTGACTTTATTCAAAACAATCAACCCACCCTACTGCAAGTCCTCTTTTACTATATCTCTTTTCAAATTAACTCTCCTTCCCCTTTTCTTCCTCTCTTCCAACTATCCTTTGTCCAAAGATGACATTTCACTGTTCCTTCCTATCTTACATCCTTCATCTCTCGGGGATGTTTAAGAATGAAATACTGTAGCACCTCATTGATCATGCAACATTTCAAATGGAAAATTCTACAAGAGATCTTCAGAGGCACTGGCTTATGCTTTAGCTTACACCATCTTTTTAAACTGCTGCAGAAGTTTCTGGCATGAAATTAAGAAAGTTTCAGGTGTGAGTTAGGAACTGCAAGATTGGAACAGGAGAAGAACGTTGGTACAAGGAACACCAGGGGGGAAGTGAGGGTGACTACTGAAGTGAGAAGCAAATATTTGTAATTAACATGGAGCCCATACCCTGGTATCAGTAATTAGAGCAGGAAGACACTTTGTGGCTATAACAGCTGGGTTTGTGCTATATCAGCCCATTATTTTAATGAAGCCCATTTGAAGAAGTGGCTGGGGCAGGAATGTCTGGTTACCATCTACTGGGTTTGCTCAGGAAAATGCCTTGTAAATGAATTCTGTAATCCTGTAATCACGCTGGCCATATCCTTCAGCACATCCTTAGTTTTTCTATTAAAGGTTATTCAGAGCTTGGAATAAGGGACACTAAGGATATCTGCATTAATCCAAAAATCTAATACAAATTGCAAAGGGAAAAACACTGGGTAGACCATGAGAGAAATAGTTAATTCCTGTCTGTCATGGTCCCAATCTTCCTCCCCTCAATGACAGCTATTTGCATTTTTATAAAATGTACCATTAAATGCAACAATGCATTTAACATCATGTCTAGTTTGGCCCAGTTGGAAGTTCAGCTGGACATAAGCCAAGAGAAGAGATATGAGCAAGATTAAAATATTGTCTTGTGTCTGCAAAGTCTGTGAAGAGAAATAGGGAAGCTGCACAGGACATAGACTACCGAGCTTCACCATCTTGCATTTGCCACATGTCTTCCGTCCACTTCAGGTAACTCGGTGGCAGAAAATTACCTGCCTTGGTAAAAAGGAAGAGATAATAGCTAGTATCAGTTCTGCTTCAGGCAGTGATTTCAGCTACAGTGGTACCTCGGGTTAAGTACTTAATTCGTTCCGGAGGTCCGTTCTTAACCTGAAACTGTTCTTAACCTGAAGCACCACTTTAGCTAATGGGACCTCTTGCTGCTGCTGTGCCGCCGGAGCACAAGTTCTGTTCTTATCCTGAAGCAAAGTTCTTAACCTGAAGCACTATTTCTGGGTTAGCGGAGTCTGTAACCTGAAGCGTATGTAACCCGAGGTACCACTGTATATAGATTTCTTGTCCCAAATGGGAGAAAATGTAGGCATGAGTTCAGGTTCCTGCAAGGGAAACAAAATCAAACAAGTCCAGGTCCCAGTAAGGTAACATTGATAAGACAAAGTCCAAGCAAAGCTGTGAAGCTCAGACTGAAGAGTCATACAAGCAATATGAATTTTTGGTATACTGGCAAGCTGTAGCTCCACCTCCAATAAGCAAAGACCCTTCATGTTAAAGAGGCCGGGCTTTCTTCAGTAGCTCCTGACTTTGAAGTTGCATGGGAGACTATGGTTCAGCTGGACGTTTCTGGGCTCATCTGGAGTTCATGACCACCTTGTGTCAGTACGGTGCTGCCAGCACTGGTTTCTGTTCTACTGGATCTTGCTGGGCAGGACAGATGTCAGGAGTCGGTTCTGCTGACAAATCTCTCTTCCACTCAGATACTCTCTTCAAATCCTTGGCCTCATCCGCTGATGATGGAGAGTCACATTCCAGGGTCACGACATTATCCAACAAGAAGCTTAAAACGATTAATTATGCAAGAGCAAAGTACCACTATCTCCACATGGAAAGTGAGCTAAACAAATAGCAATAAATATGGTGATAATTGTGCATCCTTCACATTTAAGGATTTAAGCTGTAATGTTTAGTTTGCAGGTGAACATTTTTACATTGTTAATTATTTCACCTGCAGTAATTCAGAGATGGTGGACAGTATAATGATATAGTACTGAAGCATTCTATCAAAGTAAATGAGTCCAAGTAGCTGACACAAGGTGTATTTTGCTCAGCCACAGTGTGATGCTTTGCTAAGTCAGGAAAATCTGGAACTTTATAGCACATATATGAGGACATAAATAAGGTTGGACGTAAGTGTCTTATTCTGAAGTGCTGACAGCACTCCAAGGAGACCACTTTTGTTTTCCATATTCTGAAACAGACTCTAATTACATTCCATAACAAATTAAAGAGAAAAGTAAATTGCCTCCACATAAAACACAGGAAACGGAAAAGTCTGCTCTTGCCCTATCTTCTTACTCATCACACTCTTGGACTGCAAGCACCAAATGCATTCATGGAGCTAGTAATGAGACATTCCCCATTGTTTCTATTAGATTTT